GGGGAGGGAAGTTTGGCGAGGGGGATGGGATTGGGGTTAGGTGGGGCGGGGGATGGTGGGAGGGAGGAGGAGATACCGGCGGCGTTTGTGGTGGATGATGGAATGTTGAGGACAGCGGTGTTTGGGGATCCGATGGCGCATCAGATGCGGGTTTACGTGCGTAGGGTGGAGGGGTTGGCGATGCGGGCAGTGATGGGAGGGTAAGGTACGAGGAGCCGGCCGATTCCTATTATTTTGAGCATAATAGCGATCTGGGGTTAACGAGCAATGATACCCATTTGATTCTCTTATGAAAATAGATCGAGAGAATCGGGATATCGTGAGAAACGGCGAATGCAGCACGTCAACGCGGCTGCGAAACAATATTTATTGCACATAATAATCCATGGATACCCGTCTAAACATACAAGGCATATCATTTCCCCGTGCTCGTGCCGTTGCCGACCGCATTAAGAGGCTCAATTTCCCAACCAGCTCCAGCCCTCCCAATCCCGCCGTCCGCCATACACGCGTTGCCCAAAAACACCACCACTCGCCAAGTGGCCGTCCACACGGCGCATGCATGATTCGGTCCCCTCTATTGCCGGCGACCTGCGCACCGGGCCGGTCGGCGGCGATCGCGTCAAGATCCGTCCCGGTCGTGGATGTATGTGAAATGATGAGATATTAGGTTGGCGATACGATGCGCAAGATATCCAAGATAGGTCCGCAATTCGGCCGATAAGACCGGATGTTCCTCCGCGTCTGACACCAAGTCTGTCCATCTAAAAGTCGACGAACAAGCGACCGTGCCTAATTGCCATCGATTAGCCATATATCTCGATGGGAATTATGCGTCACTTACTGATCGTCGCCCCCCGCCCCATACGGCTCCGTCTCCTCCGCATACTTATCAAACTGGCTCGAATCTCCCATGCCCGCCTTCACAGGTGGTACGTACGGCGCATCGATATCCTTCTTCGCGAGCCGCTCCCACGTGACCTCCGCGAACCAGGGATGCGTCATAACGTCCTTGCTGCCGCCATGCAGGTTGCCGAGCCGCTTCGTCAGGTCCGGCGTGATGAGCTTCTGCAGCAGGTCCTGCGCGTCCGGATGGATGTACGGCGGGTACTTAACGCGTCCTTTGAGGATGTTCTCGTAGATCTTCATGGGCGAGCCGCCGTCCCAGAAGGGGGTGAAGCCGCAGAGCATCTCGAAGATGAGGATGCCGAGGGACCACCTAGGTTTGTGAGCATTATGATTCGATAGGGTGGATGAGAGGTGGGGGGCTTACCAGTCGACAGACTTGTTGTACCCTTTTGAAGCGACGACTTCGGGGGCAAGGTAGTCGGGCGTTCCGCAAAGAGTCCACGTGATGTCAGGCACCTCCTTCGCGAAGCCGAAATCGGTGATTTTCAGATGGCCGTGGCGGTCAAGGAGCAAATTTTCGGGCTTCAGGTCGCGGTAGATGATGTTCATGGAGTGCAGGTAGTCCAGTGCCAATGTGACTTCCGCTGCATAGAATTTAGCTACGGGATTGGGGAATCGCTATTGTTGTGGTCAGTATACTATTGTTCTCAAGGTCCTTATAGGAAACCCGATCTCTTACCTGCGACTTTCTCAGCAAGCTGAACAGCTCTCCACCTTCCACGAAATCCATGACCATGTATAGATTCCGCGCATCCTGAAAGGTGCCCCACAGCGTGATCAAGAACGGATGCTTAACCCGCTGCAGCATTCTCCGCTCGTCATTCGTATGCTCCACCTGCTTCATCTTCACCACCTGCGCCTTCTTCAAGACCTTGATCGCATAGAAGCGCTGGTTATGTTTCGACTTGACCAGGTGCACCCGACCAAAGCTTCCCGTCCCCAGTGTCCGCTGGAGGTCGAAGTCGTCGAGGGTGTACTTCCCTTTGGTAGATCGCATCGTCTGGTTCGGTGTCTGCCCGCCTGCGAGACCCGGTATTAGGATGCCGCCATTTGCTGGAGTGGAGTTTATGGATGTCTGTTGCGGGGTGAGGGTCTGTTGGGACTCGGAGTCCTTATTAAGGAGGTTTTGAATGCTCGGGGAATTCTGATGGCTCGATGGATGCGGCCCTGGCGGGGAAGGCTGTTGGAGTGCGGACGCCATCTCTCCCCCTTTTTGAGGTTGACTGTCCGCGGAGGTGGCAGCGGTTGTGGTCGACTGGTTCGTGCCGGACGCTTCGGTCGATTGACTGGGCTGGGCAGACGACGCGGTCGCGGACGGATGGGACTCTTCAGGTTTGAACCGGTTGAAGACCGCTGCGATGGGAGAGGTAAGGGTGTCCTTTGTCGGGGACGACGGAGTTTCCAGGTCCTTGGAACCCGAAGTATCCTTCGTCCGCTTTTTCTTGAGGAAGTGCAGATTAGGCATGAAGAGGGGAGGAAGGGATCTTTTTCGACACGGCGTTTGGGACCGTATGCTGGGCGGAATTTTGTGGTGAATGAACGTTTCGCAACCGTGAATGTGTCTTGCTGTGTCTCAGGTTCTAGTGTCTTGTCCAGTTTCGGCCGGCAGAATGGGATCGGACTCCGCACGCAGACAAGGTATTCGTATAGCGATGACGAAGTAGTGATTCAAGATCTTAGCGTCGAATACGTGAGGATTGAATAGACTCGATATCAAAGTATGAGTCGTGAGTCGTGAAGCCGTCGAATTCGACTCTTGCCGTTGCGCGAAACAATGCGGCTCAAGCTGAAGCTACCTGATCGACGCAACGCCGGAGCTAGATCAGCATGTAGCAAGCCGCCAGAGGTCGCAACGGACCCAGAGGAAGCTCGGAATCCGGGGTAATTGGGGATAAACTCTGAGGATCGTTGAAAAGGGCGAGTAGTGGGAGAATGATACGATGGCCTGCAACGTGGGGTCTGGGGCTTCGAAGCTGGACTGGGGGGGCGAGGAATGTGCGTCTCGTACAACGGATGTGCGAGAGGGATTCCTGGCATGGATTGGGCAGAAGGGAAGCTGTAGGTTCAACGGAAGAGGCCAATTGAGTCGACTACGGAGAGTGGGATATGGTATACGATGGAGAGGGTCGGATGTCAAGCAAGATGTCATCAATGGGGGAGAAATGAAGTGATGACGATTAGATTTAGGGGAGGGAAGAGGAGGAGGGGAGGAGAGAGGCTGGAGATGGAGGAGAGGGTGAGATGTCTGGGTGAGGCTGTGGGGGACAGCTGGAGTGCTGGAGTGGAGGAGTGGAGGGAGGGAAAGTCCAGAGAGGATGGTGACGGAGCGAGGGGAGACATGCGGAAGACGGAATTGTGTGACAGCTGGGAGTTGGGAGGTGGGAGCTCTGGGAATTGACGCCTTGACGCCTTTACTCATGCCTTACTGCCTCAGGTCCTTAGCAGTAGGCCAGTACATGTAGCTAGCTGACACAGCGCAGGCACTCCCCAGCTTCCGAGTTCCGACATCGTGAGGCCTTTGCTGGTTCACTTCCGCTAAACCTAAACAGGAACAGTGAGCTTCGGAGTTCAGACCGTATTCCATACTCATCCGCTTAAGGTATACATCATATTTCTATCCAGTCCTATCACTGATGTCAGTATGAAGGTGGCCCTTCCACTACCGTGCCTGATATCTCAGATGTAAAACACGAGGACTCGGGAAGTATCTTGCAGCAAAGACACCGATCCAAACAGATGAGACGAAGGAAGCGGGGTTAGACCGTAGCTATATATAGAGCGGGATACCAGATTTGATATTACTTGCCGGCGCATTATTTATACACCACCAAGTCCGCGATAATAATATCCACCCTCACCGTCCTGCAAGTCATCAATAGCGGAAGGAGTCTGCTCCACATGGCTGCTCTCAATCCGGCACGGCAACAGGCGATATGCGACGCCCCTCTTGGGCTTGAACGTATCGCAGGGTCGGATCCTCCGCGGAGTAGAGCCCCATTCGGATGCAAGCTGTCATCCGACGAGCAGCTCGACCTGATCGATCGCAGATCGCACCGTATATCCCGCCCCCATGAACAATGATATAGGTCAATCGAAGCTGGTTAAGGACAGTACAATCCCGGTTTGATATCTTCAGTCTCATGTTCAGTTCTTGCTTCTCCTTCATTATCGTCCTTATTGAGTTAATTTCATCCTATAATAGATATCTCTTTTAAACAATCTGACGGCAGATTGACCTCCGTTTTGCGCGGTTTGTGACGCCGTTTTTGGAGGTAAATCTGGTACGCCCTGACGCCAATCAGAACTCCCCTTATTACTCCCCGACATGGATCTGAGCCATGCCCCACCAACTTTAATTATTTTCTCGATCCCGTCGGCCGTTCTCTCGCCCAATTATACGCCCCCGATGTTCTCAGTTCCGCCATTCTACACTTACTTGTAGTAATGCTTCGATGCAATCACGTTGCCATCCTTGTCTAGTTCGAACGCGGAGTAGTGTTGGGTTGGATCATTTGTGCTTGGATGCTCCGCTTCCCTAAAACGGTATGAGAGAAAGATTCCGCATTTCATACATAAGACTCACTTCATCGCAACCTTGGCCGTCTCTGGTTTCAAATCGTCCTTATACTTCTCGGCGACCTCAACGAACTCGTCCTGGGTGCTCTGGTGAAGAAAGGGACGTTCCCAGACGTCCGTCTTAGTGACGTATGCGACGGCGATCGCCTTCCCCTTAGTTGTGGTTGTTATGGGTTGAAACCCTTGGTTGGCTCAGGCTGAGAGCCTAAGCCTGATTAGGTTAAGGGTAAATCAGAGTCCAACCTCTCCGATGTAAACAAGAAAGCTTCCCTTTCTTGTTCTCTTCTTTAGCTTAATCTAGAATATCTTTGGCTACGTGTATGTTGTGTGCATCCAGCTACCGTGCCGTAACAGTGGTCATAGTATTGATGAGTTGGCTGGCTCTGTACATTTTACCTCGGGATGCCGAAGAGAAGGTTGAGGTGGGTTAGGGAGCCAATGAAGGTATGGTTCGGATCAAATGTGATGCTGTGTCGGCGTTGCAAAGGGTGATTCGGATTTGAGAGAAGGAATGTCGAATTAGAGCCAGACCAGATCTATTTATGCTCATAAAAGGCTATGAAACGCAAGAGCCACAGCGCCCTTAGATGTGTCACGGTAGGCGCTGCCGCGATACTATACAGCGACGCATGCCTTACAGACTTCAGTAGGCGCTAGGGGCGCGGTTAAGAAGGACTAGGGTAGTAGAGTCGTAGGGACGCAAAGTGCCGATCATCTCCCACTGATGTCCAGTGGAGGCTGTTGCTAAGATTGAAACATAAACTTATAACCCATGCTTAGCCGTGAGCATCAATGCATCAGCAGACAGAGCCGTTGCAGTCGATGCCAGCAACCCAAGGCAGACATTCGCAAGCGAGAACAATTATTTTTTTGCCAGGCAGAAGCCCAAGGGGCAAGGTCAAGACGTCAAGTTAGGAATTGAGCCAAGAACCCAACACTTAATACAGTCTTGCCCGCCCGTGCTAAACGAAGGCCCGTGATTGGGCCTTCGCCTGGGACCCGCTGGGGGCTTAATGGGCACAGCGGGGTACGTAAGAGCCCAAGCGAAGCCCCCAACCCATTGGCTTTCATTTAGCGGGCGGTTAGTCAAGATTTCATCTTAAGCGCTTCGACAGCATCAGGATATCGCATACCACTCTCTTCAGACGACGATTCGTGATCTATATATAATTGATTGTCTAATTGGCTAGATCTTGCATGTGATGCCAATTCCGGCCAAGTCACTCCGCAAGATCCCCTTATCGCATCCTGTTACGAGAGCACCAAGGCTTCCAGCAAAGCTGGCCAGCCGTTATCAACAGCATGCTCCGAACGAGTGTCAAGATGGCATCTACCTCTAGTGAATTGGTTGGTGCTGCTGGAGGTCGCTATTTCTCTAAAGAATTGATCCAAGAGAGACCGCACCTGGGTCGCGTCTGGTTGGCAACGTCCGAGCATCCATTTCACTCACGTCATTCAACACATGAACTAATGATATTTCAGATCCGGGCATGATAAATTTGTCTTGAAGGATATTCCCAAAGATATATTCTCAGGCTTCAATGAGAACATACGGCCTAGACTTCGCGAAAATCCATACATTCGGTTACCGTCGGACACCATCCTAGATCAGCGCATATTTGTATACAGATACCTGACCGACGACTTCCTGAGCCTTGTCAGAAAACAAATCCCGATGCAAGCCAGGAAGCAAATCCTTAAGGCTAGTTTACGAGGGATTGCCGAATTGCACGACCGAGATATCGTCCATTTAGGTAATCTAAGCAACTTTTTGCTTTCTACGAGGTCATTACGCGGAGCTAATCATTCTTAGATATCAAGCCTGACAATATCATGGCCAACTGCCGCCACGTCGGTCAAGAGACCATAGTCGAACAGGTGCAGATCACTGACGTCGAAAATACGGCCTATCTCCCTAAAGGCAGGTGCATTAAAGGGATGTTGGCTGGCAATGACAATTGGCGCAGTCCAGAGGCGCATTTCAAAGGCGAGCTCAACAAACCGTCTGACATATTCTCTTTCGGAGCCGTGGTAAGTGTATTGAATTAGATGGGGGCCCTTCTCGCTGACTTACTTAGTGCATCTACGCTGTGCTAGGGCGTGTTATATTCGGGCCTGATGGTGATTTCCAAAAACATCAAGCGCAGGGCGCACTGCCCGCTCTTATTCGCTTGCAGCGTCAAGTTTCGTATTTTGGGGACCGGGAAGGATTGAATGGGCTCATGAAGCACGTTGGCGATGAGGAAGTCAATTGCCAGGTCCTGCGAATGCTTTGGGAAGAGCGGGCCGCAGACTACATCCCGTACGAACCGTTTTCGAATTGGTCAGATGTTGACGACGCGGAGCTCAAAGATCTCATGCAAGGAATGATGAATCTGGACCCTACGAAGCGAATCACGGCGCGTCAGGCGTTAGAACACCCCTGGTTTGCAGGATTCGAGGTTAACTAGATATTGGAAACTCATGATCTTTATAACACTTGACATCCTCGTGAAGCGATGCGATACCCTCGCTATCGGAGGCCGATCTCCGTCTTCCTCGCCTTCGCACGCAACGATGGCGTAGCTTCCGACACGGATCTCCTTCCCATCATTTAATTCAGGCCAGCTGGAGCATGGGGTTATGGCCAGGACAGCAGTACTTACAATAGATCGGTTCGCATACCTGAGGCTGCATGAAAATGGCGATGGCAATTGGAAGGTAACGCGGAAGACCTAGGACAAACAAGTAAGCTGCCATCGATTGACTAATATGTGCGATGATCACGTTTCCAAAAAGGGTATCCCATATGAGAAAGCTGAAATCGTTGCTTAGAATTGAAAGCAAAGTATCGCAATTATCGTATGTAACGAAACTTAAATAAAGAATCTGAACACTTGTTAGGGGTATTGACCCATACTAATTTGAGAAATCGCAGCAATGGCGCTCCAGAGACTATAGGGGCTCAATCCGAAAACAGCAAGACAGATCTTTACGGCGACAATCACACCGACCACCGACTATGGGGCTCAGATATGGTTCCCAGGCTCTGCAAGAACAGTGGCCCGCCACATCGAGAGAGCCACTAAACTGGGTGCGAGCGTAATTACGGCCATATTTAGATCGGCAGCAATCGAGGTCGCAACCGCCGAGGCAGGAGTCGAAACAGTCTAGGAAAGACTCCACGAACTTACCAGAAAGCACTAGATCAAGATACATAAAAACCCGCAAAACCACCACGGATGGAGACTTATTAAGCGCCTTTTTAAAGCAAAGACACATAGATCCCCACTCGAAGCCACAGCCCAGCTATTCCAATATATATCAAACTAGAATCGCTTAAGAAGACAGCAGCATTCGTCAAGCCGCCGTAGTAAGACCCACCAAGCGTCATCATCGAAGAAGAAGCGGCCGCAATAACAAGGGCAGCCCAGCTAGACCTAAGAACCATCTTCACAGACGGATCGTATAGAAACGGCCTTACCGGTATCGGAATCCACGCACCAAACATCCCAGGACTCGAGAAATCCAGCATAAAAGGGTTTACACCGAATACAGACGCCCTCCAAGCGGAGCTAATAGCCATCTCGGAAGCCACCTCGGAAGCAACCGCCAAGATCCCAGCGATAAGCAGGAACCTCGACCAATGTCATATTCTATCAGCATGTCGACACCAGTAGACGGCTCGCCGTTCTGTCCAGAGGGCGGAATTTCGTCACTCTCTATCGCTTGTGACGAACTCGAATCACGGTCTCTATCCGCGGCCGGTGTGCTACCGACTTCCGGCTGGGAGCCCGCACTCAATAATGCGTTAAGAGTAGGCAGCTCATCTTCGGAATTAGCGTCCGATTTGCTATCTTCGAAGAATATAGCTACATCTAAAGAGAGATTAGTTAGTATATAGTCCTCTTCTGAAGCTGTTCGCGCAGTATCTCTAGTAACTCACCCGTACAGCTTTCTATAGATGCCTCGTAGGCTGATTCCTACGCGGGCTTTGACTCGGTTAAGCCTTCGCCCTTCAGAATGTTATCAATATCGGTCTATAGGTCGTTAGAAGAGATGCCAAGAGTGGTATCAGCTCCGCATCAGCTTTTTAGCATCCGACGCTCGGGTTGCTGGCTCTTTAGCAGGCCAGATTAATTGTAAAAGTTATCGGGCTAGTGATATTGCGATTAAGCATCGAAAGAATAAAGGGCTGTAGTGACCGCCATGTCCGCTTTAGCGCAGATTTCACTGCAGAATACGTGTGATCCTTTAAAAGTGAAAGAGTCGATGACCTTTGAGATGTGGGAGGAGGGAATCGTGGGACTTTATGCGGTAAGACGGACTCTCCTTGTTCGACTCTGCTCTCCCGTGAGGGAATAACAGGTCAGCTCACTCTCGCCGCTCCACCGAATTGGATCGTATAAGAGGAGTAAGCGTGGAGGGGCCGAAACCATTCGTTCAACCAGAGGGGCAGCAGCAGCATGAAATCACCTCCTCCGCCCTGGACACCCTCCTGACGCGGCTGACGCGGTCTTCCAGATGGAAGAATCGAGCGGACTGTCACAGGTGCAGCGGAGACAAACCAATCAAGCATGATATCGCTCATCTGCCGGATGGAAAAAGCCTCAGCTGACGTGGCTCGTTCCCGATCCTGGATTAGACTATTATAGCCTTCGAATAAGGCATGCCATCTGCCCTCGTTTCGTAAAGGATCGCGCGTTTCAGGCAGGCAGCGCAGATGCGCCTCGTCCGTACAGCAATGTGCTGCATGAATCTGCTGTGCCTCGGAGCTTACAGTGTGCAGCTTCCAGGGGCGGATCGAAAAATGGCGGCTCAGTCTTGGACCGGAACGAAAGCCTCCTTCGCGCAAATCCACCATTCTAAGGTATTCCACCGGAAGATCCCCTCATGAGGTTGCTTAAACCCATAAACAGCGACGCATAAATTGGCTCGTATTCGGTCATATACACTCTCTCTCATAAAACTCAGTCCGAAAATCGCGAGTGATGGCAGTGCGGCCTCTCGGGGGTGGAACCGTGGTAATATGCTGCATCATGTGTCTGGTGACAGCACCATCGCTCCATAACGTCTCAGTTTTTGAGCAAGTCCCTCCGCCCCTTTCACTCCCTTGCATTCCGGCCATCCCTATCTCCTCGACCGCTCCAGCGACTGCCCGAGACGCGGGCTCGAGCTGTAGCGGGCTGAGCAGGCTAAGTGAGATGAGCAGGTTTCTTGGAGATCCTTCGGGATCGCCGAGTGTCAGATAGATTTCCAACTCACCAACCACTTCCGGGAAGTCAAGGGGCTAAAGAGGGAAGCGTAACATGTGTGTGCCTCTCGCCGTCTCGCCTTCTCGCCCTATCGTGGCCCTCCTTGTGCATAAACGCGATCGCCATTGCTTGCCTCGCCTTGCTTTTCCTCCCCCTCCCCCACCTCATCCAGACCGGCTCAGCCCACGAGTCCGGCAATGCCACGTAGGCAGCAAAAGGGACGAAAAAATAATACAGGGATCCAAGATCTTCATGTACCGTGGACCTTGTGACCGACTTCCATGACTCGGATTGAGGATAACGGTGGACTAAGGCGCTGGAGTCGGCGTGGCCGAACGGGATCAACGGCCCCAATGCCGGAGGCCGCGAGGGCTACTCGAGCTCGCGAGCAAGGCATAAGCGAGATATTCGGCCGCCTGTTGGACTTGAGCAGGGCCGTGGAGAGCGAGGAGGTTGGATTCGGATTCGGGGAGACAGTCAAGTCTTTCTCTAGAGAGGGAGAGAAACGGTGTCAATGGAAACGGGAGGCGTGCCTGGTAAACCAGGTAGACGAGCTCCTCGAAGACGAAATGACCAGTAAAAGAGACCCTAGCGCCGTGTGGACAGAGTGAAATACTTGGAACGGCGATAAGGAGGAGTGGGGCTGCAAGCGAATGCAGCGAAAGCAGAGAAACAGGGCGGAGCGAAGGAGGGAAGCCGAAGGGCAACCAGGGAGCGAGGGATGATGAGCGGCCGTGGATCTCTCGGTCGCTGCAGTAGTTGAGGGGTTTGGGTTAAAGGAACGGCAACAGCCAAGAATGAAATAAAACGGCAGAAGAAGGAATGGTGGGATGCGCGTTTTATATGTGAGATCGAAGTAGGCGGACCGGCCAGAACAGGCGGGAAATCTTCGGACAATGGGCATCGGCCAATGAGCGTGCACGGTGGGCAAGCCGGCCATTCTGGCGGTCGACATGCCGGCGTCTCTTTTACTATAATATTGTCAAAGACGAAAGTATATCGAGTTTCTGATATGTTGTCTAACAAGTGATGCCTACTACTCTCAATTCATAATGCAGCTCAATGATCTATATATCCCGCAAGAACCCCTCTTAAACTACACATCTTGCAATTGAAATCACATCCATCTCCCTTTTAACGGCTGTGTATAAATTGTACTCGTGCACCCCATTGTCTTTAAACCAGCTCTATCCAGTACCAGGAGTCGATCATGTCCTTCCATCAATCAAGCCCTCAATAGTGCTATTTATCTGCATGATGCCAATTTCGATATGTTCCAGCTCTCGCTCTATGTCATACTACCTACTCTTTAGATATTCAAACCCACCACTAGCTATATACGTATCACCGTCGCTTATGAGCGGTAAATAACCCAGCACCCACTGCCCCATTGCTCGATCGACCCCCAAACCCTCCCAAGGGGTAGTATTTCAACCTCGATAATGCGTTGCCTGCGAGTAATTTGTTTACCACGCGACTGGGGGCTTCGAACTTATAGATCTCATTGAAGAGGTCATTCCAATCCCCATTAATATCATTTGGTCTGAAAATCTTCATCTGTCTATGCCGATACTTACATCCGCGAATCGCTGTGACCTCTTTTCCTTCAGCTTTCACATGTATTTCTGCCTTACCCACTCCTTTGTGCATCCATCCATCAACGCCTAAAAGCAACGAAAAGTACCGCCGTGACAATGTGGTACCGAAGTTGCCTCCAAAAATGGAGGATTTTGACTGCATTTCCGGCAGGTCTTCCGTTTAGTCGAAAACATTTTGATTTCATTATCGCGCGGGTCCTGAACCTGCCTGTTATAGCCTGTAATTAATGCCAACACCTTGCACAGAACCTGGCGTCCGTTTTTGGATTTCCAACTTTGGGTTTTCAGTTCGTCCAGCTTCAGACTTTGGAGATTTGGATTTTGACAGTAATTCCCATTTAAATCCAAAGCGCCTACGCTGAGGTAAGCCCATGCAGAGCTTAATAATTAACATAGCACCATTTAAAATTTAATAGCGTTCATAAGCGTTGCCACTCTCGCCACTTTCGAAAAGATATAAAGCGACGTCAACCAAGACGGAGGTGGGTGGGGTGGAGGTCTAGGGAAATTCAAAGTCGAATACCATAACCGTCACCCTGCCAGAGCGGCATCCCAAAGCAACAACATTGCCGTGAATGTCAACGCAGCATTGCCGATATTCGGAAGGAAGCCAAAGCATGGCTTTCGTGCCCCAGCTTACCCATTGCTCCTTCAAAAAAATTGCGTGTGGGGAATTCGGTTGAGAAATAGCTGAGTCATAGGAAGAAGATGCAACAAATAGATGTCCCCTATCAGTCCGGAGGAATCTCCCATCATCAGAGTACGAAAGGGTTTTAGCAATGGCATCGACTGTGAGCGTCTGGAGAGCCGCTCCTGACCCGGCGTCCCAGAGCCGGACCGTCTCGTCGTGGGAGCCCGATGCGATCACTTTGCCGTCGGGCGAGAAGGCCACGGCGCTGACCGCGTGGCTATGTCCGTCGAGCGTCTGGAGGGCCGCTCCTGACCCGGCGTCCCAGAGCCGGACCGTCCTGTCGTAGGAGCCCGATGCGATCACTTTGCCGTCGAGCGAGAAGGCCACGGCGCTGACCGCGCGGCTATGGCCGTCGAGCGTCTGGAGGGCCGCTCCTGACCCGGCGTCCCAGAGCCGGACCGTCCTGTCGTGGGAGCCCGATGCGATCACTTTGCCGTCGGGCGAGAAGGCCACGGCGCTGACCGCGTTGCTATGGCCGTCGAGCGTCTGGAGGGCCGCTCCTGACCCGGCGTCCCAGAGCCGGACCGTCTCGTCGTAGGAGCCCGACGCGATCACTTTGCCGTCGGGCGAGAAGGCCACGGCGTTGACCGCGTTGCTATGTCCATCGAGCGTCTGGAGTAGAGCACTCCAATATTTCTCGACGTTAGGCAAATTTTGCATCCATCGAGGTACCCAGTCTTTAAACTGCCTCTTCACTATACTCGTCGTAGGTGTAAATATCAACGCACTAGAGTAGATCTGGAGGGGAGCGCGCTCCATCACTTGCTGATTATATAGTGTAAATCGTTTGGCATCATGAATAAACTCGGAGAGACGCGGACAGTCATATGCCTGACAAAAATTAAGCTGAAAGATTCGTGTAATTCTGGTGGCTTATTTACCAGGGCAAAGGTCTCTAATAAGGTGACCGCATGGATCCCCTCAGAGACTCTTCGCATCCAGCTCAGCGCCTCAAGCCAGTATAACAGATGCACCTGTAGGAATTCATGGACTTGGTCGTTGTCCTGAAGTTGAGTATTACTCTTCTGAAGGTGCTGGACCCAGTAGAGACATGCATATTGAACCTCTGGAGTAAGATATTGCTCCACTCGATGGCTTGGTACGTCAGCTATGAGTACTCCTGGAGCTTCTATCCCACAGATATCCTGCTTAAGAGTGGTCGACATTAGCTGTATACAGCTCGTAGCTAAGGCCCCATGTACTTGCTTCTCGTTCACCCAGAAGTTTGAATCACTACATCTCTTCTTGTCAAGGAGGAAGTCGCGAAATGAGGGGTGGTGTAGTCGAAGCGGGCGACGTCGGTCCTCTGGAATGTCTAGTATTGCATGAAGGTCGTCTAACGTCTGGTCAATGTCCTTGGTTGGAAGGCGGATAAGCCTGCCTAGGGAAGGGGAAGAGAGTGGGGAGAGGAGTAGAACTATACTCCCAAGAATTTGTCTCAGCATTCCGTACAACTCTTCTTTCTCCTCATCCGAATAGTCTAGGGAAACGGAACACCTGAGAACAGTAATGTAAATTCCGTTGAGGTGCTTCTCTGGTGCCGTAGCATCATTGCTACGGCCGTCAAGAATTGTAGCCAGTCTCTTTTCTGTAAATCGTCTCCCATCACGGATGAACCGATATGCTGTTGCCGCCCAGATGAATAGGCCACTTGCATTCTGAACCAGACGTCTAATGTTATCTCCGCTGGGCCAGTCAGCGCCTAGAGAGCGTTCCTGCCCGATAAGTCTTAGATTGTCTTTTAGGAAAATAGTGATGTCGTGGTCCACAACTGGTGGTGAAATGTTGTGGAGGATGAAGTCCTGATATTCCGCATCTGGTATTTGACGGAACCCATATCGGATCGGAATCTCAGGTCTGCTTGTTAAAAAGATTCGTAGTCGGGCATTCGTTAGCGATCTTATCTCGGTTAAAAGTTGTAGAATGATCCGGATGTTGACATCCTCAGCACACTCATCGAGAGCATCAATGACTAGAATATATGAGGATCGGGAGTCTTTGCCGTCCAGCTTTAAAAACGGACCGACGACGAGATGGTTCCATTGATCGCGAAGGGACTGGTCAGCAATATCGCTGCGCTCTGTAATAGCGTTATAGATATGTTGATAGAGAGCAGGAACGTTTCTTGCAAGCTGTACTGCAATGCTTGTTACGAATTTGCCAGCATGACCAACGTCTCCACCACCTCTTGAGAAGAAAAAGCTGGCCCCAAGACGGACTGAGTCGAAACATCTGCGCGCAACAGTACGAGCAATCGTAGACTTTCCCGTCCCATCTAGGCCGTTCAACCAGAAGATGCACCGTTCATCCTGTCCGTCAGCCCAGTTGAATATTTCTTCCAGAATATTGACACGGGTATTCGGGAGGCATGTAGGCTCGTGTTGTTTTTGAAATGAATTGAATGGTGCTTCAGCGGAGAATGGCAGGCGATCGAGTTCGTTCTCTGAGCCCTTCTCTGCTATTAGCCTCCTTCTCTTTGGGTTCGGACTCTCGGACGTAGATTCACGATCTTACTCTACAGTTAGCATAGATCTATCCCTAGCCTTTGTAATATCGAATATCACTTACGAAATCGGCCAGTCAATTGTCCTGCTGCTAGCGGCTCGGGGTCTTCCAGCAGTCGCTGCAGGTAGGGCACAAGATCTGAATACTGTGGGCCGAATTGTAATCGCACGAGAGGCTTGAGGTTAAGAGGATCGCCGGTCCGGACCAATAGACAATGTCGATTGGGGATATTTTTTTGGTCCTTGCACGCCCATTCCAAGAGTGCGCCGAAGTTTGGGTCCTCTAATCCAGATCCGCAGCCAACAAACAAAATAGTGTGGGTGTTCCAGAGCGCTCTCAGCACGGTCTTAATCTCTGAGTATTGGACCTTCTCGTAGTCCGTAGCGTCCAAGATGACATCCGAAGGGTCGTGGTAGCTGCCGTGTACATGAAGAATTCCGCGAAGATCTCGACTTTGGAACTTCAGGAGGTCGTCGTGATGTGACCGGCTGATGCGAGGCAATCTGCAGTAGCCTTCTTCAAAAAGATCATCATAGTTCGTTGTGAGAAGCATCGCTCCTCTGTCGTGGAGAGATTTCAACACATCTAGCGCAGCAGGATGCCTCACTTCCTTGGAAAGATCTCCAAATACAGCTTTTAGCCAAGTAGGCCATTGATGAGCCTGGTCCAAGAAAAACTTGAGTATGCGTGCTGCTTCTAACAGATCCTCGGGATGGGAATCAAGTATTTCGCGTGCGTGACTTAGCCTGTAGTGGTTCCTGTCAATTTGGCCATCTGCGACAACATAGTCCAGACCATGTCGTATCAAGCCGAACCAGGACAACTGAGCGAGTGTTTCTCCAGACTGAGTTGCTGTTGCGCTCAGTGTCACCCCCGCGCCAATGACGATTACTAGCCTTTTGTCCTCCAAAGCCGTTCTGATCTGGGCAAAGCGTTGGTTATCAATTCTCGTAGCTTCTGCGGAGGTTCGACTCTTCATGAGAACGTGTTAGTGGTGTGTTCTTAGGTAACCCAGTCAGACTTACTGAGGTTGCTCCACTCATACTTCAAGTTGGAAGTCGGTAGAGTCGGCGCGATGCCTGCGAGACGGAATCCATAGGATGTGAAGGAAAGTAGTTATACTAAGAGACTACTTAGTCTCGCTCGAATAGGCATTCACAGGGGGTAAAGAGAATGGCATGACCAGTATAACACCTAAGGCATGCGAGAGTGCGGAGATACAAAGATGAAGGAATGGTTTAGCAGAGAGCAGTAACATCGTCGTATCTCAGCCTTGCTGCGCTCCAGCGAGGCGGCTGGTGTGCAGGTGTCCCATTCACAGGCAACTGCATTTGCTGCCGTGCCATTGGCCAGTCTGGTGGCGGTGCTCCTTTCAGAATTAAGTATGCGCAGCATGATTAGCAATTTCGTCAAAGGAGTGAGCAGGCACTTCACGAGCAAGGTGAGAGAACTTAGTACCGCTGTGAAGCAAGAGTATTTACAGAATATAAACAGATCCGCTAGATGTTGCGAGTCATAGGGCTTTCAAGCCTTTCTTCGACAAGACACCTGGTAGAAAAATTGTAAGCGATGCTCCGTAAAGGCGGAATGGACAGTTGACTTTGTAGAAATTTTAGTCTGATACGAACGCCAAATGCTCCAGACGAAGCCAATCACTAATATGTCGATGGTATACTACGTAGTAAGGGACGAATGAATGACGGCGTTTGCTTACCATAGTACGGACGTGTAGCAACAAATATGAATAAAAGAGAACCCCTCACTCACATGCCTCTAATCTGATCGTGTCACAGAATATCTGTTTCTTGGCGTTTCCCCACGGCTTCATTCCGTATTCGATTCTATACCCCTATTCTTTCCCTTTTTAAAGAAAAGATCACCATTGTAAATCATATAAAATAGCTGCAGGAACAGCCTGTTTTCGTAGGATCCGGCTCTTCAGGATCAAGTTCAATCTAAAGTACTGACTAACTACTGATAACTAGTTAAGCCAAGAGTCTGGGCACAGACCCCAGTCTCAGCTGATATCTCTACACCCACCACTTACTTGGACAATCAATAACTTTACCAAAATGAGGTCTTTTGGCACAGAAATTAGTGGTAATCGAAGGCCTAATAAGGAGTTATCAGTCTCTCAAAGAGCTGGGATTATTCAGGCTGTTGAAGATGGTAAACCAAAGACTGAAATCGCGCGCAACTTTCGCGTCTCTCGACGCGCGGTGTATGGGACTATGGAGAGGTGGGAAGAACACAAAACCACCGTATCCTTACCCCGTGAAGGGGGTCCCCATAAGTTATCACGCTCTGACGAACGGCATATCGTTCAAATCGTGCGTCGATTTCCTCAAATGGAGTACGGAGAGCTCCTCGCAGGTATTTCGTACCTCCGCGTTTCTAGGAAGATCATCTACCGAACCCTTAAGAAATATCACCTTACGAAATGGCGAGCGAAGAAGAGGCCTCACCTGAAGCCCCATCACGCAAAAGACCGCCTCCGGTTTGCCCACGAATTCCTTAAATTCGACTTCTCCCGGCCCCACTCCACGGACGAGTGCTCGTATGAGAAAGGGGCGGGCGGTAAGCAGGTATGGGTATGGCGCCTGTACCACGAGGCATATGATCCGCAAATGGTAGAGCCTAAGACCTCTGGCAAGGCCATTTCACAGATGATATGGGGCTCAATCTCGCGTGATGGGAGGTCAGACCTGGTGATCATGGACCGCGACGAAACCTCCGCAAGACAGGGCTATTCCGCGAAATCCTACATCGCTACGTTAGAGGCGGGACTTCTCCCTACGTATGAACCCGGGGATGTTGTTATGCAGGATAACGCAAGGATCCATACGGCCAAAATCACCCAAGAATGGCTGGAGACGCACGGCATTTGGGTCATCGATTGGCCGGCCAATTCCCCAGACATCAACCCCATCGAACACATGTGGCATCTGTTGAAAACCATGGTCCTAGAGCTCCACCCTGAATTGAAAGACGATGGGCGCCTCGGAGGAGGCACGGGAGGCCATGAATGCGGCGTTAAAGGAGGCGTGGTGGGCGATCCCGCAGGAGACGATCCGAGAGCTGATCGACTCAATTCCGCGACGTCTACAGGCGGTAAGCAAGGCAAAAGGGTGGCATACCAAATATTAGATATTTCCCAATTAAGAAATCAAAAAAGTAGACTGAATTTGCATTTGTATGTGTTTTCAGCGTATCTCAAGATACGGTGTATGGCGATCAGATTTGGTGATTTTCGGGGGTGTGCACAGACACATGTCTACTTATTGTAGCAACAATTGAATACCGCCCCTGAGACTAAATTACCTGGATATATTAGATTCACTAGGCACTGGATCGAGTTTCTGCGGTAATATTGATTCATGGGTATCATTCATTCAAGCGGGAGACATATACTCTCTAAAGCTCATCAAGCCCTCCAATTCTGGACTAAACCATGCAACCGATCAATCACGACCGGCATAAACGCATTCACACTATCCTGAATCAAGGCATCAAAGTGCCGAATCGCCTCCTCCTCCGTCAACTCCAAATGAAACCGCTCCTGGATCTTCAGCACCGCCTTATCCGGCTCGATGCGGATGTCCGGGATGTTCGCCTCGCTCATCAGCGCGAACAGGTTCAGGATCAGGTTCGCGCTCTTGCGCAGCGTCGTGTACGCTGTGAAGCAGTGCTGCAGGAACTGCTGGTAGTACTGGTGCTGTGCGCCGCCCATCCCATCGACCATCTCCCGCGGGAGCTTCATGAGCGGGGCGAACGGCTTCGGGTCGCGGCCGAGGATGTAGCCGAAGTCCGCGTGGAAGAAGTGCCCGGTGGGGGCGAGGAGGAGGTTGTCGAGGTGACGATCGCCGACGCCGAGGATGTAGGTGATAACGCAGTAGCCGGCGCAGGACTTGACGTAGGTGTCCATGGCGAGGGGGCGGACGCCGAGGGGGGCGCGGTCGTCGGGGTTGTTGGCGCGGAGGTAGGCGAGGATGGAGCGGTGGCGGGTGACGACGTTGGAGAGAGTCATGGAGGGGACGAATTGGACGGCGCCAGCGACGGTGGCGGTGGCAAGGATGCGGTAGGGGGAGAGTTTGAGGTCGAGGTTCTCCTTTTGGAGGAGGCGGTCCATGAGGGTGATGATTTGGATGACGAGCTGGTCTTGGCGGAGGTCGTCGCCGGTTTTGAAGAGGATGGGGTATTGGCGGCCGTCAGAGGTTTTGAAGTTGATGTAGAGAGGGAGGAGGCTGGATTTGAACACGCTACTGTCTTCGGGGTAGCATCCGACCACCGACACGGTTGGGTCCAAGGGGAGAGGTAACGGAGGATCGATCTGGACCATATCGTTTTTGGGGTCCGCGAGGAATTTTTTGAGGGTCTCGACCTTTCGTATTCGGTCCTCCCGTGAGTTTCGAATGTCCTTCGATAATTTCGACAGGACCGCAACCAGCTCGCCTTGTCTCAGCAAGATCTTTCGTGTCGCCTGCCCCTGAGGGTGCTTCATGAGCTGTGTCATGAACTCATATTCCACTTTTGCGAATAGCCTTCTATGTTCTTGCTCTTGTTCAGGCGATCGGTCATCACACTCGACCATCAGGTACCAGTGGAGGTAATTGCCCAGCACGAAATTGTTCGCGGCTCTACTGACGAGGAATGAAGCCAACGATGAGTCCTGAGGCTCACTCCCATCTTCCGTTGGCTGTGCTAATGGCTCGAACTTCAGCGCTTGTACCAGTTGAAGGAGGTAGACCAAAAGATCTTCGTCATCCGACTTGCGCAGTCGATCCACTGCGTATGCTCGCACGGCAGGATTATCGAATGTCGAGCCGAGCAGCTCCAACGCGTCATCCACATCAATCTCCGTCCATCGCGGCAGTATCTGAACGGCTTGCTTCGACTCATTGGCGTCCGTCCACGAGACCGACTTCACGAACTTCGTAAGAGCTCGCTTATCGCGGGTAAGATGATGCCGGAACTTCCACACCAGATCTTTCTCCTCCGCATTCAGCTCTTGCGTCGGACCGTACGACATGATCATGTTCAGTTCATCGCGAATCTTCGCGTTGGGCCGGAGGTCGCGATCAAGCAGGCCCGTCCGGTGACTTCGAACCAATCGTCGATGTTTGCTTTCGGGAGGATTATCTCTCGTCCCGACTTCGGGGTCGTAGATCCTTACCATCCGGCCGATCGCTGGGTCGCCCGCGTCACCGGAGTCGATCCCAGGCCCGACGGACACTTCGACGGGCGGTTTATGGGAGGGGAGGGAGCCAGAGCCGACACCTGCAATAGGGGGTGCCGGATACTCGTGATCGGTGAAGACCACGGGGTGATCGAACCGTGGGAATTCGATATACAGATAAAACAAGTCCTTCTCTCCACCCTTGTCCTTCTCGTCCGAATCGGGGCTTTGGAAGTTCCTTGCTTGTTTGAAGCTACTCCTCTGAAGCTTTTCAATCTGTCGAAATACAAGATGGTCCAGCCACTTGTTTTCCGGAATCTCGTTCATCTCGTGTTTCTTAACCAACGCCTCGAGCCGGCCCATCTCCGAGTCTTGTTCATAGCGGTGCGTGATCACTCCACCGTGGCTATTCGCTCGCGTTCGCCGATCCTGTCGCAGTTGATATGGGGTTGTGGTCTCGGACAATCCATCCGCTACGCGGTCCAAGTGTAACCGACATCGCTGCCTTCCTTTTTGTAGGGTATTATCTCGGTCGTAAAGGGGAATCGTCGTTCCACCGAAGGGAATGGCGTGGGAAGACCATTCGTCCGAGCCGACGGGCGATAGATCCCATACTGTGATGGCGAGCTGGGCAGAGAGTGGGATGGTCGAGTAGTCGATGGGGAGGGTGAGCCATTCGTCCCATCTTCGCGCGTGCTTAAAGACCTTATATGGAGTCTGCACTGCGACGGTCAAAGGCTTACTATCTGCCCATAACTGCGCAGTCACATATAGCTCAGAATGTGGGCTGAAGCGGTGGTTAGCAACCGCTCTCGGGAACTGGGTATGGTTTCGAACCTCTGGTTGGAGCCTCGATAGCGAAGTTCAGGCTGCCTCAAGAGGGTCGAATGCCGTAGCGGCTCATGAAGGCCTTCTAGGGTGTTGCTACCCTATATCAGTTCCTATTCCGACCTCGAAATTGGGGGATACGAACATCTTCACGCTCACGGGCAGCTCCAGAGAAGAGGAGCTGGCGAATGAGTACACCAGCGAAGGGTTTGAGTTGCTCATGGCAGTAGAGTCATTCCGATAGCATTCCGGAAAATATCCGGAGTCTTAAAGAACTATCCGGTCAAAGTTAGGGTAGACATACGTATGGATGGCGAGGGATTGAGGTTGTTGACTGAATCCGCTCCGTGAGAAGACGTGAGAGTGGGGCGGAGCTGTCCCGAGCACTGTACCTCGCAACTCTGAACTCTCCGATGCCATACTATAAACTATTACTGCGTAGTACGTACTACGTAGTAAGCTTAACTAAACTGGCCACGCCTTGCCACGTGCTTTTAGTACAGATCGCGCTCTTCCTGAGCGGAGAACCCCCGATTGGCCACGACACCATTTTCCCCTGTTCTATTATGGTTTTGCGGCAGTTTTGTGCTCGTATTGAACAAGGGGAGTATCAAGTAACGATCAACGGTGCAATTTGGTTCGTTTGGTTGCGGCTTGCATGTGATGTGCCCCTTTTCAAACCCCATTAAGCTTGATCGGGCCTTCGACTTCGGATCGGTGCCACTGAGATACAGTTCCGATACAGCTCCGTTTAAATTAACCCTTAAGAAAGAAGGTACGTAACGCTAGTCATCGTGCTTGTCACCATCGTCCTTTGGACTGCTATTTGACAATGTACTTGGTCTGAAATAAAGAAGCCCAAACAACTGTGGAGTCTTATCTGTCCTTCGCTTTCCATCGCCCTGCAAAGTATCCCTCCTTGCATCCACTGTCCATTCCTCTGAAGCAATCGCGTTGCCTTCAATCGAATGTCTTCTCAATGCCCACCGACGATAGCACCCTAGAAAAGGGAGCCGCCGACGATTTAATCTCCTCCAACGATCCCACCCAGTACGCATCCTTGGCCACATCCCGATTTCGATCCTTCCCGCGAAGCCTCGTCCCGACCTTTTCCCTGGGCGCCTCCCAAAATGACCCCAATCGCAAACTGGGACGGACGGCCTACCTCGACGGCCTCCGCGGATTCGCCGCCTTCCTCGTCTATTGGTCGCATCACCAGTCCTGGGGACACGATAAGGGGCACATCTACGAGAGCGGATACGGATACAATGGACAACATTACCTAGTCCAGCTGCCAGGCCTGCGCATGTTCTTCTCCGGTGGACATTTTGCGGTGGCAGTCTTCTTCGTGATCTCGGGCTACGTCCTCTCCGCGAAGCCGCTCACGCTCATCGCGTCGAAGGAGTACGTGAAACTCGAGGAATATCTCGCGTCCGCGGTGTTTCGACGCTGGACGCGGCTCTATCTACCGATCATTGTCACGTCGCTGCTGTTTGCGACATGGTGGCATGTGTTCGGGACGCGGGTGTTCAAGCCGGTGCCGACGTACGTGGGTGAGTTTCAGACATGGCTCCAGGCGTTCATCCACCTGTCGTGGGACTGGCGACTGAGCACGCATATGTGGTTTCGCTACAACTTTCATATGTGGACGATCCCGGTCGAGTATCGCGGGTCGTTGTACGTCTACACATCCCTGATCGCATTTTCACGCGCGTCGAAAAACATGCGGCTGCTCTGTACTATCTTTTCGATCATCTATACCTTGTTGATCATCGATGGCTGGTACTTGAGTTTGTTCGTGGCCGGCATGCTCCTTTGCGACCTCGACCAACTGGCCGCGCAGGATCGTCTCCCTGCAATCTTCGACCGTGTGCGGCCATATCAGACTCGACTCCTGTGGGCAATGTTCGTCATCAGCGTGTTCCTCAGCGGCGTTCCCGCCGAGGAAAAAACCCTCGCCGACAACCCCGGCTGGTACTATCTCTCCTACCTCGTCCCCGACGGACTCAAGAGCACGAACCCCGATTCCAAATGGTTCTTCCATTTCTGGGCCGCCACGTTCATGGTGGTCTGCTGCCGACGGTTTTCCTGGCTGAAAACCTTCTTCGAAGCCCCCTTTAACCAGTATCTGGGTCGAGTGTCTTATGCCTTGTATCTGGTCCACGGTCCGGTCCTCTGGATCCTGGCCGATCCGGTGTACGCGTTGTTGGGGTGGTCGATCCCGACGACGCGAGAAAACCCGCCCCAATGGGGCAGTCTCGTGCCGGCGGTTAACCTCGGACCGCTGGGACTGGAGTTCAATTTTTTGTTGGGTCATTTGGTGATCTTGCCGATGACGTTGTGGGTTGCAGAACTATGCACTCGAGGTGTAGATGAGCCAAGTGTACGGGCCTCACATTGGCTATACAAACGTTTTATTGGGACGCCCTAACGGGATCTGTACATGGGAAACAATTGATCATCGATCTGGCCAGGAGTCAAGAACGGTGCCTTCTAGTTACTGAGCAATGGCATATATGTGCCAAAGCATTACGTCTCGACATACATGATAGACTTGCAAGACCGGGTCTATCAGCGATGTGCATATAGATGGATGGCGTAAGGTATTTGAAGGAATTGGATAGAGGAATTGGATAGCAAGTTATGTATGAACGTTAATCCACAATTTTGAGACGGGGTTCTGTTCCAGCTTGCTCTTGTTGTATTTTCTATTGACATGCATGCATCATGCATCATGCATCATGATTAAGGGAGAGATGTAGAAAGGGTGGGTGGAAAAGAGGGGGAGGAATGGGGGGAGGAGCGGATATACAAACAAACATGACTCGCTAGCTGCCTGCTGCCAATCATCTGTCGCGATGGTCCAAGCGCAGCGCGTCTCCAGAAAGTGACAGAAACTACTCCATAGACAGTGAGAAAGGCAGAAACCATGTAATTATGATGTATCACATCAGCAAACGCCAACTCCCCACGCCTTGATGCGCGTCGCGACTTGCACCCAATTCTCCATCCGTGAGCTGCAGTCCGCAAAGTCCCCCCTATCACGCCTCTATTCTCTAATATCAGGAAATACACAGTGAATTCACTCATCATATGGGCTCTGTGTTGTTTGGCTCTTAATATTCTATCGTGCTATTCACTCAGCCGTCTCTTATCGTCTCCTATACCCATCTTGTCGCGACTGGAAATTCATCGCCGCAGAACTGCATCGTCGCAGAACTGCCTCGCTGCATAAAGCCTCGCGACCAACCATCGGCAAGTATGGCGCAGCTAAATACCGCAGCGTCTCCAGGTCAGTGATTTACCGTCTCTTTGTTTGACGTCTTTATCCTTCCAGCACTGACCGATCCACCTAATAGATTCCGTAGCATCTCGTCGATATCTCAGCCTATCCGTGCTGTCCGATAAGGAGAACGCCCCTCAGGCAAGGAAAAACCGCTCTAAAGGAAAAGCTCCGATGGAGAGGCCCACCACCGAGAGATCCGTGGATACTAGATCTCCGAAGCGAAGGCGACTAGAAGAGGTCGACCCAAATGCCCGGCATCGTGCGCGCGAAGAGGACAACGAAGTCTATGATCCCAACCAAAATGAAGAGGAGCGACGGCGGATCCGCCTGGGAATGCGGGCCGTCGAACGCGAAGTTAAGGGTATGGTAAAGTATGCCGCGACTACCAGGGCCCCTCATTGACACACACTCCAGACCGCCATCAAGAGCTGATGCAGCCCGACAACACGGAGATCAACGGCCTGCTCGAACGCCAGAATGTATGCATGGACAGTGTCCGCCAGACTGCGGATGCCACGATCGACTCGCGCATCCTCCACGGCATCGGCGACCTGATCCACAAGAAAACGACGGCCATGACCCTTGGGGACTCCTCCACGGGGGTCGACGTCGACGAGTTTGTGTCGAAATGCATCTCCTTCATGCGTCTCGGTGGCGCGGGTAATGGGGACGATCGACCCGCGAACACACAAACCCAGCGACGGCGGGCGCGGCGAAACGTCGATGAGGATGAGGACGACGAAGATGGCGACGGCGATGCCTGCGCATGGGACGTCTTCGGCGAGCAGGCCTGCTTCCCTAGCAACCGGCGTCCCGCCGTATCAGGATTCCTTCTAGGCCCGCTCTCAGTCCAGAAACGCGTCCGACAGTCGCAGCGGCGGGTGGGGTTACGGCGCGACACGCAGGGTCCAGTGACGAAGCCGAAGGAGATCACGCGGGAAGATCTGGAGCAGACGGAAAGCAACGACACGCCGTCGCTGTGCAAGAAGATCCGCGATCTGCTCGTCAAAGAGTACGACGCCCGGCGGGCAAGGATCACACCGTACGAGGACCAGCTAGAAGACATGGACGAGGAAGAGGCGGAGACGGTGTTCAAGAACGCCGGGCTTGCCAACGACTGGAACATGTCGCTGTTTCAATTCGCCATCAATCCCTCGTCGTTCGGACAGACGGTGGAGAACCTCTTCTACATCAGCTTCATGGTCAAGGACGGCGGCGCCGCGCTAGGGCAGGATGAGAATGGGTTTCCCACGATCCGTACGTCCTCGCTCCATCTGCATGCTCGAATGCAGGTTCGCTAACGTTACCAGGGTATGAAAATCCGCCCGACGCGGCGAAGAGGCGGGAGCAGGAGTTGCAGAGGAATCAGGCTATCTTCAGCCTCGACTGGGCGACGTGGGAGAAACTCATTAAGCTGTTCAACATTCGCACGCCGATGATTCCGCATCGTGAATACGATACCTCCGCTGTCCGTGGTTGGTATGGGTAATCTGTTGATCTGGAGGCTCGTCCATCAGCTCTTCACTGTGCATTCTGTGCTTGAATACATTCTACAGAGGCGAAGGCGTTCAGTAAGGGGTGTCTCACTGGAACTATGTTCAACGGGCTATTAGAGGGAAACGGTTAACGGCCATGTAGAGGCGTTTTGTTTTATTAGTTTCAGCTATTGTCATCCTAGCTGCCAGCCGCGAACATCAACGGCTGTTGTAATACATTGCATTATTGTATCCTGATCGAAACCGGATCATCTGCGATTATATGTCCTGGCTCGCAGTATCTATCCTTTGTACCAAGCCGTCCAATAGCCTGCTCAAACAGGCACAGAATCGGCTTCTGGACAATCTAAGAAGCTCTCAGTCCAGACTCCAGTATCCAGACACCAATTTCAAAGGCACAAACCTATTCCTTCGGCCCATTGCAGTCCACACTGACAACCTCCCGCTTCCCCCCTGGATATATAACCAAAGCGGTCAACATCCCCCCCTTCACACATCCTGTGTCAAGCCCCACCGAGTAATCCTGCACATTCAACCCCCGTCTTGCATTATGCCCATAGACTGCAAAGAACCTATCAGAGGCAGGATGTATATGTTTCTGATGATGATTCCAGACCTGCAGACGCGTCAGTCCACGGCAGCTCTCTCACGTCGTACTTTGTCCCCTTACCTTGTCCCACGCTGTCCCCTCCGTCCCCTCGCTCGGTACTCGCGACCCCAGATCAATCGTCCGCATATTCATCGCCTGATACGGATCTTGCCGCTCCAGCGCTACCCCCGGCACCAACCCCGCATGCACCACCACCACATGCCCTATCCCCTCTATATCCCCCACGTCAAGAATCACCGGACACCCCTCCAACCACTCCACCTGCCCCTGCGTCAACTCCCGCGCCAGCTTCCGATGCTTCTCCCCCGGCGCCTTCCCCCCCTCCGAGGCGCTCTCGACGTCCGCCAGCGCGCCCTTCCGCTTAAGCGCGGCGTACGCCAGCAGCACGCGGTCGTCGTGGTTCCCGCGCACGCCCGAGGCGTCCAGCCGCCGCGCAAGGTCCACCACGCCGCCGGAGTCCGGACCCTTGAAGATCATGTCGCCCGCGAGCACGAGATGGTCGAACCCCTCCCGAAACTCCACTTTTCGTAGTAGCATCTCTAGCTCTTCCCGGCAGCCGTGCACGTCCCCCACGATCACCAACCGATTATCCGCGCCTACCCCCTCCCCTTTCGCCTCCCCCCTCCCCGGCACCCACCGCCCCTCCAACCCCGCCACATTCCTCATCCCCTCTAACCTGACCGCTCCGTTCCCGCCGAAGTACTGCTCACTCCTTCTTACACTCTGCAGACTCCGATCCAGCGCCGTCGCCTCCGCCAGGTTCGGCCCGACCCACAGCGTCCACGCGACGCAGACTAATACCAGGAAGACGAGGCACGCGACCAGGCACCGTCGGGCGCGACGGGTGAGGCGCGCGCGGAGGAGGCGGAGGAGGAGCGGGAGCCACGGAGGGGGCGCGTCGGAGAGGTCGGAGAGGAAGGAGGTGTAGTCTTCGTCGGCGAATTCGGCGGGGTTGAGGGCGGGATCGGCGAGGTGGTTATTGCGGGTTTGCCATTCGTTGGTTACGTAGTCGATGAGGGGGCGGCGGGAGGTGGTGCGAGGACCGGGAGGAGGGTGGTGACGGTGGTAGCGGATGGAGTCGCGGTTGCGGAGGGATTGTTCGTGGAGCTTTTCGCGGACAGCGGTGGGTTCGTTGGGAGGCATGCGGTGGAGGTGGTGGTTGGGAGTTGGGGTGTTATATTGGATTTCGTGTTGGACGGGTTACAGGTTCGAGATTAATTTGACGTCACCCATGGCTCTTTAATATGGCCTTAGGAGTGAATTAGGAGATGGTGGTGACTGGACTTTGGAGGTCATTATCGATAACGAGGAAGATAACGAGGAAGATAAATAGCTTAGGAGCTTGTAGTTCTGAATGACTGGATCTTAACAACAACTCTCTCCCTGCAGCTCATCCTCACAACATATATGTACTATCAAAAGCAATGGATACGGAATATGCTTGAAGATGATCCTTTTGGTCTATTAGTTATTGTTCCATACATATCAGTATCAAAGGTGTCATTCACCAAGAATGCTACTCTACTTTCATGAGACGCTGTGATTCCCCAGAACTCCTATTATATAATAGCTGGTGAGCTTTCCTCCCCTTGAGATTTGGATAATTGCTCCACAACTGTGCAGCTGTTGAACGCAAAAGTACAATCTACTTGGGGTGGGCTGTATCACTGACGGATATCCAATATCAGTAATTAGCGTAGCCAGTGCTAATTACCTCACTCTCTCGTTCGGACACAATGAATCACGCCTCATTAAACCTGGGAAAGGTATTATGTTCGAAGAAATTGAGATTTTGATATGCGATGAGTTACCATCGAAGTACGAGCCTAATTACGGATGCCAAGTTGTTGGATGCTTCCATTGCAACTTGAAGAGCGCGCGTTGTAGCCTATTGCAGTTCATATTGATCCAATTTGCCCCTTTCAAACGTAGTGACATCCTTGAACCGAAGTTCTGTCTGCAAGTAAGCAACCAACTCGCCTCTACCTATGTTCCTCACTACTTCCCTGGATGAGATTACCTCTCCCTCGCATTCCCATGACTGTTGAATCCTCAATAATCCGGACTGCTAAATGAATGGCTGGAGATCTTACCATTCACACGGCAATGATGCCACTGCTGCCAAAGGGATGCCAGTCCAATCAACACTTGGAGGGTGCCGTACGTGATGAGGATAATATTCTGAGCAGGGAGATGGTGAGCCATTGCTAGCAAAAAAATTGCAATGTTTGTGGATATGGCGGTTCTGAAGCAAAGAGGTGGGTTTTTGGAGAAACAACTTGAGCACCTTTGAGTTTGGACTACTGGAAGAGGAATTCAAGAACTCACCCTCTATACTTATACTATCTTGATTTCTATTCCTCTGCGTAAATAACGGATGAGGTAGCGCTACACAATAGTACTTCTGTATGAGATTCCAAAGGATCGCACTAGAGCAGAAACAATTCGGTGAGAAAGGTAGCACTTGGTATCGTACTTGACTTGGGGGCGGGAACAAAGCCCATAATTGTATCCTCTGGAGGTTCAGCTGTACCAACAAAAGCAAGAGTACTTTTCGCGGATGACCTTACACATGATAAATGTAACCAGTTCCGCCGAGTACGGACACGATTGGCAGGGCCTCGCTTGAGCCAACCATTGGTTCGATGACGAAGGGAGGCAGCGCCAGTAGACTTAATCATTCAAATTATACTCCGTACTTTTGAAGTTTTAAGCGATGAATCAAGCTACCATTGTTCTCCCATCCCATGATTTCACCACCAATTACTTACTCCGCCACGTTGGAACCGGTAAGGAGTAGGGAGTAAGGAGTATCAGTAAGGACTAAGGACTGAGGACGCTGAAGGACGCCAAAGGATCCATAGCATGGCGATTAGGGAGAGCTGAGAATCATGGAAATTGGAAACTCGCCAAGCGATTGTGTTTTGGTGCATCAGCAGCAGCCAGTAATCAGCATTCGCCATTCAGCAAGGTTGGGACTCTGAGAATGGAAAGCATCAGTTGTGGACTTGTGATTGTTATCATAGGCGGCTTAACTAGTCCTGTCACACGCGGTGGACAGAAATACTCGCATTGTCGAGGTCCACCCGCGTCCACACAAAACCTGTAGGATTTAATGCATTCTACAAGTAATTAATACACATCATTTTAATATGACCCCATTCCGTGAAAACCCTCATAATCCATCCAAAACATGGCGTAAATCGACGTATTTCATTATATCTAGACTCATAATATGTGACTGTATAGATGGTGATTTGGTGAGGAAGATCCCTGTATGTATTGGTGGTGAGTGCACTTCGGCAATGCGAGTATTTCTGTCCATCGCCTACCTGTCACTCACTCCTGCTGCTACCAACTTATCAGCTTCATGCTGTGTCCGCCTGATAACCCAAGCTTTTGCAGTTTGTGACATTCAGCCATCGGCAGTTGGGCTTTGGCACATTGCCTCGTTGCCTTCCAGGGCTTCCTTGGCCAACAATTGTACGGATACGTTTGCCCTTTTTTGCTAGTAAAGGTGTATGGTGGCTCACAGTAATTAGCGCTGCCGTATTCATCACCGCCCTTCCCCACTGCCATCCAGATGGGCGCCGGGTGTAAACACGGCCACCACGCTGCTATTTTTTAAGTGTTAACTCGTCGCCCTCTTGAATTTCGTTGTCCAGTAATCCATAAGTTCCCCAGCTTATGGTGGTTTTATCAGTATAGCTTTCGCCATCTCCTGACCGGATTTGCCAAAGCCCCCAGAGGGGATCAACGCTGGCCATGGACTATCCGCTGCCAGGCAGCAAGTTTCTGCCTCAGGATTATCCAAATTGGTTCTTGCCTCTTACTCCTCTACCTCCAAGCTCCCCCCATTCATCGAGTGTTATCTCAATTGGGACTCAAACGGGATCTGCAAGATGCTTGTGGCGGTGCAGGCATCTTCAGATGCCCGTCTGAGGACCATCTGCAGCACTTTGGTGGGCGCCCCGGCGCGTAAGTAAAAAGAGCGGATTTGGCCCCTATGGCTCACCAAACCCCACCAAAATTGGCGACGGTCGTGACGTTGTCAGGTTGTTTCTGCTCCTTCTGGCGCAGCAGATCCTGTTGTCTAATGCGTTCAATTGCCGCTGGAGTAAGGATGTTATGAATTCCAGGAGGTAGGAATGGCATGGACTCTATCCTATGCTCGAATTTGATTTTGTGTTTGGCAGGAGCGATCTGTGCTAAGCCTCCTGGTCATATAACCTGTGAAATACTCCTGGACTTTCTGTGTTATCCAAGGTAGGATAACCAAAAACTCTCTTTATGCTTGTAATACAGAATACTTTTTCTACAATGAAACTAAATAGCTGGCGGTCTAGATGCTGCCCAAGTGATTTGACCCGTCGCTATTACTGGAGCTCCGCATATACACCAACCGCGTCATGCAATCTTTCTGGTGATAGTATTCCTTTCGATCAAGCATACAGTCGATCTCCATACCCTCAATACTATCCAACAGGACCGCATCAGGAGTGACCAGAATGACCAAGCTGCCCTATATAACACCGACATAAACCCTCCAATCAAACAATCAGACCGAATTCGTCAACTACCCAAGCGCTCGGCCTTGTGTGAATTCACCAGCGCCCTTCATGTCCAGTGTAAGGGAATGCAAGTCGAGCGATCATCTCTCCAACGTCGAAATTCATTCTCGTACTTCGGTGTTCGTCAGCCATGCCGAGTTCCCCAGGAGTCTACCCAGGTCCCAGGGTGCATATTACCTTGCAGCCTCCTCAGTGGCCAGACGGCGCAACGCACCATCTCTCTCCGCCTCCGAAATGCGGCGGGACATTCTGGCTTCGCTATATAGTTGAAAGACATGTGATTCGAGCGCTTTGGCGCTTGCGACTAGGTCGATATAGGTCAGCCCGTTGTGGCTTGGTGACGGAAAGTCGGCTCACCGGTCATGCGGGAACGACGCGGGTCGACTTTCTGAAAGGAGTCCACATAGGCTTGGGACCGCTGCCAAAGGCGGTATTTCTCCGCTTCAGATTGTCGCTGGGTAGTGACGAAGGTTTCCGCCTCTCCCACGGCTTGTGCTGCTCGAGATTCCCAAGGCATGCTAGGATGGTGAGGATAGGTTGGGGAGCATGGTCAGTGGGGGGTGTATTGGGACTTCTTATCGCCTAGAACGAAAGGTATATCCATGTGCTGGAGCCTAAAGATGAGGCTGGATCGATATGCAGTCGCCCAAGGGGAATCATCTTGGACGGCGAGGGATCCAAGTCCGTTGTTGTTTATTACCAAACCCAGGATGGCTGGCCGATTTCCTAGAGGACTTCGAGGGGTACAAAGCTGCTCACTGTGTAGATGCTGGTATACACTTGAGAGCAGGATTATCAGCATGATATTCCATCAGTCTTCAGAAACTAATCGCTAAGATATCCTCTACGAATAGACGAGACCTGTAGGCTGTACTCAAGCAATTACGGAATATCATAAATTCATAACCGAACATAGGGTGAAAGGGGCAACATCCGATGAACTGAACGATGTCATAGCAACAAGCCTGGAAAAATACCAGTAGCGGTCCCGATCCCGTAAACAGCAATCCATCCGACAATCGACAATTGGTGGAGTTTAAAATCATCGAATTTATCCGACGTCTCCCATGCGTCAAGCTTCTCGTCTATAGGATGGCCTATGATCCGCCGTTACCGCGCTGTCCACCGCATGTCAATACATGGGGCCGTCCTATTCGACCTACTGAGACCTAGGGCACCCAACGCGGCGGAATATCTCGCACAGATGGGAGAAGGTAAGGTACAGGACTGACGAGACACGCCGAGTCGCCTCATCGGTAGAGCGGGATGGATTACAAATATCCGATGGAAGCTTGGGGGGAGGGGGATTAGGTGGGGAGTTATGCATATGCGGGAGGGAGAATGGAATCCAAATAACTAAACGGCGTTTGAAGTCATGGACGGTTCATCAGCTCGGTGGATACGAGACGACATGGGCTGGCATATTCGCCTGCCAACAACCCGAACGTGGATACGTCAGAGGGAGAGTGTGGGGGCGGGGGATGATTTAAATGCATACCTATTCCGGTTCGGTTTTTCAACTTCCCTTCCCTTCTATACTATCTCTAAAGATTTAGAAACACTCAATTGAGACCTCCAGCTTCCAATTGCCCATTTCTCTCTTCCAAACCACCGAGCCTACCCCGCCACTGCTCCTCTCACCATGCCTTACCCCGACACCGCAGAGGGCTTCCAAGTCCACGACACCAAGAACTGGAGCACCTTCAAGAAAGGCGAAGTAACCCTCCCCTCGTCATCTCCAACCCCATCCACTAACCCCCTTAGTTCAAACTCAAGCCCTTCGAAGCCCACGACGTCGACATCGCCATCGACGCCTGCGGCGTGTGCGGCTCCGACGTGCACACCATCACCGGCGGCTGGGGCGACGTGATTCTCCCCCTCGTCGTCGGCCACGAGGTGGTCGGCCGCGTCCTGCGCACCGGCCCCTCCGTCACGCACTGCGCCGTGGGCGACCGCGTCGGCGTGGGCGCGCAGGTGGGCGCGGACCTGACCTGCGACCTGTGCAAGGCGGACGCGGAGAACTACTGCCCGAACCAGATCGACACGTACGGGGCGGAGTATCCGGACGGGACGATCAGTCAAGGGGGGTATGCGAGCCATATCCGGGCGCATGAGTATTTCGTGTTTAAGATCCCGGAGGCGCTGGAGACGAGCTTGGCGGCGCCGATGTTGTGTGCGGGGATTACGGTGTTTAGTCCGTTGAAGCGGCTGGGGGCGGGGCCAGGAAAGCGGATTGGTGTGGTGGGGATGTGAGTGTTTCCGTCGTTAATGAGGAATTGAGGATGAAGTACTGACTACGTGATACAGCGGCGGTCTGGGCCACTTCGCCGTCCTCTTCGCCAAAGCCCTCGGCGCTGAAGTCTACGCGCTCTCGCACTCCCCCTCGAAAAAGGACGACGCCCTCAAGCTCGGCGCGACCGGCTTCATCACCACCAACACCGACGACTGGGCCGATCCATGGAAATACAAATTCGACATGCTCCTCAACACAGCCAACGCGACCGATAAGTTCAACCTGCCCGCCTACTTCTCCACCCTCAAGCCGCACGGCGTGTTCCACAACGTCGGGATGCCCGAGGAGCCGCTGCACGAGCTGCGGTTCCAGGATTTCGTGACGACCGGCTGCTATATGGGGACGAGCCACATCGGGAACCGGCCGGAGATGCTGGAGATGTTGGACCTGGCGGCGAAGGCGGGGGTGAAGAGTTGGGTGGAGACGATCGATGTAGGGGAGGCGGGGTGTAAGGAGGCGGTGGAGCGGGTGAAGAATAACAAGGTGCGGTATCGGTTTACGTTGGTGAATTATGATAAGGCATTTGGGAAGCGGGAGTAGAGAGGGTTGGTTACGCGACGCAGGATCGGGGACGTAAAAGCTTTGTGATAGGAATCTAAGCAAAATAGACGCTCCATAAATGGAGTCGATAGTTGCACATGCACGTGTCTCAGCGCCATCGATTTCGAATCATTTGCGTTGCCATCTACCTACAACACTCTAAACATCTCAGGGGCAAGCCACCTCAGCCGTGTTCCCATCCGATCGTCTCGCATCACCCTCTCCAGGAACAATTCCTACCGTCCATCCATCAAGCAAGAAACGACATAACAGCACGGCGTATCTGAGATACCCCGACAACAAACGACTCAGCCACTCCGCAGAATGCCGTGCGCCGATATGCAAACCCCCGAAACCAGCAACCCTCGGAAAAAAAAACCCCATCCAGAACACCGATCCCCCTGTGATGTATCCGCAACCGTCCAACCTCCGAACTCGCGGTTCAAAACGCCAGGTCATACTGCAAACGATCGCTTGGAGCGGTGGGATTAGGCGCTGTGGTTCGTTCGTCGAGGGAAGTGGACCAGGGGGGAAAGGAAAGAAGAAGGAAATGCAGGGATGCTTTCGCGGTGCGATGTGATGTTTCGGTTCTATTGTGGCCGTGGTCTATCCCGATCCAGGGCGTATGCAAAGGGAAAAAAGAGGAAACGAAGAGCAGGCGAAGAGAGAAGTTCGGACGCCGGCGTCGAGACTGATGGAAGAATCGAAGAATCGTTGGAAGGCCTCCGATGGGGGAACCCCTAAAAGGGAAAGGAAAGCAAGGTAATGCGTGGTGCAAAGTCTATATACACATCGAAACGGGCCGAATCCGCGCTATGCAGGAAGGACAAAGAACAGAATGTGGAAACATGTCTCGGTGGTGTGGGTCATGAAACAGGTGGAGGTCATGAGAATGGGTCGGTGGGTGTTATTAGAAGAGGTTCGTCGCGGGCGGGGGAAACGTCGAGAGTCGGGTCGAGGGGATCGTGAAGGAAGAGGTGAGCTCATGAACAGCCGTGGACGAGCGAGTTCTTCGGCCATCCGTACCCGGTATCCTCCCACATGGTTATATTCGGATTCCGATACGAGATCGGATGGTCCTCAATATACTGCGTAGTCGGATACCCCGGCGGATCGCAGGTCGTCGATTCCTTCCCCTCATCCTGATAGATCCGTACGTAATCCACGCGCATCGTCGCCGGCATCAACGTCGCCAGCCCCGTCAAATTCAACGACGCGAACCCCTCCGACATGCCGAAGTTGATCACCATGGCCAACGGCTCCGTGGGGATAGGCCGCTGGCCGACGTTGCCGTTCTGCCGCACCGCCTTGCTGTCGACGGTCCAGGTTTTCTGGTCGCCGATGTACCAGGTGACGTAGCCTTCGGCGCCCGGGTCGTATTCGAAGGCGTAGGATTGGTAGGATTTGCCGTCATACCAGTCGTTGTTGAGGTTGGAGACGCCGGAGATGGCTTGTTGGTACACACCTCCGGCGTAGCCGTTGACTTCGGTGACGCGGTGGTCGTAGATTTCTGTGTAGTCTGCGGGAGGGTCAGCGATGTTTCGGAAAGAACGAGGGGTAAAACTCACCATAGTCAGGCTGCCAGAAGATGTCGAACGGAGCGACCTGCAAACTCTGCGACACGCTCCCCACTCCCTCGCCCGTATTCAGAAATGACACCGACGCTTCGATCACGTCGATTTCCGGGGCGCTGCGCGATTTTCCTGGGTTCGGATGATCCTCGCCCTTGCACGGACACGCGGGAAGTTTCATCCCGGGCAGCGAACTCAGGCCATCGACCTGGCTCTGATTCGCGGTGATGCCAGCGTCACATTCGTCGTGATAGCTGAACGGCCACATGCCCTCGGTGGACGAGGCGTAGCCCGGACGGCCCAGGTTGCCCATAGCCCAGAAGCCGGGCCAGAAGCCGATGGTGTCGCCGCGGCCGGGGAGGGAGATGCTGGCTTCGAGGGTGCCGCCTGTGAAGCAGAATTGGTTCCAGGATTGGAGCATGGCGGAGCGGTAGTTGAGGCCGTGGTTTTGGAAGGCATCGAATTGGATGTTGAGGGTGCCATCTTTGGTGGTGGCGGCGTCAGGGTCGTACCACTGGAGATGTCAGATCGCGGTGATAGTTGGAGAATCATGCGTTGTTACCTCTAAGTCTCGCGTCACACCGTACCAAATGTCGACGGCCGTCCAGTATGCGTCATCGCCTTCGTAGAACGTCCGTCCATCAACGTTGAACTCGTCGGAGAACTGGGAATGTGAGCTTCATCCGGAGGCCTGGGACCACAAAACTTACCACCAAATTCTGCTTCACACCCTTCGCGGTCGTCCGTGTCTTGACCGAGTCCGGCGTATCCGGATCAATCAAGCCCGTCCGGATGTTCTTCATTTTCGGAACGTCACCGACATCCAGGCACATCGGATTATTCGTGCACCCGTCATCCTTCAGCTCCAGCGCGCTGCGAACGAACGTCCTGCCATGCCATTAGCGTATATCCCCCAACGACACCCGCGCCGACATCGCCGGACAAGAACCACATACAAGATCGGATACCCGATGAACAGGAACAAGATCCCCAGCGTAATCAACGCCAACCCCCCAATATTCACAAACCCTCTCCGCGTGAAGATGTTGCACTCCCGATTCTCGTCCTCGGGTCCCGGATTATGCAGGTAGTCATCCTTCTCCACATCCTCCGGATACAGCAACAGCCCCGCGGACGGCTGGATGTTAAACTTCTCCGACACGGTCTGCGTGTTGAGTCCCTCGTCCTCGCTGTCGGCCCGCGACGGCGCGCGCGAGTCGTCGTACGGCGATGCGAACGGGTTCATCCGACTGTCGCTGCTCGCCTCGGAGCTCCAGCTGGAGCGGCGCGACGCGGACAGCGGCGAGGGGGGGTGCATGGGGGGGTCATCGTCGCGGAAGCGCTGGCGGCGGGGGGAGGGGCGGGAGGGGGGGAGGAGGAGCTCTGAGGAATCGGCAGCGGCAGGGGCGAAAGTGGTATTAAGGGGGGGAGGGCGGTAGGATTGGGGAGTAGTGAGGGAGCGGGCAGATTGAGGGCCGGTTCTGGAGGGGCGAGATTGGAGGTCGTTGGTGATGAGGTCGAGGTCTTCTTGGGCGGAGTTGAGGCGGATGTGGGGTGGTGGGTTGCCGCGGGGGGGAGAGATGTTAGAGGAGTACATGGTGGTGGTAGTGGTGGTGGTGGGAGGAGGGTGAGGGATGGAAGGAGGTGAGGGAAGAGAGTTTGTTCTTCACGAGAACGACTCCCTCCCCAAGACCGGTCGATTAGATTCGGTCTGTGGTCGTAGGAGAAATTTGAAGAGGTCGACGGTTAGGAGACGAGGATGCCGCCTGGAGCGAGAGCAAACGTAGGTCGATAAACGATTTGTTCTAGGTCAACAGTGAAGTGATCGCTTTGAGAATGTCGAAAAAGGAGGGTCCGAGATGGAGAATCGACGTTCAATCGGTGGAGAGTGTAGGCAAACGAGGAATAAGATATTGGATCTAGGAAACGAATGTGGAAACAAAGTCGAGTGCGATGTTTGTAGACAAGATTTGGATGATGTTCGTTGTGTGTTTGTCGTCGGTGTGGAAAGGGAAAGGGAGAGATGCAGAGTTGGAGGCCCGATGCCGAGTTGGATGCAGCTAAAACCAGGAACAACGCCACTGAACAACGGCGTTCCCGGGGGTGCTGCGATCCGATGCGTGTGATCGGGACTCAACTGTCAGGTACTTAGGGACGAGTGAGCACTACGGGAGTGAGACGTCAGATGCGACAGCGGGAACAAACCATGAATAATACGTAGAGGATTATGCAACCAGGAGAAAGTCACGATATCTCGTGGAGATTGAGTTCACACACGATCTTGTCTGGTAAATCAATCAATCTGGCAGGATCTGGGACTGGGATGATTTAGTGACACTCGCTTGACCCAAGAGGCGTCCCGCCTCTCCCTTGTCCTCCCTGAACTCCCTCATCTCCTCCCAACTTCATCTTCGTTTCGGCGCCTTCTAGGCCTTTCCGGGCCTTGACCCTCCAAACTCGGCGGCTCCTGGGCACCTGGTTGGCTGTCCCAACGTTGTAGGCTACCCCCCATCCATCCATTGGACCAACGGGAGACGGCACACCCGCTAGCCTGCTACGCGCAATTCCGCCTCACAGCCTCCTTTTTTCTCCAATGGCTCCACTGCGCAATCTTGAATCAGGAATCTTCCCTGTCACCGGATGAACCGCCCGTCGTCATCTTGTCTTTGTCTTTTGTCTTTTTTTGCCATCGTCTAGGACGTCTGGGAGACTCGCAGAGTGGATGATCCTGGGCAGGTAGCTTGGACGGCGTCATTGTGCTTCGTGAAAGTCCGAAACTGGCGAAACATCGTCGCATGATTACAATAAGGTTTGCCACACTGCACTGGCAGGCGGTCGAGAGCTTGGCGTTTTGGTCGATTCCAAAAGTCGTGAGTTGGAAATGAGAGGGCCCATAGAAGAGAGATTGGCAGGATGTTGCCATTCTGGGCGGAGGATTCAGATCGTGGTTCATGTTTCAGGTCGCATAGGGGAATATCATCTCGGCACCATGACCGTTCGTCTTTAAAACCGCTGGGTCTCTCATTCATTCAAATTCCGACATGATCGATATATCTACAGACTCGGGATATCTACGATGATGGTATACCTCGTATACAGCAGAGCCTGAACCTGGCACCTGCAGAGCGAATTGCGAATACGGACGGGAGGATCCCTTGACCCCTGGTTACCTGGATGGTCCCGCACACGTGACACGGCATCCAAAGTCTTGGCATCATTTCGCAAGAATGCTGTGCACAGTATACATTGCACTTCATCCACCCAGCGATAACGAGGACGTCCAGTGACCACACGAACAATCATAATAGATCCGCCACATACCACAGTTGAGTTAACCAGCAGTATACACACCAACCCCATCCCCTTATGTCTCAACCCCCACCGCCCTCAACCCCACCACCTTCCCACCCTCCCCATCCCACCCTACCACAAAATACTCCGCCCTCCTCCCTCCCGCATCCATCTCTGCCCGAAAGATCTTGATCTCTGCTCCGCTGCCGGCCGCTTGCTGCACCGCGTCGAACACCGGCGCGTACTGGTTCGTGGGGTCGAATTCGGCGCGCGTAAGGGCAGTGGTGGTGGGGTTGTCGATGAGGGTGGCGAAGGAGGCTAGGATGGGATTAGTGAGGTTTGGAAGAGGGATGAGAGGATGCTGGGGAGACGGGTAGAAACGAGGAGAGTAGAGTGATCGATCGAACCACCCATGCGAAGTAGGGGTATCTCCCAGAGCAAAGGGCAGTATAAGTAATAGTAGCATCGCAAGGCATCAAATCACGTCACCCACCTTCATCCAACCCCCCCTTCCCATCCCACACCAATGCCACCACCTCCCACGGCTCGTCCGCCTCCGACGTATACCACAGCCCTTCTGCCCGTTGTGCCAACCCCTGCGGCACCTCCGCCGTCACTGCCTGTGTTTTCTTGCTCGAGGTTGAGGTTGAGGTTGTTGTTGCTCCGGTCGGCGCGGAGACGTCGCGGTTTGCGTGGTCGAGGAAGGATTCGTAAGACATGGTGCGGATGGGGGGGTGTGTGAAGGTGAGGATGGGGGGGTGGAGGGTGGGAAGGGGTTGGATGGTGCGGAGGGTTCGCGAGATGGTGGGTGGTGGACGGAGGGCGTTTGTGGAAGCGGAGAGGAGGCGTTTCATGGAAGGGGGCCTGGAGGTGTATGTGGGTAGATCGAGGCAATGATTCAGAAACTTGATTTGGACGATTAATTATAGGAAAATAGAGGTTGCTGGAATAACTTGGTATGTGTTGAGGATGGTTAGGAGGCGTGGGAGGTAGTGATGGGTGGTAGTGAGGTTCCCGTGGTGGTCAGATGTCTTAGCTTTAGATCATGACGTCTGCTTGTTGCTTGTCGATCGGGCTTTGCCAACTACAACCTCATCGGTCAGGGGGCCAGATCTCAACTCCTTGTAGCAAGTCCGAGTTTTCCGATTCTTTCGGTTTATCGATGCATTGGCCAAGTCTAGAAAGGAATGTTCTTTATTTCGTTGCGTTTGATTCTTCTAAGTCAATGTTGTCCCTATCGTTCCACTCGCTGTGCTACGCCTACACGGTGTTAACATGACGAGCAACATATCGCGCAGCTCTTCATCGTCCATCCGATTTTTAATAATAATACAGTACTCTCTCTCATCTCTTCGCTCAACGAATGGCTACTCTACACACTCCTACATTCTTTAAACCCCTCGCAATTCCCCTCAACTCCAACGCGTCACAACCCCTAAAACCAGCACCGATGCGACTGTACCACCTGAAAGTCCAGGCATCTTGTCAATCCATACCCTCTATCTCCATTCCACACCGGTTCAAGGACCCCACGACCAGCGACTCCCCATCCCTGACTGCCCGTTGCCGTGCCTCTTAGGGGACGGTCGCACTGCAGAGAGGGGCGGAGGTGTTGGTCGTGCGATGCGGGTGGGTGCTGGGCTGGGTGCTGGGTACTAGATGGAAGGGAAGTGCGGAGATGTAGGGTGTGGTAGGGATTGGTTGGGTCGAGGGAAGGGAGAGCTGGTAGGTAAGTGCACTGGATGAGTGAGGAGTCTTTTTCAATAATCAGATGTTCATCGACGCGCTGTTTGGATGGGATGCCGTTCCTCGTTGTACGGAATGGAACAGGCGTTGGGATTCTTGTTCGAGAACCCGGATATCCGTCTCGCGCGTCATGTGGCTGCGTATTCCATTCGTCGCTATCTAATATGCGGAATGATATACTTCCCGCTTGCTCTCCTTCCTCCGATATTCGACTGGTTTTGCAGCTCGTGGAGGGAACGACCGGCGCAGCACATAGACATTGTGGAGCATGCGATACATCCATCGTCAACTGTCAGGATATAACTTCGCCATTCGTCTGGCTTGGGGACGGAAAGTTCTATACCACCATTCGTCTCATCTCGATACGCCACGCGATGTCTGGAAGTGCCGTCGACGAACCCTGATTGGCGAGGATAGGAGACTTGATGGGGCAGAACTGTTGGAGGTCCCTCACGCTGCGAGCATAAGCTAGATCGATTGGCTCCAACACCATTTTTTGCACTTCGATAGAAATCGGATACGCTTCGGTCACCAGCATCGTCATAGCTGTCCGATCCGCCCAGATGTAGTCGAGGGAAATGGAGCTCGATGCGGCGGGGACCGCGGGCGTCGGAGATGCCAAAGCCTCGATTATGATATCGATTCAATACTGCTACTTCATCTATCGTCAGACACCAAGGAATCAGATCGAATTGTAGCCGACCAATTTCTACTAGCATACATGCCATTCCCCGAGAAATAACGTCCTCCGCCCTAAATACTCCTTTACGACCTATAGATCAATAGTTCACCCAACCAGGGACCCCATCATCCCCACATGCCCAATATCCGTTCAATTTATAACCCCATTTCCTATCGCGCTCCCTACCGCGGATTGCCCCCGGCTCATGACCGCCCACGACGCTCGGCCCATCTCCAAGCCCACCACCACAATATATACCAGCTCCCTTCCCGAATTGCAATTCCCGCTCCGCTGGGCTGAGAGGACTTGGGAGAGGCGGGGACGTAGAGGCGATGGGAAATCATGTATCTTGGCGATTCATTTATGGAGATTGCGAGGGGATCAGCCGCGGGACGTATGGGCGGGGATGGGCGATATTGGGTCGGGTGTGGGTTTAACTTTTATAGTTTACTGGGTGGGATGCTGGGGGGCGGAGGATAGGGTCGGGGTTTCGGGGGTGGTTAGATCTGAGGGGCTGGCAAGTTGTGGTTCGCTGTCGATAATATACATAATAGTATATACATGCGCCAAATTTCGCGACCCTTGGAGTCGAGGCGGGGGAGCGTTGGTGCAGGTTGAAATAGACGGTCATATCGCTGATTGGTATTGTCGACTTGAACAATTGGTCACATCGGAGAGAGAGAGGGAGTTGGTTCCGGCTGGCGAGTGGACTCGTTGCGATCTAGACGATGCGACGCAGAATGCTGTGGCTGCTCAACTTCGAAGTTCTGTGAAACGTGGTGGATGGATATATCCTGAGCTAGTATTCGAGATGGCTGAAACCTTTCGCTTTGGTACAGATAGCGGGCTTAGGAGGCAGCGTTCAAATACGGAACATGAAGGCTGATGGTTGTACCGAATGTCAGGTAGGCTGACCGCCGACTGTAGTGGTCAATTTGACATTCCTTGGTCCTGGTGTTTTGGACCACGATATTAGGAGGCTGGACTGGATGCAGGTGAGATTTGACGCCAGGCTGAGATTGATAGGGACAGCCTGACAGCCTGAACCTGATTGACATTTGACACAACAGACACGTTGTTTCCCCCAGCGCGATTGGTGTTCCTTTCCTTCCCGCACCCAATGCAATCGACCAGGGGATGCGACCAGGGGATGGCATCACGACCGCCCACTCACTGCAGCGTTTTAGCGCCCCCCACCCAGTATCCTCCTCGCACGCGCTGCTTTTGCTGTGGGCAATCCTGTCGGCTGTCAGGTGTGTGCCAACTGCCAGGCGTCTGGTGGGTGTGCAGCAAGTAGCACAGGCAGCGGTGCACTGCGCAGTACATGTACAGGAGGTCTCACTGGTATGAGAATGAGAAACACCGAACCGCTGATCCCCCTTCCCAAGCAAGAGCCCATCCCGGTTCCTTCCATGAATCCATTCCCATCGTGCCAGACCTTCTACTTTTGTGTCACGGAGCTTGGCATCCCCAGACGCACCAGTGCACCACGCCGCGTCGGAGTAACAGCACCAGGAGTCCAGGACAGAACCAAGCAGATTCCAGTCATTTAACTCCACGAGCCACCCACCGCACCTGGCCCCAAAATATGCCAAGGCCACCAAAGGCGCCAAGATCGCCTTAAGCACTGGAACCCAGTAACGGCAGGATGGAGGGGGTCCCACATGGAGAAGGAACGGAAGGGCAGAGTCTCAGCCACTCCTAGGCTCTCTCATGGAGCAATACCTGCAAAAGTCCTCGCACAGATCGCGGTGGCCTCCGTGCCTCTTTTTGTGGGTGTGAAACCAGTGAACGGAACGGGCGGCGGGCGTCGGCATCGGCTCATGTCTGAGTCTCTCTACCCCCGTATTGCTAAATATGGGTACCCTCTAGGGCACCGCTGCAATCTGCATGTTTTCTGGAGCCAGGTCCAGTGAATCTCAGAAGCCCATCCTGGACTCCAATCCTGGCCCGTGAGGCGCGAATGCACTATCAGCCACGCTTTCTGGCGATGCTGCTCTTACCTTAAACGTCGGCCAATCGTCATCGGCGATATCAACCCTAATCCACGCGGGCCCTCAGTCAGTCACTCAGTCAGTCAGTTCTGCCCCTTCGGCGGTTTCGATGGCCTTTCAGCAGCTTTACGATGCCGCCGTCGCTGCAACTCTCCCTGCAACTCTCCGTTCCGACGCTCTTCTCGCTCTTCTCCTCTTCTTCTTCCTCTTCGGCCTCCTCTCTTCTCTCTCGCGCTCTCTCTTGCTCTCTACCCTCTCCTTCGTGAGTCCATCTCCAGTCTGGTCCTCTCACCGTCATCCATTGGCTTGGTGCGCTATTCCTCGTCAACCCCAATCTTGGATATTGACCTTGCTCGATCTCACGGCACCTGGGTCCTGGATCGGCCGCTGAGCTCATTTATCCACGCAATCCACACAATCCACACAACGTGAACTGCCACCTCTCCAGCCCCTGCCCATTTTTCTCAATCTCCATCTTCACCCTCCCTCTTGAGCCTTGGGTCTTTGTCTTCTATATCACCACTTACATCATCTGTCCCGTTTCACCACTTCTCCTTCACCTGTCCCATTGCCGGTGAATCCCCATCTCGTAACCCGTTTTGTTTCATTCACCCAACTATGCTGTTGTCTGCAACCTTGATTGGGAACTGGTAGATCCTCCATTCACTATCGTTGCGACGCTGTTCACTGCACTTCCACGTCAGCTCCGCGACGCTGAAGGAAACTGCCCCATAGTTTCACCCACCGTTCTGTGGTGAGCATAAGATTTCATATGTGACCCGCTTTCACAATACTAACTGGTGAACTTAGAACACTATTGTCCTGTCGAGTCGAACTTAAATCAACCACCACAATACCAAGGTACACCTCGAGAATTCCTCGATATTCAAACCACATCTGCCATCGCGCCACCCAAGCGCATATTCAACGACGTCGATGGCGACCCACCAGCATCAATCTCCCACTACCGTCATGCCTCAACATCACCCTCCGCCGCAGGGTCATGTCCAGGCGAACGGTCATCCTTCGAACCCTGCGCCTACAATCATCCAGCGAATGGCCCAGGCGAACGAAGCTGCGTGGTATCAAGCCGGTATTTCCCAACATCCCTTTTGTCGAGGGACCCGCGCTGACAAGTGATAGGCCAACTTGCCGAAGTTCTCGGAAATTTGGACGATGCGATCCAATCCTACCAGGAGGTGATTCGACATAACCCGTACTCGGTTCCCGCCATGATTGCCATCTCGCACATCTTGCGCAGCAGGGATCAATTCCCGCAAGCGGTGGATGTCCTTCGCAGCATCCTCAAATTAGAACCGAACAGTGGCGAAGTATGGGGTAGTCTAGGTATACAATTCACCCTCGAGACATCCGCAGGCGCTAATGCAGCCCAGGACATTGCTACCTGATGATGGACAACCTTCAGGATGCGTACTCCGCATACCAGCAAGCCATCTACCATCTTCCGGATCCAAAGGTAATTTCCATTCCGAAAATGTCAAACGCAGACTGACTAGTGTAGGAGCCCAAATTGTGGTATGGCATCGGCATCCTTTACGACCGTTATGGATCCTTGGAGCATGCCGAGGATGCCTTCTCCCAGGTCATGCGCATGGATCCGACGTTCGAGAAGGCCAATGAAATCTACTTCCGATTGGGTATCATTTACAAACAACAACAAAAATATCCCGCAAGTTTGGATGTAAGTTGGCGGATTCACATGCGCGGTGCGACCTTACTAATTCCATGCAGTGCTTCTCATACATTGTCAATGACCCGCCTCGCCCACTGACAGAGGAGGATATCTGGTTCCAGATTGGCCATGTTCATGAACAACAAAAAGACGTACGCATCCCCAAACACCTACCATCCAACCTACTAACAAACCCAAGTATGAAGCCGCGAAATCCGCATACCGTCGCGTCCTCGACCGTGACCCGAAACATGCGAAGGTCCTTCAGCAACTCGGCTGGTTGTATCACCAAGAAAGCACCGACTTCCGAAATCAAGACCAAGCCATCGAATACCTGGAGAAATCCGTCGCAGCCGGTGAGTCGCTCCCAGCGACCGGTCGTTGTACCCGAATCGTTGCTAACCGCATGCACAGATCAAACCGATGCTCAAAGCTGGTACCTGCTCGGGCGCTGCTACATGGCCCTCCAAAAGTACCCGAAGGCGTACGAAGCCTACCAGCAAGCGGTTTATCGTGATGGACGGAATCCCACCTTCTGGTGCTCCATCGGAGTACTGTATTACCAGATCAACCAGTACCGTGACGCTCTGGACGCATACTCCCGGGCAATCCGGCTGAATCCCAACATATCCGAGGTCTGGTACGACTTGGGCACCCTGGTATGTTTGCTATCGTTTGTTTCGTGTTATGCCTGCGCATCCGATGGCTGATTGAAATAGTACGAGTCCTGCAACAATCAAACGGCGGATGCCCTGGATGCCTACACCCGCGCTGCTGAATTGGATCCGACGAACCACCATATCAAAGCTCGTCTCAACCTCCTGAAGAACGGGGGCCCGACCAATGGGATGCCAAACCAGAACAGCGCTCCCATGCCACAGGATGTGCATCCAAACGCGTATCAGCCGGCTCCCGTCCAAGGCCCTCCCGCCCCGCAATGGAATGGATCGGCGGCTACGCAACATCAGGCCCCTCCACCGCCATCTTTTGACAATTCGCGAAGACTGGCCGAAATTCAACAGAATGCTCAGCCACCGCAGCAACTGTCGTCGTTTGATCAGCGAGATGGTCGTGTTCAACCAATTCCTCCTCCTCGCGCAGCGGTTCGTCCACCGAGTCCTCGACCGGAACCAGGCAGGACCTATACCGACCCGGCTCGGATGCAGCAGCATCCTCCTCCCCCTCCGCCTCCGCCAAGGAATCACTCCCCTTCGCCCAAGGCGCTCAACGCCCCGAGCCTCTCTCGTGGACCCTCAGGTCACCAGCCTGGCGGACCACCACCTCCGCCCATGCTCTCCGCTATCCAAGGTCCGCCCCCCCAGCCATCCCCGGCAGCACCTCAGCGAATCACCAACCCCAACTACGGTCCTGGCTCCAGCAATTCGTCCGTGCAACCTTCGACTCCGCTGGCAGGTCCTCCCTTCCAACCTCCCAATGTCCATCGGGACTCCCCCGAGGTAAGACCCATTGTAGACAACCGCCCTACGTCCGCGGGTTCCGGCTACCACCCACCTGGCTTCCCTCCTCACCCCGCGGGTCCGACCAGCCTTCCCCAGGGCGGGCCTCCACCCCTCACTACCCACCCCGTCGAACCAACCCGTGACCGCGATGATCGCAACCCCATCGGACCCAAACGTTACCGCGAATGGGAAGACCACGACACAAAAGGCCCTGGGCCGGACGATTCGAAGCGCCAGCGCATGTCCTCTCCACCTCCCCCACCACCACCACCGCAACCCGTGCGTCACTCGCCCGAGCAACCCCGCACCATATCCCCGCTTCATCCGAAAGATGAGCAGGACGCCGACGCGCGAATGCACAAGCACCCTCTGTCTTCCGACGCTGGGGGCGCATCCTCTCCCTACCAGCCAAGCGGCGCCGCGCATACCCGGTACCAACCCCATCCGCCGCCTCCACCTCCCGAATACTCCTCCCATCCGGCTACTCCTGTCGTTCGCCCTCCGTCCGCCACCCACGCTCCGCTCCCCGCGCCTCCTACGCCTACCCATCAACCGACGCCGCCGCACCCTGCACCACATCAGGTGCCGACGCCGCTGTCGACGGGCAGCAGCGCGCTTCCACCGATGGAGCTGAAGGAGGGGAGCAAACCGCACGAACCGGAGCCGGCGGCGCGGCGCATGGAGATCGATGAGAGCTATGAGGATGAGGAGGACGGCCGGAAGGCGGGGAGTGGGAAGGGGGAGGGGAAGGGGAGTCCGAGGGAGTAGTGGTGTGAGTTATATCGGCGTTGATGATGAATGGATGGGACGGATGGATGGATGGGATGGATGGGGTGGATGGATGGATGGATGGGAATTGGGGTTATATCGAGGAGTCGTTACGGAAGGGAGGAAAGGAGGGAATGGCTACAACCAACGAACGATCTCTTTTGTGAACATACCTGTCGAGTGGGCATCGTGGATGATGGTCGGTGTCAAAACTACTGTCAGAGTGAAAAGACACCGTTGAGGAGTTTCTTGTATCCCGGTGTCAAAGAAAATGAACAACAATGGTACATATGCAATTTTGACGGACGGTCGTTTATTTCTCGTTGTGTGAAGGTTGCTTGAACAGTTGATTTTCTATGTTTGTTGTGGTTGGGTGGTTTTATCTTAGGGCGGAGTGATGAGAGAGGAAGGATGCGATGATAGGTTTGAAGTGAGGATAGGCGTGTGGTGAGGTTCGTGAATGGGTGATTCATAGGTATTTTAATCACCAATCCACCAGATCATAGTGACGATGGGTTGACTGCAGATGAAATGAGTGATACTATTCGATTTGGGTAGATGGGCGACCTGGCGGTTGTGGAGGAATGATAGAGGAGAGGTGAGAGCCGGTAGAGAAGTTGGGCTTGACCATGACTTGCAGGATATCCCATTGCGTTACTATGATGGCTGGATGGACCTCGTCCGATCGAGAAACATTCGGCTAGCTGGCGCGTCCGAGCCTCTAAATCGTCCGTATCCCTTCCATGGATCCCCAACGATCTCGTCCGCCGCCCACTCGTCCGTCCGCCGCCGCACCACAATCCCCCACCTCCGCGCGACAGGAACCCCGTCTCCATTTCACTCAGTTTCTCCCTCATGCTCCATCCAGGTATCATCTCCTCCCCATTCCACTCTTCTCCTTCCCCCGCCTCCCTCCTACTTCCCAATCCACCAGCAATCCCGCTCATTCAACGCGCTCGCAAACCACTCCCAATCCTCCTGTTGTACATCCTCGTCGTATTCGCCCCCCTCCACGACCATGCTGGGCTCATCTACCCACCCATACACTGCGTGATTCACGAACTTCGTCTAGCTCACCACCTCCCGGGTTCCCCGGGAGCTGCACTCGGAGAGGAACTCCCACATCCAGAAGCGCCGGTCACGGAAGGTAGAGAGGAGGGAGACGTGGTGGAACGGCCGCAAGCGGGGCGGGGTAATTGTCGACACGTATTCGTGGATACTGTGGTTGCTGTCGGTGCGGAGATCGGCGGTTGGGGCGATGGCGGCCGGCGGCGATGGCGGCCGGCGACGACGGCTGGAAGGTCGCGCCATGCGAGGTCTTGAACCCCCAGAACTGCACCGCGTAGTAGGGCACCTTCGGGAAATAGATGTCGGCGCGTACTCGACGCCGTAAAGCCAGTCGCGCGCTTCTGGAAAGCGGTTGTCGGTGAGGATGTGATGGTTCAGAGCACTTCAACCATCGGAGCCTGAAAGAGAAGATACCGTTTCGAAAGACGTGAAGATCTGATGACCGGATGGTTGGAGAGTAGATGAATTTTGAAGGAATTGGTCGAAGTGAAAATTGAACGTGGATATCGAACGGAAAGGGAAGTCAAAAATCGCCGCCTGTCTTCATGTGAATTGTGCAATTCAACGAATGCAGTCGAAATAATTCTAAACCCGCTGGACCAGGTCTGTATGTTGGGATGGAAATGTTTCGAATCCATCATTCCCATGCGTGATCGATCTGTGTTAATTTGGGTAGGAAGCCTGACCAATAGCTGTATCCATCATCACAGTTCTGTTAAAGATTCAACATCCTCGCCCAGTGCCAAAGGCGACTGGGAAAAACCGAGGATATCGAAAGGCCATAAAAGGAGTATCCTCTGAAGTCCCCTTTGGTTTATTGGTCATTCAAGAGATTATCCCATCCCACTCCCTTGAGATGAACTCTTCATAACCGGTCCGAGGCACGCCGCTGCCGTGTCTCAACCCCTCTCCTGAGTCATCTTCACCAGCTCGACAAACTCCTCCAGACCTTCCGCATCGCGATCCGAACTCCGAAGCAAGTTCTTAAACCCCTTCAACGCAGAGACGTCTCCATTCTCCGGCGACCACTCCGAAGCCTGGTTCCGATCATTGGATCTCTGTCCGAACCTACCGCCTCGACCACGGCCTCTAGCTCCCGGAGCACGGTACAGAGAGCCAGGTGAAGATGGCGGGAGACTGCGTCGGTAGATGTCTTGAAGCTGAGAGGGAAGCCTTGGATAACGCGCGAAGAGGCGCTGGAATTCTGGGTGGGCTTGGAGACGATCTAACGGGTCTTGAAGAGTCGGAGACGGAGGCCTTTTCTCTGATGTAGCTGAAGCAATAGCTAGACTAGAAGATTCCGTCGGCTTAGTTTCACCAAGCGTGTGAGTCTCCTTATGGACTTTATAGCATGGGAGGGAGCAACTGGACGATATCAGTAAAGGATAAGCAGGAACAGTTGATGGACTCACTATCTCAACCGGCAACCTTGAGACGGACATTTGTACTTCGACGGCTCTTGATTACAGACGCCACACAGCTCGCCCATATTTGCGTCTTGAAATTGCGACGATATTGATACCGTGTTCTGTAACCGGTCACATAAAATTAACGACGTGGTTGACTTTTAAGGATTGTGATTGGCCAATTCTGCGGCGACTCGGAGGTTTCTCTTCAAAGGAGGAATCGGACATTCATCACGCCAGCAAGATACTCTGTACCTATTCAACTCTCTTGCTATACTCAACTGTCCACATACAACCCCGAAAATGTCTCGGTTTGCAAGAAGCGCGTTTTCTAAAACGTTCTTCTCAACGGAGCCATGGGTCTGTCAAAGTTGTTCGAGAACCTGTGGGAGGACAAGTGCTCCGGGGGCAGTCCGACGAATATCGAATAACACCAAACCGCGGCAAGCGGGTCCGACGATGGAGCAGATTCAAGCGCACTATGGCAAGCGGAATCAGACAGCGATGTACGTGTTTGACCCGAAGAAAAACGACGCTATATGCTAACAGCGACAGCAATTACGCCCTGAGTCTAGCCATCGGCACCGTAGCTCTCTCATATGGCTCGGTACCGCTATACAAAATGGTATACCACGCACATGCGACACATTCCAAGACCTCAACCGTGTTGACGCCACCCACAGATCTGCCAAACCACCGGCTGGGGCGGCCAACCCATCAAATCCCCCTCCCACTACGCCGGCGCCGACACCGACGACCAATCCGCCCGCCTCACCCCCGAAGATAACTACCTCCGCTTCCGCGTCACCTTCGCCTCGTCCGTCTCCGCCATCCTGCCGTGGAAATTCACCCCGCAACAACGCGAAGTGCGTATCCGGCCCGGTGAGAGCGCGCTAGCGTTCTACACGGCGACGAACACGTCCGATGAGGACATCATCGGGATCGCGACGTACAGCGTGACGCCGGGCCAGGTGGCGCCGTATTTTGCGAAGATTCAGTGTTTCTGTTTCGAGGAGCAGCGGCTGCGGGCCGGGGAAACGGTGGATATGCCGGTGTTTTTCTACATCGATAAAGGGATCATGGAGGATCGGAATTGTCGGAATGTTGGGGAGGTGACGTTGAGTTATACGTTTTTTAGTGAGTTGGATGGGCCGATGGGATTGGAGCGATGCTAACGATGAACAGAAGCGAAGTATGATAAGGATGGGCATCTAACGCCTGTCCCCATGTAACACCTCTTGTAACAATCTATCTGCAATGCCTTCGGCAGCGTATAATACGATGACCATACTATGCCAAACCATGTCTCCTCACCACCCCCTACTTCTTATTCCTCTGCGCCCACCTCGCCGCCTGCGTCGCCCCACTCGCCCTCCACCCGCTCAAAATTAACTCCACAATGGCATCCACATTCTTCCCATTCTTCACCTGCGCAAAGATCGTCGGCCCCCCCTCCCTCATCCGCCGCGCATCCCGCTCCATCACGCCCAAATCCGCCCCGATCAGCTCCGCCAAATCCGTCTTATTCACCACCAGCAGATCACTCCCCGTGATCCCCGGCCCCCCTTTCCGCGGCACCTTATCCCCCCCAGCCACGTCGATCACATAGATGATGAAGTCCGCCAGCTCGCGACTGTAGTTCGCCGCCAGGTTATCCCCGCCGCTCTCGATAAGCAGCAGGTCCGGGTCATGGTCGCGGTGTAGGTCCTCCAGAGCGGCGAGGTTGGTGGAGATGTCCTCGCGCACGGCGGCGTGTGGGCAGCCGCCGGTTTCGATGGCGCGGAGGCGGGAGGACGGGAGGGCGGAGTGGCGGAGGAGGAACTCGCAGTCTTCGCGGGTGAAAATGTCGTTGGTGACGGCGGCGAGGGAGTGCGTAGCGCGGAGGGATTGGCAGAGGGCGAGCATGAGGGCGGTTTTGCCGGAGCCGACAGGTCTGCGGTCATTCCGTCAGCACGGCCATTCGTGGTCGCACTGTGGCATTCTCGCTGGTGCAAGGGCATGGGAAAGATGTCACGGTGGACGAATTGCTGCTACGGTTGTGGAGGAGACCATATGGGTGTACGTGAAAACTTACCCGCCTATCCCAATCGTGTACGCCCGATCATCCCAGTTCCGCCCCTCGATCAGAGGCATCTCCCGGCCCAGATACGATCCCGGCCCGTCCAGGATCTCGTGGGTGTGGCCATGGTCGGCGGCGGCATGGGAGTGCGAATGGGTGGTGCCGTCGTGGCTGTGGGCGGATGCCATTGGGGCGATCGGAGGGAAGAGGGATATCGAAACTCGGAGACGCGGGTTTAATTATATATGAGAGTTTGCGGCGGTTTATGGGTTTCTTTGTAGAGCGAGGAGATATCTCGTTCGTTAGAGGGGTTCAGAGCTGTTGTGCTCAGGGTTCTTCGCCCGCAGCTGAGTGGGGCTCCGCTATCGCCAGCGGATTTACATAGTAGGAATGGACGGACGTGCCCTGTTCAGCCAAACGTCAATTCTACGGCAGTGCACAGATTAATATCACTCTAGATTGAATGTATGGATTCCCGACAATATATAGCCACATATTCCGCTTCGATGTCGCAATCCTCTCCGCCAAGCGCAAATACTGTAGGCAGCTAGAGATGTTATGGAGTACATATATATCTCCGGCAACTCTGCATCACTAAACCAGTCATCTTTTTCTTTCTCTAAGCTCAAAAGCTGTCTAGAGGTGAGAGCCCCTTAAAAGGCAGCATAGCAAAGGAGTGGTCACTGAAACGATGTCAAGTCATGTTTGGGAGGATCCCTTCCCCCAATATAAAATTCTAGATATACATTCCGAGGCGCTCTCGCGGAGCGCTGCTAGATCATAACCAGTGCTTTCTATCCAAATAAGATGCTCTCATATACATTTTGAGGCCCTCGTCGGAAATCCATGAGACATTAGTGACCTGAAAAAACACCCTAGTCGACTCCGTCGCTGGAGGGCGGCGATGCAAGCACCATTGGACGCCGTGTAATGCTAGTTATGTGACCCTGTGCCTATGCCGTAATTGCTGAGAAGTAAACTCCATCCATCGCCGTGGTTCGTTTCGAGAAAGAGAATTGCTGAAGGAAAGCGGGAGAATGCATGTCGGCTCGAATGGAGCGGACAGGTGGTTCGGGGGTGATTGAAATCCGTTTCGTAGGTCGTGCAAAGAACCAGAAGGAATACGCGTCGTCAAACTCGGGAAGGGAGGAGTCCCCAGTAGTCCGTAAAATCAAAGATCGCAGTCTCGCGCATCACTTCAACGCCTTCCGCAACCACGCCTCCCACTTCTCCCGCAAACTCAACACGAACACATGCGCATCATTCGGCCCATCCTTCCCTCCGGGCTCCCCAATAATCGCCGAGAAGATCATAAACACCGCAGCGACCCAGGCGACGAGGGCGAGGCCACCGGCAACGACGGGGCCGAATAGCAGGACGGAGACGAGGGCAGCGGGGGAATAGCGGTCGGGGGCGACGCGGGAAAAGGCGAGGCGGAGGTGGACGAGGAGGACGGGGGAGAGGAAGGTGATGAGATCGGAAGGGATGGAGGGTTGGTGGGCGCAGAGGCGGAGGGGGAGGAGGACGAGGAGGGCGAGGAGGGCGAGGAGCGTCCAGAGGAGGGAGAGGAGGGAGAGGAGGGGGTTGAGGAGGGAGAGATGGAACTGGGGGAGTTAGTATGAATTAATTGATATAACGAGGTCGACGAGCTTGCTCCATGAAGGTTGGTGGTGTTGGAGAATGGAAAAGAAATATACCACTATCCTCACGACCTTCCTCTCCAGTCGCTTGTCGATACTCTCCACCTCATCCGCATACCGCACGGCTGACATATCCGCCATCCTCGTCGGCGCACCCCCCCGAAACGGATCCACCACCACGCTCTTCTCCACATCCACCGTCTGATGCGACCCCCGCGAGTCCTGGTACGGTAGGTGCACGCTTACGGGCGGCTGCGGCGCGGGATGCGGCGCCAACGACGAGGTCGACGGGCTGCTGATGCCGGACGAGGTGCTGGATCGCGGGAGTTTCGTCACCACCGTCGAAGGGCTCGCGGGCTCCGCGGGCCGGAATGGCTGGGTGAGCGACGCATGGCGGCCTGGCGTGGGGGATAGGCTTCTATCGGATCGGAGGGAGTGGTGGGTGGTTCGTTTCTCGTGCGGAGAGGAGTGGAGGGGGGAATATGCCATCGGTGGGGCGGGAGGGACGGTGGGTTCTGGCATGGCGAATGGTTGGACCACCAGCAGCGGCACGGTAGACGGAATTGGGGCGGTGGATTCGAGACGTCGAGGTGTGAGGATAAGAAGACTCTATCTACGAGGCAATCGGGAAATGGCGAGGAGGGAGATGAAGCCACGGCGAGAAACGGTGCGGCCGTGAGGAGGACGGCATCGTTTCCTGGAGAGGAAGCGGGATAGGCGGACTGCAGCAGGAGATAAAAGGGTAAAGGGAATCGACGAGCCACCAACGAGCGGTGGACGTAGCGAGGACAAGAGCGACGAGCGAACGATTGAAGACGAGAATCAAGACTCAAGAGACTTGGGAGAGGAGCAACGAAAACTTGGGAGCGCTGGGCGTGCGTCCGCTGTCGCCCTGTCGGGAATTGGGGATCACGACGACGGACGGGACATTGGGACGGGTGGACGGCTTTTCCTCTTGCGTGGATTCTTTTGCTCAGCGGTGATTTCTTGGACGTCTTGGCTGTGCGATGGTGCTGGGGCGCGGAAGAAGCGCCTATCCGAACTTACCAGACAGTCCCAAGACATTGTTTGCGGTCCAGGTGGACAAAAGTCAGGAAATCAAGGGAGCAAAGGCCACCGCGCCAGAGAGATTATTCTCGATTCTCTTGGGAGATGGGCCCGTTCATGTTGGCGGAACGGGTGGAAGAGAATCAAGGGGGTCAGGCATGTCGGAGGAAGGGCGAGTGGGAGCGTCTCACCGATGACAGAGGAAATGGAAGAAATGAAGACACGCAGGTCAGAGCTTTGCGAATTCCGGGCTGGGCATCGTCTTGGCCACGCCCTCAAGCGGCTTGGAATTGGTCGCGGGCTGGAGATGAACGGGCTTGGAACTGCCGATGACTGCGGAGGGCCACATCTGCCCATCCTGATTGCTCATCGTTGCCCATGAAAGGCTATCGGTCCATTTGATGGTCTTGACGCAGTCTTGGGAGAGTCGACGCCGCTGCTTGGAGGTTGGAGAGCCCAGAAGCAATTGGCGATTTGTGTACGGAGGGTTGGAGAAATAAAGAGGGGAGAAATGACCGGAAGACGTGCCGCCGGATGCTACTGTTGCATTGTTGGTTCTTGGCTGCAATCTGCATGTATCACTGCCGATCTTCAACCCAACGGGATCATATTCTCCAGGATTTTGTACTCGGCATGTTTGCTCGTCGATGAACTCGCATATCCCTCATTCATGATGCTTTTGAGATAGGGCGTTCAGCGTTCGAGAGCCAAGGCGCTCGAACTTGGAGAGAATGACGAGCTCAAGTGACTCAGCAGTCAGCACATTAATTCTCATGTTTTCAGCAGCACTTCATGATCCCCTGTTCCCTATCTCCTCAATCTCACGCACTGCCAATATCCATTCCTTATGCCGTGGACACTAGACTCTCCCAAGAGCGAGTCCAAGAATGACAGATATTCTTGGAAGTGTCCTTGGAAGTGTCCTTGGGAGTTAAAACCGCTCATCCCTTGATTTATGGTCTGATCCATCATTCATCGTACAACCGCCCAGACACGCATAAACCGCCAGTTCCCATGGTGCCATCCTCCATGTTGACCGGCCAATTCGTACAAACCCAAGTGATGCATACTCGTGAAACCACCTCCATCGTCCCTCCCACCTAACCACTGTAGCTATCCATTATCTAAACCCTATCAAAAAGTGCATATTCAAGATCTGATTCCGTCACTGTACGGAATACCCCAGTCCAACATAGTCCGCCCATCTGTAACTAGCCTACCCCACTCCAGCGGAAGCCCTTTCCAGCCCTCTCTTCCGCTCTTACATGTCTAGCTCGAGCTGTCTCGGCGGACCTGAGGACCGCCGCCACGGATGACGGCAACTCACCAACGCCTGGAGGCCTTGGGAGGGGGTCATGGCATGTCCAGAGCCGTTTGGCGGGGCTTGGGGTGCGGTCCTGTTTGCTGTGGGTGGTTAGAGGCTTCTGCGCCCTGCGGGTGGAGCACTAATACTGGAGCTGCCGTCCTGACTTTGTTTGTGGGGGGATTGGAGGGGACTTGGCCGGGTGTGGAGATGGGAGGTGACCTGGAATTCCCGGGCAGAGGTCAATATATTGCCGGGTTTGGCGTAAATTTATACTAGGCTGGAATCTGAGGGACCAGGGTCGTGCGGAAGAGGGCTGGGTTCACGGTAGAGCACATGCGAGTAATATATAATCCCATGTCTCGGAGCTGGCGGGATGGGTTGATACGGACGGATGTTAGGGGTTACACGTTGGATTGTGGGCTGCAGGTACGGGTGTATCGATCGCCTGGCAGGCAAAGATGATTTGCGTGGAGTACACGAGTGCAGATACGTAGGTTGTTGCCGTGATGAAGACTAATTCGTACTCGTTCATGCCACCTGATGATATCATTGCCCTAGATAAGGAGAAGGAGTAGGTTGAGTACCAGCATCCCCAAGTAATGCAGGACAGCGCAATGAATGACACCCATCCAAACCAGCCCAATCAAAACTCTGGCTTCGCCTTATACAAATTGTCCAAAAACGCCACCGCGAAATCCTTCACGATCGTTTTATCCGGGAAGCTCACCGCCACGCCATACAGCTGCGCCGTGCTCGTTCCCTTTCCCTTCTTCCGCCCCTCGCGGATCCGTGTCCGCTCCTCCTCCACCATCGCCCCCACCACCACCTTCAGATCCTCCACCAGCGTCTCCACCGCCCCCACGATCGGCAACGTCACCGCGACGTGCACCGCCGCCGGGTCCTGCGTCGCGTTCAGATCCCACCCGCCCCGCGCCTTCATCGCGTCCTTGACCTCGTAGATGTTCAACTGCGGCTCGTCTTTCCCGGCGGGCTTCTTCGCGATGAACGCGAGCACGCTCACCTTTGGATGCCCTACTACCTGCAGATAGCTGCGTAGCGGCTCCTCCTCCCGCACTGCCCGCTCGAGGTCCCGCGTCGCCCCGACGATGCGGTGACACGCGTCCACGTATCCAGATTCCCCAATGGACATCAAGCTGGCCCAGCAGCCCGCGATGAGCGCGCCAGGGCGAGACCCGGCGATGGACGGGCTGGCGTACATGCCACCGGTCCAGTCGATGCTGAGAGAGTACTGGTAGGCGCGGAGGGCCTTGGAGCGGTAGAGGAGGGTGGAGTTGCCTTTGGGGGCGAACCCATATTTGTGGGTGTCGCAGCTAATGGAGGTGACGCCTTTGAGGCGGAAGTCGAAGGGGTCGGCGTCGAAGCCGGCCTTTTCGAGGAAAGGGACGAGGAAGGAACCGAGGCAGCAGTCGACGTGGAGGGGGAGGGAGTAGCGGAGCGCGAGGCGGGAGAGCGCGCTGATGTCGTCGATGATGCCGTGGGGGTAGTTGGGGGCAGAGCCAATGAGGATGACGGTATTGCTGTTGATGTGGGCGTAGACGGAGGGCATGTGGACTTTGTAGGAGGGTGCGGGGCATGGGACGAGGTGCATTTTGATGTTGAAGTAGTCGGCGGCTTTATGGAAGGCAGCGTGTGCGGTAATGGGGACGATCCTGGGTAGAGTTAGGAATGTTGATAGCGGTAGCGTAGGAGACTTACATCTCGGGCTCGGTGACGCCTCGCTCCTTGTATGCCTTTTGCCGTGCAGCAAAGCACGCCATGAGGATGGATTCAGTCCCGCCACTGGTTGTGATGCCCGCCCCATCAGCTGGTGCATTAAACAACGACAGAACCTGTATAAATTCAGCAATTGTCCACCCCCCAAAGAGACATCTCACCCACCATCGCCACAATCTCCGCCTCCATCTTCCTCACCCCCGGAAACACATCCGGATGCAACGGATTCGCCACGGTGAACGTCCCAAACGCCTCCGTCTGCAACCTCGACAACTGCTCCCCCCCATGATACACCGTCCCGGACACCCTCCCTTCCTCCCACCTCGGCCTCACCATTCCCGCCAAGCTCTTCAATTCTTCGCGCACCCGCTCCTCGCTCCACCCCTCGCTCGGCAGCGCCGTGTGCCGCACCACATCCCGCCCTGTCGGGATCATGTCGAGCTCCAGCTGGCGGATCACCACGCGCTTCTCGCGCTGCACCTTGGCGCGGACGAAGGGCGCGGACTGGAGAAGGCGGTAGGCAGTCTTCTTCACGGAGAGGGAGAAGCCGAGGACGGTGCCGAGGAGGCCGTAGCCACGGACATGGCGGTAGGTTTTGCGGGACCAGCGGAAGAGGAAGAGGAGGAAGACGAGATTGCGGAGGCTGTGGAGGGGGTTAGCACTTAGCAGGATGTTTGGGGGGTTTGGAGGGGTGGGGCTAGTGGGAGTGGAGGGATGCTGTTGGGGAGACGTACAGGTCGATATTCAGCTCGAGCAGTCGGCGTCGACTAGTTGATCGCTGGGCAGCGAGGGTGTCGCGGAGGCTGACGGGAAGCCGTGATGAACCCATCGTGTATGGAATACGGAGTATGGATGAAATGGGAGAGATGCGGACAATGGTCGGGGACAATCGCAACTTTGAAGGATGGGACGTGGAAGACGAGATCGGCGTTCTATGAAGTCCATCATCACATGCGGTTGGATGCGGACAGGGTTGGGGGTTGGGGTAACTCGGAAGGTGCTACCGACCGATGATATCATTGGTTGGAAAGCAGGGAAGGTGCGTGGTGGATCAGGACATGGAGTATGGAGTGGTAGGAATAGGACCGTCAACCATATCGTATTCCATGAACGTTCAGCATAGGGTTTTGGATGGGTTCATATTAGAAATGTATCACATCGCCTCATAAATCATCCTCATCGCTCCCTTCCCAACGCCCCCAGAATCCCCATCTCCCACGCCATCCCCACATCCATCATCTCCCGCCTCCCCACATTCACCCATCCCATCTACGCACCCAGCGGCTCATACCCACCCGACGCATGCGCGGCGCGATTCGAGAACAGATAATAGATTATTAATCCGCCGATAGGGAACAAGAAGACCAGCAGACACCAGAGGACCTTATTGAGCGCCGGGCGATTGGATTTGAGGACCTCGACTGGAGGGGTTAGCTTTTACGACAGATCGTAGAGAGGGAGGCGATGAAGGTATGGCTCGAAGGACTTACGAAACACTATCACGTCTAAGACTAGCACGACGAAGCCCAGAACCCCGCCGCCGGCGCCGTACTGCCACGCGTTGCCATGGCCTTCGGTGTGCATGGTGGGCGCGGCGGAAGCGAGAGAGAAGAGGAGGAAGTGGAGGAGGGAGAGGAGGAGCATGGTGAGGGTTCGTAGAGGTGAGTGGCTCTGGTTTGGTTTGGTTGGGAGGTGGGTTGAGTTGGGGATGCTGAGGAAGCCCCGGGAGTCTTGGAGAGTTGATTGCTGTGATTTGGATGGAAGGTGGAGAAAGTAGGTCTATCAAGATACCTGTCGTGTGAGTACCGTACTGCAAGTAATAAAGTCGAGGTTGAGGCCGAAATATTGCGAGAGACTAAGAGGGAGAGAGGCTTGATGTTGGTCGTGGATGGTTGCTGGCTTCTGGTACGCATGCATGCACGAAGGATGACGTCACCAAACGACAACGCAAGCTTCCTGTTCTGCCTGATCACGGCATTGGCTCCGAGTGCTGGATCGAGTGAAGCAAGATAAGAGATCTTACACAATGAACGGCGGAGTTTGGGGTATGTTTGGATTCGCTAGGAATTGAAGACTTCGGGACCTGAGTAGAGATGTAAATCACTGATGGTCGAGGCAAGGTAAATGTTCGGTTGAGAAGTAGTAGTCAATCTCAAAGTCAAGTCGCTTCATTCATTTATAAAGCCTATCAAGCCAGTCCACACAAGCTCTCGCTCACCTCGCTATGTAATTATCGTCATTCCGTTCATGATCCATTCTCGTAATAATACATGTTCGCTTCATAAGAAGTCATATCGTCCCTCGCTGCCATCGTCCCTCCGTTGGCACCCGCTCAGTAACGCCGTGGGGAATGATCAAGTGACAGACAGATGGAACAACGACCACGGTGTGTGTCATGGTCATATCCGAAAATGCATGCATGGAAGAAGTGCCCGACCCCCCATTTCAAAATCCCGCCATGAGGCAAATCGCAACGAACCATTAATCATATAAACCATCCCTAAGCACACCCGAAACATCTGTCTAGGTTCTCGCAGGAATTCCTTTGAAAAAAAACACTTCCACTCGCTCGGTGTAGTGCGAAAAGACGCTGGTATGTCCTCAGTAATCTTCTGCGGAAAATCCAGAGAGCTCCGCAAGCCCGTCCCACAGCTCCTCCCAAGGCGACTTCGTCTTGACCGTGATCGAAGGCTCGTGGACGATGTCGTCCTCCATATTGCCTTCCGCAGTGGTTTCCACGGTGTGGATTTCGACAACTTCGGTAACAGACATCCCATGTTCTCCGGTTTCTTTGGTCTGCTCGACTCCTTCCTCCTCCCATTTCTCATTCACGATCTCGGCGATGATCTCTTCGACCTCGCTCAACTGAGAAGATCCCTCCTCCGATGCTTCTTCCGCGGTCTCGACAATGGTCTCTTCTACCTCACTGATCTGAGAAGCCACCTCTTCTGATGCTTCTTCCACGGTCTCGGTGACGATCTCTTGTGCCTCGGTGATCTCACACTCTTCCCTTTCTTCTTCCACTGTCTCGGAAACCGCGTCTCCATCCAGTTCGCAAGGCCTTTCGATCGGCGATATTTCATGTGCCACAACACTCTTCGCTGGAGCAGTGACCGCTCGATTCTGAAGCGATGGCCGCTTGATCCGGAGTAAGCGGCGTCGTTTCGTCGGACTGGTTGTCGGGGTCGAGATGTTGCTGCGCTTCATCGACGAAGTGTCGGAGGCGACGGACGGCTGCCGGAGCGGGGATCGGTAGGTTGGGGCGAATGCATTCGAAAGCTGCGAGCCGGAAAGGAAGTCGTCTCCTTCGTCGGACGCGCGGACTCGGGTGGACGAGGCAGGCGATTGGGAGGGGTGGATGCGCATTTCCTCGCGGAGGAGATCGATCTCGTGGTCGAGACTGTCGGGCTCGCTGGGCTTGATCGATTCGGCGTGCGTGGAGTGGGAGCTGATTTTGAGTCCACGGTATGCGGCCTGTAAGTCGGAGGCGCGCAGTTGGAGCTTGAGATAGAAGAGCTCGGAGTGGTCGAGTTCGGATGCCTTGCGGAGGGCTTCGTTCTCGGCTTGCAGGTCGATGATGCGGGTGGCAGCGGTGTCCAGACGGAGGGTGTTCATGTCGTTCAAGTGTTTGATCTCTTCGTATCGTGCGCGAAGTTCGGTGGCAGCTCGGGAAATGCGCGCGACCAGTTCATGTTGCTCTTCCAATGCACGGGCGGGAAAGAAGAGCCCTGCCTTCTTCGAAGAGCGACTAAGATGGCTAGTAGCTGCTAGGCTCTTGTCAGAATACGATACTCGTCGACCAAGCTCTTTAATATCTTCAGGTGCGACATCACTGTCACTGTTCTCAAACTGACCAACTCCATTGCCGTCTCCGTGTTCGTCACTTCCGTCCGTCTCTTCAAATTCAAGGTCATCTTCATCATCAATGAATAAGCCACTGTCCCCAAGCACTGCTTCCTTTGTCTGACTGATAGGCGCCGTGAGATCTGATTCGATGTTCTCGACACGACTGTTGAGCAAAGCAGTTTGTTCCTCGGTCAGGTTCTCGCGTTCGTGGATGCAGATAGCAATATCGCGCAGTCGCTGTAAGAGAGCGCGTTGAGGGGTGTTCGCTGGGGGTTCAATGGGAGAAGAGGAGATCTCATCGATTGAACTTTCCTGAAGGGTATGCGGGATGACGGGGTATCCCAGTTTGCCATTTTCGACAGTGAATCGGTGGGAATCGCGGGGATCGGTGTCAGGGGAGATCGAGAGATCGGTATAGTAATCGGAGTACGGGGAATCCATCAGTCTGGCTGATTGTGGCATGGTTCGGGGTGGTGGGGTGGTCGGAGAGGGCATGATGGAGATGTGAAATTGTGAAGAAGCAGAGCAAACGTTCAACAAGAAGATAGAGGAGAGATAAGAGGACTGGAGTGAAGTTCAAAGTGGTGATGCACAATGCGCCGGATCTGAAAGTGATAGATCGGGGATAGACACTATGCGACAATCGTTCAATAAGTCACAGGCAGCTGCCGACTTCAATGGCTGGGCTATCTCCGTGAGGATTTGTGGTGGTGAGGTGGTGGAAAAGGATTCATGGTGGAGATGGAAAGTCTCCAGACGCCGAATAGATAATAATCCCGTTCACATGGCCGTGGGAGTGAAGTGAAAGAGGAGGAGTGTTTGCAGAACGGAGAGAGATAGTGACGAACAGAGGCTGGTAAGCTGTAGCGGATGCGAATACTAGTAGTAGAAATTGTGAGAACGGTGGAGTGAACGGTGAGCGGTCATCTGGTCCGATGCTGCAACTTGGCGTTCTGCAGGCTGGGTGGATTATGTAAGGAGTGAACCCCGCCATCGTGATTACCCATATTGCTGGATGCCTGGCTCCTTCTCTGGTCTCCCGTGATTTCTAGTCACACCTGCTGCACCGCCACACCGGGCGCCTAGGCGATAAGGCGATAAGGCGATGCTGCCATGAGGCACCAAGGAGAACCCTGTGCTACCTGGCCAATCAAGATACGATTTCTGTTTTGGGTAACTATGCATGCAGCTCCCCGGTCTACTTCTATCATCATCATAAACATCGTCTGCTGTCATTTCTCCTCGGTTTCTATCAACTGGTTTGTCCTCGCCGTGGGGACCCTCTGTCCAACTCTGCTATATCAAGTCTCTCCTTACTATGCAATTCCTCTCGCTTTGACTGAGTAAGTAAATCAACGTTGATCGCTCCAGGCGTACTAACCAGCAGATCCACCTGCCGTCCAAATTCCAAAGACTCGGTTTTATCCTGACGGCGCAATCTCAGTTAGCGACTATGGGCTCATCAGCCATCACTAGACACTAAGCAGACTTACTAGAGAGGCATTGAGTCTCGGCCAAATTCCAGACACACAGACCCCCGTATTTAATCCCTCACACAGGTTCTGACCTCCCATCTCACTCACACTTATTTCGTGCCTGGGTGTCCTCTACACCACCACCCGCTCCAGTGGTGCTACAGCTCAACGGCCACGGGAATAGTGGTAGCAACGGCCAAAGCTACCTTTCTCATGTGGCTGAAATGGACCGCGCTGCAGAGCAAAGGGCCCGAGCAGTGGAGCAAATGGAATGGCCTGTAGAGCAACGGGGGGGAGCTGTGGAGCAAATGGACTGGGCTGTCGAGCAAAGAGCGCGAGCTGCAGAGCAACGGGCGGGAGCAGTGGAGCGAATTGGGCCGGCTGAGCTTCGGCTAGGTGAAGAGAGAAGGAGAGAGCAGAAGCGAGCAAAACGGGCTCGGAGAGCGGCTCAGCGTGCCGAAAAGGCCACAAAACATAGAGCGAACTCTCAAGGCGGAGGGGCCTTCGGTGCTGTCGGAGGAATGGTGGATGCTTCTGGAGCTCTTGCATTCTACCCACTGATGGCCGGAGCACCTGAATCTCCGATGGCATCAAATCCATTCATGCCACACCCACCCGCTTCATTTGCTGCACCGGGGACTCAAATGGTACCCCAGACTCCACCCATGCAGTTTCATGGCCCATACCTTCAAGGATCGGGAATTCCAGTCGCGGCAGCACCGGTTCAATACTGCCCGGCTGCTCCAGAGCCCAAACCCACACGGAACGGGCCTCAGTATGGATCCACTCCCGTCGACAGTAAGTGGGTATCAGAGCCTAAGTTCACACGGAGTGGGACACAATATGGATCTTTAGTCGGCCAATTTGTGCCAGAGCCAGGACCTCGACCGTTACAGAATTTTATCCAGTCTGGGCAAGTTCCGAGTCAACCCACAAGCAGAAACAGCACAGGGAATTCAATGGCACTCCAACTTCCTTCCCTCCCGATGCCCCCTGGAACACAACATGGACAACTAGCGCAGCAGGGGTCGCATAGTACCACGGTGCGAAGCAAGGGACCGCCGGTCCTGAGGGTTGTAGTGAGTCAAGGGCCAAGTGGCCTCCCTACAAAGCCGACTTCCCCGACTTTGCTGGGTCATGACCACTTGCCACGACTTTCATTACCCGCACGTCCGGTGTCCAAAGATGAGAGAAAATCTATGGTCTCCCGTCTTCGGGAGTACCATGCTGCGGAATCCGAGTCTGGATACTCGCCAGTCTTCCACGGGCAGGTGTTCATCCAGGACATGGTACAGGCTTTCCGGTATGCTTTACGGGCCGAGGAGATTTCCCTCGCAACCCCTGGAGCCGGAAAGCCGGAACTCGTGTTCTGGACTGATGCCTCCGCCGCTAACCCGTGTTGCCGCCACGCAGGTGTTGGCCTGACGAGCCAATGCAACGTCATAGGCATAGAGTGCATTGAAAACGCACTCGCGGTCACCGGCCTGCCCTCAGTCTCCTTTGCGGAATTGTTTGCGGTGGCCTGTGCCCTCGAGGCTGCGGCAGAGCATATCCAGAAATGGATGAAAGCCAGAGATCTCGTGGCACGGAATGATTTGCCTGAAGTGACTGTTTTCACTGACTCGCAGGATGTCCTCCGTATGTGCATGATGCCGGATCCTCGGCACCGCACCGAACCTACCATGCTCAAACTCGCAGCCCATTCAACCTGGCTTCATCGAACCGGTGTGAGCATGCAGTTACATTGGGTTCCAGGCCACGCTGGCATCAAAGGCAATGAACGAGCAGATTCTCTTGCCGGACAGGCGAGAAGCTATGCGCAGTTCATCGCCAAGAGGAATAATTTGTCTTCTGCCCAGATCAAGGCCCGCGGACTCTTCCAGTATGAGCTGCCTCCTGGTTTTGATGTGTCGCATTGGAATCCGCGCCAGTCAATCCAGTCAGAAGCTGCTGGGGCGACAACCTCGAAAGGAAAAGAGAGAGCCGTCACCGCGAATAATTCACTTGCTGGTTCTATCGTGCAGCTTCGCCGATCTAAACTGCATGACAATTGTCCAAAGGCAGCAACAGATGGCCATTCAGTGTCGAAGCCGGATTGGGCTGGGGAAGTTGTTGACTTAACAGAAGACTCTGATCCAGAGTATTTGCGGGACGACTCGATGCCAAGAATCATTGGACAGAGCGCCGACTCTACGGCTCCGGTACATCCGACGAACCAAATGGCCAACGCGATGGATGGACAGGGAGGATCAGTAGCCACAGCACCTCGTGGAAATGACCTCCTCTCATCAGACCCGCAGGAAGCGATTAACTCACTCCTGGATGGCATTCACAATCCTCCCTCCCGCCACCGCCAACAATTCATGGTCCCTGTATCCTCCGATACGCATATGGAAGACGGGGAGATCTGCGAGTCTCCTCGTATCCACGCACCGCATCGGCAAGCCTCATCACAACAGGGACCAATCTTCAAGGCCGATGATTTTGCAAGAGAAACCGCAACTACTCTTTCAACCACGAACACGAGCATGCCACCAATGACCACGGGTTCATCGACGCGAACTGGTACGGATTGCGACACCCCCCACTCCGAAGTCGACTGGGACGCCCTGATCTCCGCCCTCGATAACTCCACCGCCGCATCTACCGCCAGCAGCCACGATGACGCAGGCACGGGAGCGTCTGACCAAGCGCCATCGGGACGACGCTTCGTGACTCCAGCACATCGTGGGAATCGGGGCCATCGGGAGCTTCGGAAGGGGAGATGGAATAAGGAGCGGAACCGGTTGTATCGGGAAGAGAGTTTGGGGATGGAGGAAGGGTGGCGGAGTTCAATTGAAGATGGGGTAGCATTGAGGATGGGCCCGGATTGAAGGCTCTTGAGGCTAGGACTGGGCTGTTCTTTTTCCTTGCTTTCGGTATATGGTGCCAAGGGGAGGGTGTTGCAATGCGGAGGAATCAGAGGTTGAAGATGAACGTTGTGTGATGCTATCCGGGCATTGACTGTACACTGATATCGCCCGTGGATATGAAACGAACATCAGGGCGAGTCTGGGTATCCAACTCCGCGTACGTTGTTCTGCTTGTCGGGGAGTTATGAGCCGTGTCTGGGACTCTATGATTAGATGATGAGATCGTCTGTGAAGCCATGTATATGTACGAATGGAATGAATATCAATATAAAACCCGCCCTCGAATTATATCCGGGATGACCGTGGATATGCTACTTATTGGCGAGCCACTTCGATATGATATGATCGCGCGACTGAATCCTCGCTTGTGGTCTGTTAGGTCTACACCTAGGAATAATATCACTGATCTGCGCCTTGATGAACTCCCTCCGCCTTTGCCTCTCCACTGCAGCATCGTTTCGTTCTACGCAACCCCAGAACCAAGGAAACTATGCAATAGACGTTTTCCTCCTCCAACCCAACCCAGTGATTCAGTGACCGCGTGCCACGCGTCCACAAAACCCGCCTCCTGTTTCCCAACCCCCTTTCTCCAACGGGTACAGAACTAGGGAGTGACCAAAGTCGCCGTCGTACCCCCTCCAATGGTCGGCGTCCCGCATGCCGTGTGCCCACACGTAGCAAAATAGTAACACAAATGCACTGGCTGGATAGCTCTGTAAACGGCCGTTGCGGAAGCGATTTTGGTAATTCCCGGACCAGTATTCGACAGTCCCAGAAGGAGGAAATTTCGGATACCTGTACCGAGCTAGCGGCCCTATCTGAAGGTGATTGCGACACCTGTTTAATATCCCATCGTGTGGCGGGTTTGTTAGGTCACCTACCGGTAGTCAACTCCTCCTGATCCACCCACCTTCGAGAACCCTATTGTATCCCCATCCTCCACGATCTGCCACAAAATCAAAGATCGATTCCCACAACTGCAAAATTCTTCCAAAACAAACGCAGATAACGGATATGAAGCCCAAAAAATAAAACCATGCAGCAATGGGAGTTCCCTATAACTCTCCTGGCGGTATGGAGGATGTCGAAATCAGAGGGTCAATGTCGCCGAAGACGCAGGTCCGTCGAAAATACTCTCTCTGCAGCCATGGTAAGGATTGTAAAGATGCCGTTTCTCCCTAGTTGTCCAGCCTCGCTCTCGGAGTCTTGTTCGCAGTCTACAGTCCTCTCCTTTAGTTCCAGTTTCATCAGTTGGGCGGTAGTCGACGCTATCAACGCTCCAATCAGCAAAAGTTCTTTCTCTACACCTATTCAAAGAAACTACTTGACAATGGCATTACGACGCATTATTAGAAAGGGCGAAGCCAGAGAACAGGAGGCAAAGGAGCTTCTGGCTGATTTCCAGAGCAAGCCCCTCGACGATACGGTCCTAGTGTCGGACAGGACTTCGTACTAACGCAGCTACCTCATGAGATTTTTTAAAGAGTACGAAACACTTGAATTTATCATGCTTATGTCCTACACTTGTATCCTCTAGATACGTTCGCGATGTCCTACACCGCGAGCCGGACGATACCTAGTTATTCCTTTGCAGCTCTTCGCCAGAGGAGGTAGCTTTTGCTCAGAATACATCTCGTGCCTTTCTCCAAACCTATACCTCAGACTCATCGGCCTCCAGGGTTATATTGGGAGATCAAGAGTCTGAGAAGGCCCACATTTCTCGAGTATCAACTGTCCTGACACTGTGGAGAGCGCTTGTGCAGGAAGGAGACGAAGCAGTCCTTGCACCCAAAAGAAGAGAAAACAAGCACGCCGCGAAGCAATGGAGACTCGTTAACCCAAGTGGAAAACAGATTTCCGGACCTATCTGGGAGGTTTACAATGTGACGTCTATCCTCTACATGTATATAGAAGTATATTAACATCTCTATAGTGGATTTTCCACGACCTTCCTTCGCTTGCTGGTATCTAACGAACTCAGGAGCCAAAAGCGGCTGCGACTGCTCAGGTTATAGTAGTTATTACGCAGGCTTTCCTGAATCGACACCGTGATCTCCTCCACTCTACAGCACAACTTAGCGGCTTTGTCATGATCGTGCTCTGTATGGCTGTTGGCGGATTCCGGACCAAATATTCTAGAAACCTGAAATATGCAGACGTCAGCATAGGACTCGCCAACGTTGGCAGGAAAACGAACGCGTTCGTACGAATCTGAATGGCAGAAAACAAATTGCGAGTAGTTTCTCTCAAACCTGCGAGCCCTGCGAGCGATTTTGCCGCAACCATTTTACCGTGGCCATTTTGCCATGCCGACTGGTCTGCCTTGCTAGTCACGTCATTGGCCGCGCTCTAGCACGGCGTGCTTTCAGGGCCGGGTATACGTCCTTTAATAGGTTTTGACTCGCTCCAATCTTCGATGTTGCAAAGTCCTTTTCCTTCCTTGGGTTCAGGGCGTGGACGATTGCCCATTGGTTGATATTAGCGGGTCGCAATTCTACAGAATATGGTAGAGCGTCTCGAAGGTATTGGATATCAATGTACCAGTCATGCCAGAAGTATGGATTTAACACTGCGGCTTCTTTCATACCTGAGTTGGGCAGGCATTATGATTCAAAATGAGACGAGTGAATATCAGATATACGTCGTCTCAGGACCAGTGGAGGTTTCTCCAGTTATAATCACTGAAATCAGTGAAGTCGCTAGTACGATCAGGCTTCACAGGTGAGGCTGATAAACTCCATGGCATCCATAATCTGTGGCTCTACCCTGTTGACCTCCAAGCTCACTCAAGGACCAATGTCCCCAAAAATATCCATGGTGCCTCAACAATGAGAACAGCTTGTGTCTTCTTGTCTGCCATTACTACCAGTGCTCCTGAACTGACGCCACTGACTCCAACATGGTCATATTCCCGGATTACCAAGAGCCGCGTACAATTCACTTCATCGTCGTTGATACAGCACCCGTTGACGAAGGTCAGGCTTCATTTATTGAGTTACTGGCTATGGTCACCAAATATAAGAGCGAAGACGATAGGTTGGGAGTAAATCAAGCCGAAAAGGTTTTGGCAAGCAAATCTGCAATAGATTCCATCATGTATCGATAGTAATCGCTTAACATAGAACCCATAACTTATGCTACTAAATTATAGTAATACCCAACCGATGAGTATCCTCCAAGGAATTACCCACTATCCAACATCAAGAATGTACCGAGTTTAACCCAAGTACAGGCTCATAGAAAACGTTATAATGCGAAGACAAATACTCCTGCCGCACCGAGCACGCTGCCAACGACGCCTACAGACAGGCGGATGGTGCTGGCATCGGATTCAGATCCGCATTCAGAGCCAGAGCTCGAGCTCGAACTGCCGCTGCTCTGGCTAGATCCTCCTTTGCCGCCCTTTGGTGAACGGACGACTAGATTATGGACGCTGTCGACGAAGCTCTCAACCAGGTTCCGCTTGACTTTGGTGACGCATCCTCCGCTGAGCAAAGTAGACGTCGGCACTGATGCCCCCACAGGACCAGTGGCGAAGCTCCCTAGAGTAGACTTTGAGCCAGTAGTGGAAGTTGACGATGAAGTGGAGCGAGTGCTGGTTCTACTGGAAATATATCAGTATTCTAGGTTTTTGAGAAGCAGCTAATCCAACTTACGAGCGACCTCCGCGTGCTGTTGTAGTACTTGCACTGCTTCCATCGCAAATCTTGCCAATTTTGCAGCATCCTCCGACGACACAGTATGTGCCAGATCTGCAACCGCCATCTCCGATAGCGCAGCAGGTGGCCGTGCGAGAGATGCAACCGCCATTGCAAGCTTGCTGGGCTGAGGAGCAGCTACCAGATGTGCTGCTCTGCGGTTCTGGCTCTGCAAGAGCAATAGCATTTGCGATCCCGATAATTGCCGCAAAGGCGGAGACGAAGGCGATGAGACGCATGATGGATGGCTACTGTGTAAAGGCTATTTAAAGAGTGTGATGAAGAGAACTTGACGCGAATTGGAGAGGTTAAGGTTGAGGATGCGAAAGACGATTCAAACACCATGGGTGAACATCGTATATGTCCTCGCCTTCCTATTTATCCATTGTCAAAAAATTCGCTGCCTCCTTCCCCTAGGTCTACATCTCGTGTTCCTCCTGGATAACAAGCCACCTTCAATCTTGCCAGTGATCCAAGCTAAGCAGCGCAGCGGTATCTTGGGCCCCTTTCTAGGGCTGGTTCTCTTGACCGGAGTTCCTGTTCTGCCATATTTGGCTCCGTATCGAGCACGGATCCGCAAGAAATAACCACATCTGTTTCGATTGCCTTTTCATTTTCGACATGGCTCTCATTAAAAAGGAAAGCCTTCAATCTAAGGCTGGGGTATTGTTCTAGGCTGGTTGTCCCCTTGTAGATCACGATGGAGTTCCACAGGAGAACTCTGGTCGATGCTTCGTGTTTTCTAGTGATGGCGTCCTTGGCGCGGGGCTTGGAGGGAACTGAATGATGGCGATACGGCCCTTTCATAGCCGAGTTCGCCATAATTAGGTAATCCTGAAGTCGCGCTTAGAGAATACTCCTGGCCCTGTGGATGCTGTTGTGTGTGAAGTTAACTGCCTAGCTGTCGTCTCTTGCAGCCATGCCAAGCGTCGTGTGACAGTCCCTGAAGCCAGCATCAATCAACAAGCTGTCAGTCATCGATTCCGCCTGTTTCTTGGACCTGATGCAGCCATTAAGGTCCCGGAAATGGGCCAATTGAACATGATACGGCTCGCAGTGATCGGTGAGTCACCACCGAGTTTTCCGACGACCGCGACCCGACGAGTCTGGTCAGCCTGGAAAATCGGCAACTCTTTTGTTGCGGATCATCGCTTTCCTCAAGTTCGATATTTTTCAGCCTCATACTACTGGGAAGTCAAAAGGTTGCGCTTGCATCGACAAATCGATGGCAACCCGCCTCCTCAAGATGATTCTTAGTTAGTTGGAAGATTGTCTTATTTCTCTGCGACGCTTCAAGACACCTTTCTCAGATCTTTCCCCTGCACTCTTTTCTCAACATATACGTCTGAGATTGGTGCAGGCCACTCAGAGTCCATCTGGGCGTTCATTCAACACGGTCGGAGTTCCATATTGGATCATGGGACGTGCATTGAGCTGAGTGCTTTTCCGCCTTTTCGGGTCATTTACTCAATGAACACTGACCACCTGGGGTGACGTTTGAACGTTTGGTCAACTTTGGTGATTTGGTCATAATTACTCTTCGCGCTTTGACCCCACTCTCGAGGTCTGTCTGATTCATCCGACTCCGAGTCAGCAGAGGCGCAGCGGAAACTATGAAGAACAAAGATACCGTATTCGTTAGACCACCGCATATAAGTCGCAGATCACAGAAAAAGCTTCTACTTAGTAGCTGTTCGTAGTATGTATCCATAGTTAATCATCAACCCAGCCTACCGACGTGGAAAATGGGTCCCAAGCATCCACTTCAGCCTTGTTTCGGCACGATATCCCCGCGCTAAGCCAACAATGAGGGGTTTCGCCCGACCGCTTGGCACTCTCCACCTGTGACCCTGGTGACATCGAGCGATTTCAAAAACCGCCGAAATCCAGGCTTCCAGATCAAAGGAGATTGCAGTTGTACACGACGTTGATAAGATCTTGCTGCTGATCGGATTACCCTTCTTCAGACCCCGATGCTGGAAGTATCCCGGCCAATCTGAATGACGATGAGGATATGTCATTTTCTACTGGGGAGCGAGTACAGACTCGACGCGCCAGATGCTCATATCGCTGTCGCTGCAAACTGCCATTGAGGTTGTTGCTCGAGCCAACTCTAGATCAAAAGGATTCACCTTCGAGGAAGCATCACGATACGACGCAAAATCAGGCTGTTAATTTCAGAGACCGACCAGGTCCGCAGCTTCAGGTGCTCCGTTGATGAATGGCGCTGGATTCTCTCCAAAATCAGGCATTGGTAACTTACTTCCCTCGGATTCTGCTCATTAGTATAAAATTTTGGTTGATTCGTTCGTTATGCAATTTTTTCTTTGGCCCATGGATAAGTATAATCAAAGTCGTGCGGTCATTTAACCGATCGTGACGGCGATCAATTTGTCTAGAACTTCAGATGCACGCCTTCCACATTCCGTCCCAACGCCATCCCGCGACCAGATGTCTCGATATACCTTGAGTGTCTCAATTATTGTGTCTCTAGGCTGCGACAAGTATTCTCCAGCGCCATCCTGGGGTTGTTGTTGACTATATCCACCTGTAAAGTCGACAAGCTCTTCATTAGAGCGCAAAAGGTGAACACAAACAAGGATGGCAGCCATATAGAAGTCCGACCGGAATTGGCGTCTAAAAGCAATGAGTTCTTTGTCTTCCAAGGACTCATTCTGGAACACGTGAGACACTATCAAAGACGATGGCAACCACATCAGTCACGATCTAATTTCCCGGGTACGGGTGCTCCGCTCGTGCAAACTGTGGAACTACTGAGCAGGAGAGCTCCAACGCAAATCTCCTCAGACCTTGTCGTTTGTGTCGATTTCCACAGGGGTGGGGGGAGAGGCGACAGTGGGCAAGGCTGTCTGGTTACTGCTATATTGTGTGGCACCGGTCGTAGCATGCCGGGTGTCTGGTGCTCGATTTGCGTGGGAGATGATACCGTTTTGTTCTAGAGCTCATCGATGCGGGACGTTGTAAACGTTGTCAGTTGGGTTGAGGGACTGTCAGGAAGCCCATCGGCAGCTGTGTGTTTTGAGTGGCGACTGAAATGCTGTGGTGTTTGGGCTCCGTGGCCAGTGTAGGAAATCAACCATCCACATTCGGGTGGTCCCCATCAGGGTGATCACCAATATCCACGGGCTTTGATTGCCTGAAGCAGGGCCCAAGTCCAACTTTATATTAACGCGATGCAAACGCTATCAATGTCCAAACCAAACCACCCCTCTTCACTTCTTCGTCCTCCGCTCCTCACTGTGGCTGATAGTCAAAGGTTTCCTCCTCTGTATGGATAATCGCCGATTCTGGTTCCTTTGCGAGAGTATTTGTTGGCCCTGCAGCGTACGATCTCTCACCCTTTGCTCCATTTGGGGTTATAAATCGTCGATCGATACGGAGCAAGACATAGAGCCAAACCACGATAATCTCCACGCCGAAATTGACGATGTAAAATGCTGCTTTGTGGTGGTAAGCCGGCAATGGCTGGGTCCGCGGTACCGGGTTCATGTACGATGATCCCGCACGGTACCACGCACCGAAAGCGAGCAGCATGGTCGCCGAAAGCAGCACGAAGATCTTCGTCCGAAACCTGCCCGAGCCGAATTTCTCAACCCTGGTCTTCTTCGGCAACACCACCCCGATCAACACCATCGGCAGCGGGAGCGTTGCCACGAACCCCAGGTATGTCACCGCGTATAGCTGGATGCCGCGAGCGATCCGCCGCGTGTTCGGGTTCAGCGTGTAGAATGTCATCACCGTCACGGTGATGGTCATGACAAGCGTTGCGCCAATCAGCACGTAGAGGCCGATGAATAAGGCCGAAAAGACACGATGCCAGCCAAAGTGCGGGTGCTGGGCGCGGATAATACGCTGCGCGAAGATGAGGTTGATGATGAAAAGCAGCAGCACGCCGGCGAGGACTAAGATCTGGGCGGCGATGGCGGTTGAGATGCTGCGTGGCCGGGTGATGCTCACGATGCGGACGACGAGGGTCGTGATTCTGGCCATGCAGAAGCCTGGAGAGTATATTAACAAACAGGAGTCATTCTGGTTGTTCTGCTGCAATTGCATACCAAAGAGGAGGGCGGAGAAGATGAATTTATGGCCTCTTCGTTTGTTTTTCTGGAAGATGGTCATGTGCGTGGCGGCGCCGGCGACGAACAGAGCTAGGAACACAGCTGAGATGGGGATATCGGTGCTGGCCGTGGCCAGTCCCCCCGACATCCACACCTGGGGAAGATAGGGGGGTCCTTGTTGGACCTGTAGATTCGATGGATTAGCTGGTTGAGGTCCGCAAAGAGCATTTGGATGGTCATACCTGAGGATTTAGGTGCTGCGACATCTCTTCCTTAAAGGGGAAAGTTATCAGATTTGTTGCGAAGTCAGGTTCGTGATGAGCTCGAAAGTTGGCTGTTTAATATTAGGAGCCTTTGGAGGCTTGCAAATATCATGAAGAACGTCTCGTCCTCATGACAGTAGGGCTGAACCATTACATATATATGTACATGATGATGCGAACGTCAAATTCGTACACACAGGTGAAGAAGGCGATACCATTGCGTGGCTTTGAAATTCTACTCGCTGAAGCAACTCCAACCGAAATATGGTCGAATGGCATCGGCGTGTCGTGGGGTTCTCAATCCCGTATGTAACAGATCCAGAACAAAGATATCATTCTAATGCCTGACAGCGATCTATTGCCTCCACCGTTTCCTTCCAAAAAATTTGGGTATTACATTTGCTCACTCATTCGTAAGCCTTTGTCATTTGCCAGAGCGGAGAGGCATTAAAACTTCATATCGTATCTCGGCAAGTCGGCATCTAGCACACCCGACAATCATCATTTCGGCCCTACAACCTACTGTATCACCGACAGGTATAGCTTCTCCACAAACACGTAATATATTACATACCCCCTAAAACGCGCTCCCAAATAGGTTTAGTGCGATCTTCCGTGGGAATCCTCATCACATAAATGTCTGTGTGGTGTTCGTTGTGTAGTACAAGATGGTATCACGAATTGACTTGATTGATTGACTGGTTCCTGCCCCCGTTCGGGTCAACTTCGGTCGGTCCATGTGGGGACAAGTTGACTTGCTCGTTCCTTGAGACGTTGGAAGTAAAGGAGGATTACAGCCTTGTGGCCTTATTGGCCACGCTGATGGAACATCACGGGCGTAGCGAGTTACTTAAGTGGTCGAACCAATTCCTTCTTGCCCTCCGATTGGCTCGACAGGGGTTTGCGAAAGGAAACCACGTGGCTGATGTTTTTCACTATTTATTTCCTATCTCTCTTGGCTGCTGAGATTTGTTGCCCCGTTTTTGAGATTTGTCCCCCTTTTGAGATTTGTCCCCCGCGCTAGTAATTGCGGAAATTAATAGCTCAACTGAGCCTAGCGCATTTTTTCCCTCGTCCTCGCTCAATCAGGTGATTGGTGCAGCGGTACAGTGGGAAACCACCGTCAGATGTCAAAAAAAGCAGATAGATTGATCTTGATTCTAATGAGCGTACAAACTACGAGAACACGCCCATATTTAAGTTGTGTATACATTAATGGCCTCGGAGACCTTGATTTCCTCAAAACGAGCGAAAAAGCAAAGAATGAGGGGTTGGTAACATCGCGGGATGCGGGATGCGTTGTCATAGTTGGGAATACGGTGTCACGGGTAGGAAACTGGAGAACCCCAAAAACCAGAGATATCCTGATCTCTAACAACTTCAATATTCAATTCATTCTTTCTCTCTCAGATCCAAATATGGAGGATATTACTCCCCCTCCAGATAGTCGTTACGCTTCCTACGATGAAGCCTATAATGCTCTTAGGATCCATGGCATGCAGCATAGCTACGGCTTCGTACTCAAGCGGAGCAAACCTCACGATTCTGATATCAAGATACGATATTACTACCAGTGCGATCAGTTCAGAAAGTATCAGTCAAGAGCAAGGATTCTGAGCACAAGCACGCGCGCAACAGGATGTCCCTTTAAGCTTGTTATCTTCAAGACGAAGCAATCGGAGGATGGCGACCAGTGGAAGCTAGAGGTTCAACATAAGCATCATAACCACTCTCGACCACTCGACCCTAGTACGCATAATGTCTACCGCAGGCGTACACCAGCTCAGAAAGATATTATTACATCAGTGACACATGCCGAGGCCCGACCGATGCAGATATTGGCCGCAATTCAAAAGGAGGATAAGGATACCCTAATCTTTGCCAATGATATTCGCGGCGAGAGAAAGGCAATTAGAGAGAAGCACTTAAATAGGAGGAGTTCGATCGAGACATTACTAGATGACCTTTCCTCGCCAGAATGGGTTTCCGCTGTTAAGAAAGATACGGACAACCGCGTACAATGTCTCTTCTTTGCCCACCAGAAGCAGATCGAGCTACTGCTTGCGAATCCCGATGTCCTGTTGTATGGACTGTACGTACAGAACCAACAAGTACAAACTTCTACTGTTACATATACTCGGCTGTACCAATCTACAAACCTTCTTCTCCGCAGGCTTCTGCTTCCTTAGCAACGAGACAGAAGCAGACTATCATTGGGCAATCTCAAACTTCCTCCTTAAGACAGGAACACTACAACCACGTGTGTTTATTAGCGATCAGGAGGATGCTTTAAAGCTGGCCGCCCGTACCCTGCTTCCGAGCGTTCCGCAACTCCTATGCGTGTGGCATATCAACAAGAATGTACAAACAAAGGCGCAACGGATATGGCGAGACGCTGATGGGGTAACAAGAGAGGATAAGCAGGAAATCGCCGATAAACGAACTAAATTTATGAAGCGTTAGACCTAGGTATGCTCTAGCTCTAACTATGAATAAGAAATAATAGACCTAACTCGAATAGCTTATCTACGCAAAGAGTCTAATTAAGTTCTAATTTAAGTAGGACGAACTACTAAAAGACTATACTGACCAACGAGAACTTTGTATATATCTACGCAAAAATCAATACCGTACGCGTACCGAGTGGGCAGCTGCATGGGCGTCTAATCATCGATATTATAACATAATCACCACTTCTCCTGTTAAAGGAATGCACAAGGTTTTAAAGGACTACCTTATGACTTTAAGAGGGGATTTACTACGAGTTGTTCAAAGGATTAAGCAGATGATTAATAGTCAGTACAACAAATATAGGAAGGACCTTGCCTCTTCGAAACAACGCGTCAAATTCGAGCATAGGATAGAGTCTATGCCATTCCTGCCTCCTAGAAATTATGACGTCCTTACACCTCCGGCAATTGAATATATCAGACAACAGGATCTACTGTACTAAAAGGAGCGGAGGCAACGTCGCGTCGGACATCCTTGTTCTGGCCTATTTGAGAAAGACAAATGGTCTTCCATGTCGTCATACTCTACAAGATATAAGGAATTCTGGATCGACATTACTACTAAGTTGCCTCTACGACGATCATTGGCGCTATCGACGTGAGCAAGGACAGTCAATACACCAATATCTAAGGCCACACCAGTCTATCCTCGAGCCGCTTCCTGCTCAAACAAGAGGTGCGCCGAGGAGGAACGAGGCTTCAACTCGTAGAGATCCATCGGCTTTTGAACGACGTGTGCCGCCTTCTGTCCCTCGATTCCAGCCTCCTCCTCCTCCTCCTCCTCCACCCCAGGGTCAATCACTTGCTGACATCCTACGGCACCTAGGCACCTCTATTCCTGTGTTAGATCCTACATCTGTACCAGCTACGACTGCTGTGACTACTTCTATCTCTCTCTCAGTCCCAGCGCCTGCTCCTATACCAATTCCTACATCTATACCAATTGCGACCCCTGTAACCACTTCTGTATCTTTGTCAGTCCCTGCACCAATTCCAGTATCTTCTCCTACTCCTTCTCCTACTCCTTCTCCTTCTCCTTTGTCTTCACCGTTGTCTACTACTGTATCTATTGCTACGGCTCCACCTCATCAACAGCGTACCTGGCAGCCACCCTCGTTAGAAGAGTTCTTAGCTGATCTTGAGCGTCGACGACTTCAGCCCGTCCTATATAACTGTAATAACATAAACTCATTGATTACTTTTTTGGCCGAGACAGGACAGGAAAACGACCCAACAGAACTAGTTTTACTACGAGACAGATATCTTTATCTATTTAGTTGCCTACAGCATTCCAAAACCAACAAAACAGCCAAGATTACATGGCACCACAATGGCCAGTAATAATGCCTAATATAGCTTATCGTTCCAGTGGCTGTGCACGTTTTCTCCCGTTGTGCTTAGTGGTATATCATAGGTTCCCTGAAGTTACTTTTCGAATCTCCTCTCTGGTCGCTGATGGGCAAAGTGAGACCCTCGATAATGACCGGGCCATAGGTATGTGCGTAGGGCCTCACCATCCCAACGTTTAAGGTCTGTAAAAGCCTGTTCTGGGGCGCTGGGAACCCGATGTCCATACAGGTACCGTCTACCTGTTCGCCCTTGCAACCCATTCACACTCCTTCTCGTGCCTATTGTATGAGAGCAGAAGCAACCACTTTTGTAGGAGCGAAAGCAGTTTTCATAGGGTCTTGCCCTCACGAAATTGATGGACTTGCTCTGTCGTCCTCGTTTTATTCAGGTTGATGTGGCCTTATGTACCGAAATTGAAACATTTAGATATATAAATCGATGGGGGCTCACCAATGATGCTGGCGAGGAACCGCCAGCCAAGTGGTGTGATAGTCGTGGAATGGTTACGAGGAGGGGACTATTCCGTACTGGAAGTCACTTGTCCATCCACGAGGTGGCCGGCATATCCAGCCATGTTTGGCAGTTGGCCACACACTATGATCATCTCAACGCGGAGTGAAAGCATGCACAGAAGGGAAACTGGACATTGGAGGTCTCATCAGTCATCACTCATGCACGGCTCGCGGGTTTGCTGGCCCGGATCGGCGCGGTCAAGCGTTGGCGTCCCGATCTCCTGGCCAACGCTGGAGGAGGCTGGAAATCCTGGCTGTGGGGAATGTCAAGTACGTCAGCGGTGGGAAGCAAACTGGATGTCGATGTTATATCACTTCGACTCGCTGGTCGGAAACAACGGTGACATCGATGTCAACGCTGTCAATTTGGCAGCGCCGTGATTCAGGACAGCAGAGCGCTGGATCGAACATAACTGGAGGGCTTACGTGGCGGTTGGAGAGGAAACAAGACAGATGGGAGGACAAGGGATGGTCTGTACGCTGACGCTCAACGGTGTTCTATCGAGGTTGGTCAACGGTCCTGTCATTACTTATCTAGTACTCCTCCGGTACTGTAGCATCCAAACAGGAAGCAGGAATGGGGAACTTGGTGATCTCGTGCTACAAAGTTCCCCTATTGCCTTGATATCATTGGATCGCCATTGGATCATCATTGCATTGGCTACAACGTGAAGTCGGCGTACGGTGACAGTGCTGCCGTGTCACAGAAAACCAGCGAAGCATTTGCAGAGATTTCGTTTGGCAAGCAAGACCATCGGGAAGGAAAGAGGTCTGGAAAACCCTGGTCCTGGGGTTGATCCTGGTTGGATCCTTGCTGAACCCCTGGTCATATCCCGTGGTCGTTCCTGCCATGCAGCCGTAGTGGAGGAAGAGATTGGTGGGAATGGGTGCCACAGCGGGAACTAGCATGGGTCCATGCGTTGTTGGTGTACCTACGTCACAGCATCAAGGGAGGCATCACTCGTGCAGTAGTCGGTGGCTATCGCAACTCTCCCATCTGCAGCAGATCGCTGAATGTTGGTAGTGATGATGGCGATGATAGCGATGTCTGAAAGTAGTTGATGCGGGCGGGAAGAGTGGATGATGGGATGCTAAGTTGGCATGGCAGGATACTACTGCTAAGTGCTCGTGCTGCTGCTGTGTTTACCTAAAATCATCAGTATTATTCACTATTCACCCACAAACACTCCTACCACCAAGCACTTTCCAACTTTCTGTGCAATTCCCCAGCTCTTTCCCGTTCTGTTGTGTTTTGGCGCTGCCCACCTTAAAACCTTCCTTTTCAACCTCTCACCTACTTTTCTCTCTCTTCTTTCTCACCACTACACAACACTCAATCTTCCCACACGCTTCAACGCTCTCAACCCAAATTCGTCAGCCTCTCCAGTTCGCTCTTCTGCTCGCAGATTATCACGAAGCTCATCACATACCTGATTCAGTCTTCTAAAGTCACCCTTCAATCCAACAAAATGAAATACTCGATTGCTCTCATTGCTGCTGTCAGCTCCCTTGCCGCGGCTCAAGCATCAGGAGGGGAATCGGGTCCGGCTGGTCACTGGGATTACTCCGCCCTCTCAGAGTGTGGTGTAAGTCTATCCTCCTATCACATAACATTTATCACATATTATCATCTACTTCTTACATTTCTTTCCCAATTGTGCGCAGCTTAACTGTTTGTCGTGTTGGTGGTTCTGGGACTGCGAAACACTCACTGAACTACCTTGCCATGCGCCAGTTGCAAGCCACCATCAACAAACAACACCCAAACTTACACACTTTCAATTTACTTTTGCTGACATTAATGCCTACAGCAAACTTGCATTCGGAACATGCTCCAGCTTGCGCCCACTCTTGGTTGCGATGAAGGCGACCATAACTGCTACTGCTGCAACGCTAACTTCGGGTATGGCATCCGCGACTGCGCCAATGAGGCTTGCGACAATGAGGATGCCGTCAAGGTGCTCCAATGGGGTGCAGCCGCTTGTGGGAGTAAGCCAATGGATTCTCAACGCCTTTACTTGTTGTCAACCTTCTAACATTTTCTTCTCAGACTCCGTCGGCGCCAACGGATGCCCTCCGGACTCAACTCCGGCTCGATCCATCATTGCCGGCGCTACCCAGGGCGGTGGCGATGCCATTCCCAGTGAGTCCTCGGCTCCTGATGCCACTCCTACTAGCGACGTGAGCGAGTCCGCTTCCTCTGTTGCCAGCGACGCGTCCGAATCTGCCTCTGGCATCGGTGAATCTGCGAGTTCTGAGGCCTCCGACGTCTCGAGCTCTGCCTTTGGCGACGCTTCCTCGGCTCCTTCTAGCTCGCAAACCAGCGCCCCGTCCTCTCGGACCTCCCCTGCCCCGACTAGCCCTGCAGACGATGAGGCGGTTGCTGCGCCCACCAACGCAGCGCCATTCAAGACTGCCGCGCCCGTCCTCGGTGCTGGTGCCATGGCTGCACTTCTCCTCCTCTAAGTTCGTTCCTTCATCAGCTTTGAGCTCTCTTCACGGATGCGTTAGTGTGAGATGGAGAGGAGCGAGCTAATGGAACGGATGATGATGATTACGGGACGACGTGATGTGGCTATATGTTTTCCTTCATGATAGGCATGTACTTTGCCTGCGGCGCTTTCGTTTATTGCCACCAGTAGCAGATTTCAAGTGTTTTTCAAGAGCTCCCGGCGCATCATGGCATTCGGGGAGCGGCAACACATGGCGTGGCATGGCATTGTTTTCCCGTTTCTTTTCTCATGTTCCCCCCCTCTATCACAACACCGCAACGCCCAGGGCACAGCACCCACTCAGGCCACTTCACTCGTGCTATCCCCACAATCCATGTTCATTAATTCTCCCCATATGTTTCATTAATCGCACCCATTTCCCCATTCGAATCCCCCCTTCACTTCGATGTCATATCCGCGGAACGGAATGGAATATAGATACTCACACCCTCACCGGCATGTATGTATTGCGGCATTGTCTCTTCTCTTCATCCTCTGGACTGATCCCGACACCATCACTTGACAAATTGGCACTTCACTATGTGGTTGTCGGACGGGGATGAGGCGGGATGAGACTTGCGTGGACGTAATCCGGAATGCTAAAGTTCATTTCATCAGACCATTTGCTTGGTGACTTCGCTTGCGTGACCGTAGCTAACTATTTCGCTTGATTGTCTTTTATGCTGACCATGACATGCTTCTCCATCTCGTGGAAGAACCATATGCATGTGCGGCGGCTTCGATGAAATTCGGTGGCAAGAGACGTACGGGATCAGTTATACTTCATTTTCGATCACTTATTGTGAGTTCAGTTTGATGGTACGACTGAAATCTCGACGATGTGTTCACTTGATTCTCACTTTGTGCAATTTGGCCACGATTGAAATTATTTCGGTATATCACATGCACGATTACAATTACCAAAGCCATTTGGTATGGCAGGGCGGAGCAAGTTGCCTTTGCATGCAACTGGCGGTACTGATGAGACTAACTTCGATCTTCTTCCTTCCCTCGCTCCACTCTTACATAATCTCCCATTAAAAAGTTTTCTATATCCACTAACGGCACTGACTTCCATCTTCATCGTTCCCCTCCCATCTTCCATCTTTTTTTCTTCCCAACAGAGACTTCAACATCCATCGTTCGTTGGCACTGATTTCGACCTCATCCTCCCAACATCCACTGACTACATTGACGTCGATCTTCATCCTTTCTCCAAGTTGAGATTGACTTTAACCGGGCCAGTCATTCTGGACACTGATGGTGCCTATCTACAAACCCTTTGACCAATTGGGTTCGTACCTGGACACTTTCGAACCCGTGCCATTGCTATTGGCAAGGACTCCACTCACCTGCTGCCAACATTGTCGATTCTAAGCATCTTCAATGGTTGACACTGAGATCCTAGACATCTCTTCTCTATGCCATTGCAATTAACAAGAATGTTGCCGGGTTGGGTTCCTGTCTTGCTCGCATCTCAAAATCTGCCAACACTTCATTCCGGTCCAGGAATCTTCAACAGTAGACGCTGATGACAGTGGCGCTGAAGGAGAGAAAGACTATGATATCTTCTACGAAGGACTTGAATCGGTTGAGGAACTTAGTAACGTTGGTGGCGGATCCTCAGCCCGTGAATGTCAACTCCGTGAGAATGCTCGGAAGACCAGGTTTCAAGGCACATGGTTTGACACGGATAAGAGCAGGAACTACTACCCTTGAACACCAAAGTTTCGGAAGCACAAAAGAATCGACGGCCGAAAAAGCCAGTAGCAGATGAGGAAGACAGTTGGAAGAACGCGAGAAAACAGAAGATCATCAGGTTAGAGAATGCGGCCGCCAAAGCGAACGGAATATTGCTGGTGTTCTCCATTCCAACCACCAATGCGAGAATCCGCAACCTAGCGAATGGTATCCCCAATATCTGGCCGGAGGTGAGCTGGAACACTCTCGATAATGAGGAATATCCCAAGTCATGTCCTACGTTCAGCGATATAGATACCTATGCTCTCCGTAGCCGCGTTCGTGGTCCCGATCCTAACCTCGACCTGTTCGACGAGCTCGACAACCTCCGCGGCCACCCCGTCGTACCGAGGCTGCGTCCTCTGCCTTATGCAGCGAAGACGTTGCTCCACCCTGGAACCTGGCCGTGTCAGTGCTGCAGTGACAACCGCTCCCAATGCGAACTGATCATCCCGCCCGCGGTGAAGGAAGTTTGCATCGCTTGCCAAAATCGAGCGAATGGGGGCCCAGACTGTGACTGCACGTACACCCCCAGTCCCGACATCGATGAGATCCCGTATCATCTGACCTGCGAACAATGCTAAGACGAGCGCGCGAAATGCGTCGCTGGTCCACGCGATGCCGCCAGTATAGCTAAGCGGATCGATGCGAACTTCTTTTGGAAGGAGATGGGGCATCAGGGGCTGTCGCAGACTGAGCCGGCCAGAGTACTGCGGGAACTGCAGGAGAGCCTGTTGTTCATGCCTCATCCAAAGCAGCGGAAGCGCCGGGCGACGGAACCGCAGGAGAATGAACATGTGTATGCCTGTGATCAGTGCAGGAAGGTAGGAGCTCAGTGCGGCCTGAAGGGTGGTATGTGAAGGAGCATTTAAGTGAGGAAGCGGGGAAAAGAGGTAAATCGCGACATGAAAAGCCTTCTGGCCAGTTGATCTTCCATCATCCTTCGTCCATCACACACTCTGTCAACGTTAAAAAAATAACGCTGGATTGAGAGGCACCTGCAAAGACCAAAAAGATGCAGAAAATCCGGAACATTTCAACGATACTTTGGTACTCTTTACCAGAATAACCTCGAATATTTAGCGATTAGCCTGTCATGTGGGACTGGTACCACGGTGAAATGAGTTGCAACCGGAAATAGAAGAATACAAATTATGATTAGAGATATGTGGACCAGAGCATTTATAACAACTCATGTCATCATCAATCGGCCAACCCTTCCTCAAGAGGGTATCATCCATCCGCATTTTAGACAGACCGCCTCCGTCTGCCCCCAATGCTATTATATCGTGCACTCATTTGGGAAGCCATCACCAGTAAAGGAAACCTCGAGATGTACCATCAAATTGGACCAATACCAATATGCGATGTTTCACGCCAGAATTGCACTACGCTTTCTTCCCCCCGATCCTGAAAAGCTTCCTCAAGCCTCCCCTCTTCTCTTTCTTCTCTTTCATCTCCACCTTATCACCTTTCTTTGGCTTCTTTGGAGTCTTCTCCTTCACTGCTTCACCGTCATTCCCGGCGGCTCGCTCTACTCTCTCATCATCACCCATCCCATCCGTCCCCCATTCTTTTGCTCCCATTTCCTTCCTCCTCGCCGACTCTCTCTCGCGCTCTCGCAGCAACTTGAACGACGCATCGTTCATATCCTCCTTGCCGAGCTCGGCGGCCAATTCCCGCACTTTCCGTTCTTCCAGCGTCTGTCGTCGTGGCTTTGTCTGCTTCTCGTCGAGGGGTGCAGCAGATTCGGATGATAGGGGACCTGGTGCGAGTTGTTCTACGCTGGATGGTGAACGTGGCGCGGGCGCGGTTGTCGGGCGAGCGTGAGGGGAGGATGGAGTGAGGACTTGGGAGGACTGGGGTGAGATCGCGTCGGCTTCTACCCCCAACTTTTTGACCAAAGGGAGGTCAAGAACGAGGTCTGGGCGGGTGCGGACGGAGCTGGCTGCCTGGTCGGGACCGTGGGACTCGTTTTTGCTGGTAGTGGGAGAGGTTGTGTCCTGGAGGACGGAGTCCACAGGTTGCAGGCTGGGCTTCCTGGTGTCCTCGATGATTGTATGGCGGAATTTAGTGGGAGAGGCTGGAGTGGACGCGACGTTGGATTTGGGAAGAGGCTCGGTTGGGACTGGAGGTTTTGTGTGCCCTCCCGGAACATCTGCACTGCTGCCTAGACGGGCTTTGTTTCCTCCAAAGATTGATTTCACTCGACGAATGCTCGTGGCACCGACCGACTTCCTTCTGGATTTCGGGTCAGATGTCGTTTGCGTTCTCTTCATTGGTTGCGCGGGGCCAATCACAGATTGGCGGGCAGGAGAAGTTGGTGGTAGATCTTTGGGTGAACGGTCGAGATCTTGAAGGGCTTTTTGACGAGCTTCCTCCCTAGCCTTTTGACGCTCTCTTCTTGCTCGCCTTTGCACTTCACCAGGAGGTAAAAATCCAATTCCAACTGCCCCGGTTCCTTGAAGATTCTCGTTGATAGAGCCGCGCCGCTTGCGAGTTCCATCGTCGGTTGCCTCATCAGGACTAGTAGCCACCGTGAGCGTTTCGTCCACGACGACACTACTCCGGGTTTTGGCACGTTCATCTAAGAGCGACTGGCCGCCAGCAACATCTCGACTTTTTCGGTTTTCAGAGTCAGTTTGACTTTTTCTCCGGTCGACCTCTACGGGACTTCTCTGCGCATGGGTCTCGCCAACAACGCTCTTGCTCTTGTCAGGACTTCTCATACTGGTTCCCTTGTCGAGGGCCCCAAGGGTTCCTGAATCACGTCTCAGCTCCTGAAACCCGTCCCGCTCCCTTAGCCCCGTCTTGAACATATCTGCCTCCTTCCGTGCCTTATCCACCTCTTCTTTCAGCTGTTGCTGCAACTTTACAAGCGCTTGCGTATCGTCTTTTTGGTCGGGACCTGCAGCGTTTTCTTCGGCATCATGAGGTTGTGGTTCCAGGTCGAGTTTGAAGTCTTTGAACGCTTGTATCGAATCTGTCTCCGTTGATGCTAGAACGATATCTAATTCGGCTTTCCCCAAGTCTTTCCCATCATCTTGCTGCATTACTGTAACAGACACATTGGGTAGCGGTTCCGGATCCACAGCACGTATACTCGAGGATTGTGCTCCGGTGGACGGAAATTGAGGGGCCCAAGGGTATGATATCGGGCGATCGGACGCATCCTGTTGGTCTGTAGTGGTCCCCTCCGGTCCACCAGAGAGCTGATCAAAATTTTGAGTTGCAGTCGTTGCTTTTAAACGCGTTGTAGGATTCGAGTCTTTCGGGCTCTTGGGAGTCAAGGGACGCAAGTTCGGCGTTGAAAAATTTGGTGCCTGTAGAGGAGGGCCTGGCTTAGTGTCGGCGAACCCTTCCTCGAACATAGGGAATGGGTCAGTTTGTTGTTTACTCTGTCCGCTCTGTTCGGGAGCCACAGCACTTGGGATAGTGGGAAAAATATCGACCGAAGGCGAGGTGTTGTCAGATCCTTCAACCGGGGATCGTGTTGCTTGAAAATTTGGGCTCTCGAGGGCCATGGGAGTTACACTTCGTGGTCCAGGAACCAGCCTGATAGACTCCCTGATGGGCGGCGTGCCGGCGTAAACGGTAAGGGACTTGCTGGCTACGTTGGTGGGGAACTGGACAGAGTTTGGACTGGCTTCGTTTGCGTCGAGTCGCGGTCCGGAATTTCCAGCTGCTTTCGTAGGTGAGGCGGGAACTTGAATACTGTCCATGGGCAATAGCTCTTGATGCGAGTCCCGTAACCGAGTGGGTACAAGAAGGTGCTTGCGTTGGAATTCCTTTTCGTTGACGGCTCGTTTTTCACTATTCTCGAGCAGAGAATACTGAGCTTTGACTGCGTCTAATGATAATAGGACGGCCGGTTCGAACGAGGGCATCGGCTGCACCGTCGCGACGGAGTTTGGTCGTGCGGATGGAACTGCAACAGTTGCCAAATTGGGTTGAGTTTTCGATTGTACCACTTCGTCTTTTGCTCCAACGAACGCTATCGTGTGTCTTTGATGTTTCTCGGAGCTATGATCCACAGCTACGTCTAGTCCCAGGCTAGCTTGGTGAAATGACGACGGCCGAGGCGCCGACTGCGCCGACTGCGATTGTACAGTAGGACGAAGCGACCAGTTTGCGATGTTGTAGTTGAGACTCCGAAATGTATTCCCGTCTTCTTTCTTCTCTTTAGCTGTTCCTTTCTTTCCCACACTGTAAAATTCGCGGTGTCGCTCCTTGGCTTGTTTCTCGGCAAGGACCAGTTCTAGCCGCCTGCTCAGGTCTCGGGGGTCGATCGGCTTGCCTTGCTGTGATCGAAGGGCAGGCTGCTTCACAGAGGTTGTTTTGGCCGACTTTGTCCGAGCAGGTATGGTGATCTAGTACAGGACAGTCTCGATGTTAGTTCAGCAACATAACTGGACAAGCATACAAATCATCATGTGGAAATCAACAAAACCATACGCACCCTGCTCAATCGATCGCCTGCTCCAAGCGCTACCATGTTGCGCTTCAAAACACTACATCGATTGCCAGGGACTGTCAGGTATCACTTGAAGCAAGTGGAAATGTAGATGGAGGAAAGAAATAGTGGGAATCAAACTGACACGACTGGAATCACTCAGGACAAACTTGACTCATGAAAGGGAAAAGACAACAGTGTTTCCAGAACGCTCGTGATAGAATTGAGTATTGCGGTCCACATAAAATGTGGAGGACTCGGGACTCGTATCAAAGTTGAAGGTGGGGAAAACACGACGAATAGCGCATCTTATGGCTTTAGAGACGAGACCGTCACGAGGGCGGACTTCCGGTTTCAAGCGTTCCTGGCGCACGGCTAGACGACATTAGTTAGAAATGAGAATCGATCCCCGTATTGGACGGAGGTCCTAAGATCTGGGATACATCCCGCAATCCAGCATCGTGGGTGAGCATGTGTCTCGACTCGAGTCTCGACTCCTCCAACTGTGGAACGAAAGAAGAAGGGTTGCCATATCGGGACCCCATTTGCCGGGCTCGACCAGGATTCTGCCTTCTCATTAAGAGACCGGTCCGAACTTCATGATGAAGCCGAAGAGGGATTGGTCATAGCGGAAGATGGTGTGAACGGAAAAGGAAAAGGCGCCTGATGGATGATGGTCCAACCATCCGCTCTAACCGAAAAGAAAGCCCTAGGTGATCAAGGCTGGCGAGCGTGCTGGGGGGTTAAACAGAAAAGCCGGGGAAACGCGCTATCGATGTTGGATTCGCTGCGATTGCTTGCAACACCTGCGAAAACGACATCAGTGGAGGTCGGGTATCGAAATTGAGTCTGTCCGAATTTAAGTATCCAACTCTCAAAGGCATAAACCTGCGTCCTCCGAGGAATATATCATATCAGGGTCATATACTTCAATATATCTCGATAAGAGCAACATATTGGTCACTGCACAGGCAGCAGGAGCTCACGAGACAAGACCGTTAAATGGGGCGAGAAAAGGAGGCTCGCAGGTGGATTAGCCGATCCTGCATGACAGCATGACAGGATTAACAGCATGCAATACTGTAGTACCAACCCTGTCTCGAAAGTCGACTCCATGTCCTGTCGGCGGTCCGGCCCCTGGAAGATGGGCAATACTGCTCTAATTATCCTCAACGGCCTTTCGCCTTTAACAGCACCATAAAACCTGATCTCACTTGACCTCTCAATCCAAATTTTAAATACGGGATTTCTTTGCCTTTCACCCAGGGAGATAAACACAGCTTTGCCAAGTATCAGCTCCTCCATCGCTCTGAGCAATCCGAATCATTATTTAAGCGATCCAATCGAATCCCCAGTTGCCCGAGTAGATCTCTCCTTATCAATCGTCAGCTTACATGGAGCCTTAATGCAGATTGTAGACCCACGAACTACCAGGATGTTCACCGTTTTTTCAGGAGACAATGATTTCTAGATGGAAATGCGAGATTGCATAAAATTTCGATTTGCACTTGTCCGTGTGACTTCGCACGGTGGTTGGATGGCCGTTGGACACCTGGACTATTGAAGTGCAATCCAGGGTGGTGCGCCACGCTACGCTTGGATTGGACTGGCGCTTGCAAAAACAATCCGGGGAGCGTCTTTTCCACCCCAAGCACGGTGCGGATATGGATCCTTCCACTTGACATTATCCTTGGGAACGCCACGACCAGGTCAATCTTGAAGAATGAAGATGCTTCCGTTGCCGTTCCTCGTCTCCTCGGTGAGCTCGGTCAACTGTCAAGGGATTTCCCGAAATAAACAAAGGGGCGTAGCCGCGGAGGTATGGTGGCGCAGTCCTCGAACCGAAGTATTTGGGCTCTAGAGCGGTTCGAGGCTTGAGCGTGCCGTTAGATCAGCAAACTTGGCTTTTGGAAACATAATTTTCATCTCGACTCGTTCCAAACCTTCTCTCCAATTTCGGGAATATTATTCCTATCCGTAATTAGCAAATCAGCATGTGGACTCTGTAGACTCAACCGAAGTTTCCGTAATGTGATGTGTTAACTTCGAGTGTTGTTATATTTGAGAGGAGTTAGGAGATATCTTAAACTCTATTCCATATATCAATTAAGTTATGGGACTAGTCCCATAGCCAGAGCAATCCGAGGTGGACTGAAAGTAATGGTACGATGGATTTCATTCACGCCTCGGCCTATAACAGTGGAAGATTATTCCGTAGTAGCCTACTTATTCAGAAGGAATATAATATGGGCCAGCTTTATGTATAGGTGAGGCAAGGTCTGACATAGATATGGAAGGTTTTAAATATTGTGTAGTTTGATAGGTGATGAAGGTGAAGATTGGGCATTTGAATAGGACATATTAGAGTACTCTAGATTGGGTTTCTCTCGTATGGTTTTGAACATGTAGTAACGAACTACATTGGTCCCGGTGATTGACGGCTCATCTTGTTCTCCTAACTTAAACGTGTTGAACACAACAAAGGATCGTCATATTCAGGAGTGATAAGAATACCGTTTAGTGTTCTGATTTTTCGTTGGCACTTGCAATGTCATGGGCTAGCCGATCCAGCTGGAACGTCAAATGTGTTTAACTCGCCGATACTCGTGATGGTTATGGCAGTGAATATCCTGTTGCAGTTCACTCTAACATATTAGAAAGTGATGTGAACCGCAGCGCGATGTGAAAACAACCTAGATTTTGCAAATGAGTCAACCAACATTGAAATTTTAACCGCGGTGGTTGGAGAACAAAATGACAGAGGTTTCAATATCGCCATAGCAGATATCGTTCAAGCAAATCCGATACAGCTCGTTGGACATGATTTCGTCAATCCAGCGGTTATAAGGAAGCCAAGATGCTTGCCAGCACCCGTCGTCGGCATAAACCACGATCGGTCGAAGATAGCAGCATTCTCAGTGCCATATCCTCAAGCACCTGGCTATCAGCCGCCCAGAAAGTCCACAAGCTAGCGGATCTTCCACTGATCCGCAATTCTACTACAGCGAAAGAAATCCGCCGTAATGCTCTTGAGGAAATCCGCCATCGGGGGAGGTCGCGGTCCAAACGTCGAAGTAGACGAGAGAAAGAGTCGCGAAGTGATGGACGATCATTGAGACAGAGAGAGAATCATGGAGCGCAAAGTGGACAACAAAGGAAGCCCCCTGAAGATGATGCAAAACAAATACGCCGCTCAGGCAATGACACCGACACCGAGGCTCGCTCGCGCGCACGAAGATATCCAAGTTCAGTGGGCACACGCCGCCAACCCGGAGACCCTGACGTCCCTACTGAGTATAAGCCATATGATGCTTCGAACGACGATGAATATGAAGAACGACATGCAGACCATGAGTCAGAACGAATCCAAGTCGAAGAATATAAAGGTCCTTTGACCATGGCAGGAGCACTGCCAGCTCCCATAGCCCAAGATCCGCAGAGTATTGGGGGTGCAGAAAGGAGATCCCATAAGCACCACTCTTGCGATTCATTCGTCTTTTGTCCCAGACACAACCCGGAGCCGGAGCCAGAGCCATCAAAGTTCAGTTGGAAGGAAACCCTGGGACTCAGCCCGGGTAAAGAAAACAGAACGAAGCACCAAGGCCGCAAAAGTTATTACCAGCGACAACAAGAAAGGATGCAAGCTAGCTCTAAAAGGAAGGGCCACCAACGGGGAACACGCAACATAAGTAGCCATACTCCTGGGAATTCTTACGGCTCGGAATCGAAAGCTCGGAGGGTTCGTGTAGAGCGGACGCGGAGGCACCGTGGTACGGAGTTGGACGTTTCTAACCCACAGAATTATCCAGATGGAACCGAAAACAATAACGACGACTCTAATGACGAGGAAGAGGAGCAATTCCAGGACGACTTCGATGCACCGCCTGGTAGCCCAAACCCTGTCGACCGGAGCAAACCGTCTTCCCAGGCTTCTCTATCATTCAACAGCTCATCCAGAGCAAGCCAGTCCGAGTACCATGCAGACAGCGATGCCAGCGATGATGAGAATCGACTGTCCAAGGTCTCCATTGCGACTGAGAGCACCATTCCGCACGCGCCGCCAAACCCGGACTGGTCGGATCCGATCATCCCCGGGGCAGCACAGGACGGGAGCTGGCATTCGACGGATAGGGTACCGGAAATACAACGGAGGTTCTTCTACAATGCCGGAAGAGCGCAGATTGAGAGATGGAGAAGAAAGAACGGGAGACAGAGGAAGAAACAGGAGGAATCAGAGCAGATGACGCAGTCCCTGAAGGGGAAAGAGAAAGAATGAGACACATTCGGCACGAGAGACTCTGAGATAGATGAAAAACCCATAGCTGGTCTTAGCTATGTGGAGTGATGCCATAAGAGCTAATTCCACCCAAGGAGAACATGTGGTCATTTAATGGTGCACTTCTGATTGTTTAGTTGAAATCCTCAAAGTCGTCTGCATACCATTGACGTGGCCCGTGCACCAAACAGCTCCGCGTGGGCGCGTGGCGGCGTGGGCGGCGTGGCGCGTGCTGGCGTGTTTACATCGGAGTAGATGTCTCCAAGCATCAGGTCGAGATATTGGCAAGTCTCACAGACATCTTTGGATAAAGTTCGTCGCAATTATAATAGCCTAGATCTATGGTACCTTTGATCCATTCTCAAATTCCAAGCTGCTGCTCACCATTCCACTGCTAGGCTCCGAAGTCATCCAAGCGGAAGCACATCGACCATGACGAAGTCGCGTCAGGAACGGTCGCATCGACGCGATCATCCGCCCATGAACGCGTAAAGAAGCGCAAGAAGCAGGATGCTACCCGAAAAAATGAATCCATACAGTCTAAATCGATCGTCTCAGCCAAAGAATCAAACAAATCAAGCGCCCCAGAACCCACCTTCCGACGACCGTTCTCTCCTCCCACCGTTGCGCATAAGAAGACTACAAATTCCTACTTAACCCAAAAGACCCGCTACATCCCACAGTCCACCCTCACGTCGAAATGGGCACCACTCACCACTCCTGCACAAAACGCAGTAAAGACGCTCCTCGCGTCGTCGGCACGGACGGTGATCCAATCACAACCACAGAACCGGCAAAAGGAGGCCGACGATGTGCTTCGAGGCGTGTTGAAGAAGCTCGAGCGACAAATTCCACGAATACCGTTTCCGAAAGGGCGCGCCGGGAACAAAGGGGAGGCATTCGTAAGAGAGATGCTGGACAAGCGGAGAGCGGATCTGGAAGCCCAGCTGACGAGTGTGGAACATGCGATGCTGTTGGTGGAGGAGGAGATAGGGAGGGAAGAAGAGACGTTGGAGGTCGAGAGGGAGGCGTTGGCGAGTTTGGAGAAGAATGAGAAGGCGGAGATACGGACGTGGAAGGCGGAGGAGCGGAGGGTGAGCACGACTTGATGCATTTTTTTGTTGCAACCAGAACGCTGACTCCGAGAACAGATTCCTCTTGATCTTCGAACTTTCTTGGAACCGAGCAGCATGGTGCCGGAGATGCTTGGCGACAAACCACTTCCGCCTGCGAAAATTGTGCGCGGGCGCGATTACTGCGCACTCGACACATATGTTGCGAAGGAGAATAATGATCCGAACTTGGCTCCGATTCTGCAGCAACTGCAAAGCCATTTGGATAGCCTGCATGCGAACAGCGAACAGGTCCAAGACATCTCCAACACCATCGACCGCGCACAGGCATCGCTGGAGGAAGTCATGTATCAGACGAAAGGCGAAGACGCTCTATTGGGCTGGATTGGTTCGATAGGGACGTAAGTGAGGCTGAAATCCTGAGTGCCGCAGGACCAAGAAGTCGCACAAAGGACTAGGATTTGTCCCAGGACTTTCTAGTATTGCATTGGGATATCAATATATCGGCGCAACCGAAGCACTGCATTTGGGTGGCTGCATGGCGTGTGGGGTGTGGTCCTAGGAGGTCAGGTTTTCTGCCTACTTCAGGACATGATTGACATCCAATGGCGGATCGAATCATGATCGAGTACTTTATGATTTCAGTCGACCTCTCAAATTCGTTCGAATCATCCGAGGAAGTCAATGAATTGCTAATGACTGAATGAGAATTATGAATTTGTCGACTCCGTGTCAACCAGCGCAAGTGCGCAACAAGTTTTACAAATTAACAAATACCTCCATCAGAATCAATACCAAGTCTCTCAAGTCATGATGTCCAAAATATTCTATTTTAATCCCCGATTGGATGCATCATGGCCAATTTATGGTCGCAATGTGTCTCGTGTCAAATAGGAAGTACAATTCTATTGTATTGCCTTCACTACAAGCAACTGTTGTGTGCTGATATCCCCTTCCTTTTAACTGGCTCCAAACCTTTGGATCCATGCTATTTGCGGCCTAGCTTGTGTCACTTTTTAGTTTCATTTGTAATCGGATCGGGTCGTCGCTGAACGGAAACCAGCATAAGAACGGACTCGTGGCCAGAGGAAGCAGCAAATAACATGTGTATATCGAGTCATATTCATGAAGATGTTCAGACCGCCTTGATACCTGTACGTACCATACATACCAAGGTCCTAGGCAACCCGTTATGTCTCCTGATGTAGCCGGATATTATCGGACTAGTTTGGCGCAAGAATGGAAGCTCCTCGGCTCGGTTGACATGGGGAATATGGCATCAACCTGAACCGCCATCGCGGGGCGCCGAACTAGACCCACTTCTGTTCTGTACATCACAAGCAACGAACATGGACCTTCGCCTGCAGGACTTTATGTCATCCATCGCAATTCGAAATCTTCTCCAATTCTCGCCCATTGCACAGCATCTGCAGAACCTTCCCACTATTGATCGAGCTCAGCTCCCGACGTGATTTCGCTCCTCGACCAACCTTTACCCGCCGTCGCTCCATGCGCAACCCCGAAACGCCGGTTCTGTGCGCAACTCCTACTCCCGTTCGCCCGGACTGCGAACTCTCGCTCTTCCATCGTGCTGCGCTTCCCCGTCACTAGGTCGAGGAGAAGTCTTGGATGGTCGAGGCGATATTGAGGCCCGAGTCGAAGGCATCCAATGGAACACGAACGGTTATGATAACCGCACGGTCGGATCGAGGGGAGGATCCAAAGAGCGCTCGCTCTCCATCCGTGTCGGACAAGAGTGCTCGTCGCGGGTCGTCCACGGGCGCGGACGCGACTGCTGGGAAGAATGCGAAGACGAAGAAGAGACGCAAGGTCAATCATGGTATGACGAAGTTCCTTCGCGATTGTGGTTCGAATGTCGCGACAGATTGGAGCTTCGGTGTAACAGTGGCTGACTTCTTTTCTGCGGGAACTAGCTTGCATCTATTGCAGACGCTCGGTGAGCCTAAATCCTCCGATTCCCCTAGACGAGGTGCCTTTCACGCAAGGGCTCTCTCCTGGGGTCATCCATATCTGTATTAAGACACCTGAACTGACAACAAACGTCTGGAAATAGCATATGACATGCGATCTGGTAGGTACCTGCAGATAGCCGTGCCATCCCTTCTTCCCAATTGAAAAACAGTGACTAATTGAGTTGTCTTTCCCCTTGATTGCAGAATCGACCATGCAACCGATGCGTCAAGCGAAGTATTGGTCATCTTTGCCACGACGAGCCTCGAGAGCCGGCGAAGAAGAAGGCGGATAGTGCAAACGGCGCTTCTTCCCGTGATGGTGATGGCTCGAAAACATCCCACTCACCCGATGCGAAGGTCAATACGCTAGACAATCCTAACGCACCGGTGCCTGATGCAGGGCTGAACATTGCTGCGTCTTCGTTACCTCAGAATGGTGTCGGCAACACCAGCACTATCGTACAGCCGTCTCCCATATCTGCCCCAGGGGGTGTGTTGGAGAGTAATAACCAGTCCTGTAAGTTTCACCGCTGAAATCGAATTCGCTTTCCCTAGTCTCCTTCGTAACTCCTAACTCTGTCTTTTCGTCGATGAGTATTCTTATCGTTCTGATCATAATATTTACTATTTTAATGTCTAATACACTCCAGTCCCCCAGCTAGGTGACTGGAACTTCGGCGGGGGTAGTGCTCAAAGTCACTCCCATGGTTTCCAGGACATGCATAGTTACCCTCAGTATCTATTCAACACGTCCGAGATCACGAACGAGTATAATCTCCTGAACGACTTCCTCTCCAACAGTCTAGTTGACGACGCAGTGCCTTTCGGAAATGAAGCGACCATGGATCCTAGCAGCATGAACCTCTTTTCCGACCCATCTCTCAGCATGAACAACCTAGCTCGCCAAAGCACCTCCCACTCTCTCAACCCGAATCAACTCCATGCACAGCCGCAAGATCACCGGCAACAGGCGTCGCAAGCAGCTTCGAACCAGATGCTGCCACCGGCGCATGCAGCTGCTGGATCAGCCATTTCCCGTCCATCATCCGCCTATCCCTTTGACAAAGCTCGAGAAGCCTACTATCTTGTAGCCGCCGATCCTGCCGGTAACGATACGGCCGAAGAGCGATTGAAGAAGTTGTTGAAAGCGAAGTACGATGCGGGGCTCCTAAGACCCTTCAATTACGTCAAGGGCTATGCGCGGCTGAATCAGTTTATGGAGCGAAATCTCGCCCCGGTCTCTCGGCAGAAGATTCTTAAGCAGCTCGAGAAGTTCCGGCCAGCGTTTAGAGAACGGGTTCAGAAGCTCACGGATCTCGAGCTGGTCCTCGTGGAGATGTGGTTCGAGAGGAGTTTGATGGAGTATGATCGCGTTTTTGCAAGCATGAGTATCCCGGCATGCTGTTGGCGGCGGACTGGGGAAATATTCCGAGGGAACAAGGAAATGGCGGAGTTGATTAAAGTTCCTTTGGACCGGTTACGAGATGTAAGCTTGCCTGTCGAGCTTCTATATGCAAGTCTTCGATTCTAACGATATTCTGACCTGCGTTCTAGGGCAAAATCGCCATCCACGAAATCTTTGTTGAAAACTCCCTAGTTTCGTACTGGGAAAAGTTTGGTGCCATCGCGTTCGATGCTTCACAGAAGGCCATCCTAACGTCTTGCTCGCTGAAGAATCCAGGCTCGGGAACAGGGACTACCGGGAATACGGGCAGCACCCAAAATATGGGTTCCACTGCTTTGGCGCAACTGCATGGGGAGACGGTGCCTGATGCGGGGTCTGGTACTTCGGAGATCAGATGTTGCTTTAGTTTCACGATAAAGCGGGATCCGCATAACATGTGAGTGCGTTCGGTTTGCGAGTGGACTAGCAGCTAACGATCGTGAATAGTCCGGCGTTGATTGTGGGAAACTTTCTACCTATTCTGCCATCCCATTCGACTCAGTGACTAGAGGAGAGGGAAGGTTAGGTAAATAAAACGTCGATGGCACGATGACATGATTAGGCTCTTTGCAAGACTGCCTGTAAGTACCTTAGGTGTAGAAGACGATGGCTCACAGCGGATATGCCTCGCAATTGCTGGAATTGAGTCTGTAGTGACTGAGAAGGGTCGTCCTCTGCGATGCATGAATTGCTACTGTATATTTTCTTCAAGGCAGCATTTTCCTGACCTGCGCTCGTTCAACTTTCATTCCTTCCTCATTGACCGCTGTTGTCAAACCATTGTATCTCTATCTGTGCTTACTGATCTTCGGGGACAAAGAAGGCACGTTGATTGGAGAGCTGTATGACACGACGCGTCCATTGATATCCCTAAAGCATGGCTACTCGTTCGTATGGTGTTTGAATATTTCTACAAATCGATATCGTTGTCCTTTTCCATCAGGTCAGGTGATTGTGTGTCGCTTCCGTCCATCTCGATGTCATCATCATTTTAAGGTTAGTTGGGCCAACTTTATTTCGACCTCCACACATCTGGGACGCGTTCGTGTCTAACAAGGTTCAATCGTTCTGAAAGTGATTTTCTCCGTCCTAGTTCATTCTCCATGGCCTGATAGAAAACGTGTCGCCTTGCCCTGTCTCCGGACACATAGTCAGCCATGCCTCGTCTAGGCCCCGTGACTCGGGAACCACGGCGCCCGACTAGACCGCCTACCCAGAAGACTCCTGTGTTCAGTGCGGCCAAGTTAGAGAAAGAGAAGAAGGTTAAGAATATTCTCGGTGATTGCTCAAACTTCCTCCCGTGAGTCAATATCGAGAGCAAACTAATGATGTGTCGTACGGACAGATTTTGCCAGTGACCTTCGAATGCGACTATCCGAAGACCTGGTCTCAAATTTGCGAACAAAGGATGGGGCACTTCTAGATCTTGTATCTGACCTCAAACGCTATATTAAGCCACTTCCACTTTCCACGACTTCAGCAGCATCCAAGAAAGCCGAGTTTGATATCCTCGGCACGGATCTATGGAATCTAGCAACGCAACTCAAACGGAGCTGGGATGGCTGGAATTATGAAGCCTCGAAAGACGACACCACGGTTGATGGTAGTCGATCCAATCCAATATTTGAGGCTCTAACGTGCCATATTCGAGTCTTCTCATTCCTATTGATCGACACCGGATGCATGCCGCAAGTTGAGAAGGAACTCAACGATCCTAGCCGTTTCCTCAGACTTGTGGGGATTTCTATCAAATCTGGCAGGACCTGCTTATTATGCAGTGAGCTTGAACTAGCCCTTGTTTCCCTCGAACGCGCAGCTGCCTGCTTGCAAGTGCTACATGATGTGGAGAAAGTATCTGGGGGAAGTAGTAGCAGGGAAAATCTTGACCCAGAGGATAAGCTATTGCTAGGAAGATACTCGGCAGAGTATTATGGCCTGAGAATCATGTTGGTAAGTATCAAGCGAACCTTTCAGGGGCACAATGTGATCCTGACGACTCTAGGCATGGAGGCAAGATCGACTGGACATCGCGGAGCATATGTACGCTGAGCTCCAACAGTCGACCGAATCCCCCGCTGCATCACTTACTCCACCATCTGCGGAAGCCCTTGCGGACATGTTCCACACGATTGGTCGATCCCTACTTCATAACCGCACGTTCTCCCCAGCAATCGAATGGCTGACACGCGCGCGAGATACACTACTGTCGCAACCCGTTGAACGCCTCTCAATAACTGCTAGCGAGCTAAAGCTAGCAGTTCTACATGATTTGGTCAAAGCATTTCTAGCGGAATGCTCCGCAGACTCGAAGGACAAGGCGGAGAATACACTTGCAATGATTGAGAGGGAGCATGGAGGGAAGCTGGCATGGATGCTTCTAAAGCTTGACATGCTTAAGTTGCAGGAAGGGAGAGATATCGCCGACCGATACTATGAGGGTAGGGTGGTGGGATGCTCAATTGAGTCATTGACTAACAGCAATTGTAGTCCTTCTGAGGATTATCGAGAGCGTAATCCTCACAGAAAACATATTCAGAATGTAAGATCTTAAGGAGCGCTGTGGTAGGAACCATACTAACTCCTTACAGGATCATCCATCGATGGCACGAATTGAAGACTTTAAGGCAAGTTTGGATGGTTTCTGTCGGAGTCTTTTGCTAACTAACCTACCAGCCCAATCCTTGCTCAAAGAGCACTGGATGACTTGCTGGACTTGCGCCTTTATGCTACAGACAACACGGATAGAATTGAGCGAATTGTAGTCATGCGGGTATGGGTCTCAATGAGTTCTCCTGAAGTCAACGAATCAGTGACAGCTTTTCACACCTTCCTTGAGTCTGTCCTTCGAAACGTGAAGGGACCGTTTAGTGCTCAAGCGGCACATGCTGCACAGATGGTCGGTTACTGAGAATACGCAAGGATTAGTTATTTGCTAATATTTAACAGTTGATATGGAAGAAAATCGAGAGTTGCTTCAGTGGAGGTGCCTATCGAGAATGCAAAGATTGGTGTCAAAGCGCAGGCCACCACCTCTTCAGTCAGACCGGAGACTTGAATAGATCCACAGTCCTACGGTAATTGAAAGTCGCTCAATCGGCTACGTGGTATGCTGACCCGGCCAAGGAAACTCATGATATGCGAAATCAAATGCAAGCAATTCAAAGAAGCGAAGGATGTCTACCAAGCGATGCCCCAGTCCGGTCGCGATGCTCTGACCACGCAGTATCTGCTATATAAGATTGCAATTCAGGAAGGAAATTCGGAGATTGGTAAAGAAACGAGGTACAATTATGTTAAGACGGATCTTACTGACTTCATTCAGCTGCCGAGTGCCTTGACAAGATTTGTCGCCAGTCTCATAAGGACAAGACCTTGCTCTTCGCATGTGTGGCTGATGCCCAAGAGACGGGAGAGAAAAGTCAGGCAATCCATGCCTTGCACAAGGTATTGGAGAAGTATGACTACAAGAGCCCAGGCGGCGTCCATCTACCTGCACTTCTTAGGTATGATTCTTCAAAGTCTCAACCTGACTAATCCGACTGATGTTAACAGGTGTACCATACGACTGATCTCAGGGGAGATCTTCGATGATCTCAAGAAGAATAGCATTCTACTTGAAGATCTATGCTATACTTATGAGTCTGGTAAGATATAGACTTGACGTTTTGCCGAGCAGCCGCTGACATTATCTAGCATTCTCGCATGTCGAGAAGCAACGCAAGTCAGCCGGCGATGATAAGGCTGGAACTTTCACACTTGATGAACTTGAATGGTTCGCAAAGAGCTCGTACAATGCCGCTGTGAAGCTCTGTAGTCACATTGATCCCAACTTCCTATCCCGGCTTCTGGACTCGTGCGTTGAATTCATAGATGGCCACATCAAAGCTTCCAATTCAGTCAAATCGGACTTCGGGGTTCGAAAGCTCCATGCTACGTACCTTGCCGCATCCGCACATCTAGTTTTGGCGCGAGGAGAAGACGACATCGAACTGAGCAAGAAACATTACCTTTCGGTGCGGGATTACTCCTCATCATATTACCAATTATTTGCAGCGGACACGGAGCCCCTCAATATTTCCGCCGAGATGCAGAAAGACCTCATATTCAAGCAATTCCACCTCCTGAAATTCTCCCTGGAGGCTTGTCTTTATCTCTCGGACTGGACGACAATCGACACCCTATTCAGTCTTGCCCTCAAACTCCCGCAATCTCGACAGACCGGCCAGGATGATTGGACCGCGCAGTGGCAAACCTTAGGTGACCTAACCCTTCACCTCCAGGCCCAAGCTGCGAATCAAGGTGTTGATATCACCACGCGAACCAAGTTCCTCAAGTACCTCCAGGCCATTATGAACCGCCTCCGACAATCACCTAGTAGCGTTACCGCTCGACAGCACATCGCACGATGGCTGCGATGCATGTTCCAAGCCGCTCAATCAATCGACCAGGAGATGGCTGTGAAGGTGCTGGAGCAAGCGGGGGTTCTTGCGCGAGAGTGGAGTGTCGCGAAGGGAGACAGCGAGGGCCGGATGGAAGGTAAGGAAAGAGACAAGCCAGTTTTTCCGCAGGAAGAGATGGAGTGGCTCGTCGCTACGTCGTTTAATTGGGCGGTGGATGCGTACTGCGGTGGCGACAATGGGGCGTGCCAGAAGTGGGGTGAGGCGGCGTTAGGGTTGGCGGATGCTTTGGCGAGTAGTGGTGAAGGCGGAAAGAGATTGCTAAAGGAGGTGCAGGAGAGGTATAAGAAGCTGAGGTGGACGCAGGAGGATGAGATGGTGGAGTAGGCGGGACTCCAGGAACGGCAACAATCGGGGTATCACGGCTGAGTCGGAGAGGGATGTTGAAGATTGTTGATTTCGTTATGGTTCGTCCTGGTCAGTCAAGACTGTAGAATTACGAGGAGAGATGTAGCACTTGCTTGTCCGACCCATGATTAGCGCCCCTGCTGGTTCCATCCCTCTGATTTCAATGTTCACGATCCCCAAACTCCTGTCTTTATACATTACTTCATGATTCCCGTCCTGTAACCGTTGATATCGTGCGCCAGCTCATCCCGAGTGCATTCCAGAAAGGAACGTGTCACTCTCGCTTTGGGTCTCAATCTATGACCCTCCGTCCTCCTTCAAGTCGCTCGACCGAGGACCCCTGCACTACAGTTGGAAGGTGATTCGTGGTTCCAAGAATCACACTCCCCGTGGTAGAGCCATCAACCGATCCGGTGTTGAAGCTCAGTGTCACATCGGCCATTTCCACATCAGCCTTGGCAGTTGTAGATGTGGCCCCATCGGCAGGTGATCCCTGATGAGCCATGGACATGCGCAATTCCACCTGCCAGTCCATCTCCACCCCACTGTCCCTACCAAACCGCCTCATCTCCAGCATCACCTCCCGAATCGCTCTATTCAACGCCTCTCTCAGCTCCGTCGTCGTCACCGCCTCGAGCTCCATCCTCTCCCAGGCACCGACCAGCTTCTCCAACCACTCTCGTTCCTCAACCATCCAGTACTCTTCTCCCCGATGGTTCCTCCAGACATCGTTCCAACCGTCTCCGGGGACTGCGCGGTACTCGCTGCGGAATCTCGACTTCGGTGGGCCATCTGTCCGCATTACGAGCCAGCCCTCCGTGGCGCGTAGATCCGTGCCGTTGAGGAATACCATTCGTTGGACGATGCTACGCGGAATGGGTTCGAGCCAGGTGCGGTGTGTGAGCGCAACGGTGGCGTCGGAGCGGAGGATGGTGCCGAATTTCGAGGTAAATACGACATCTGGCGAGGAGTCACTTGTCGTCAAGAGATGGCCAGGCACGGTAATTGAGGCAGGAGGGGGGGCGGTGTTGCTAGGAAGCGGAGTGAACGGCGTGGTCCCGGTGAGGATAGGGGCGGGTTGGGGGTTTGGATGGCTCGGAAATTGTGACGTGTAGTGCCACTGGAAGCTCATAGGGATGTAGTTGGTAGCGAGGGTGAGGGCTCCGGTATTTGACGTGTAGGGGAATATAGGGTTGTAGTAGTGGTAGTGACCGGATTGAGGGGTCGGAGGTCCGGTCGAGGACTCCTGAGGGGCCGGCTTGACGGGCTCGAGGGAGGGGTTGAATGAGAAGACGAGGACGCGAAGGTCAGATATGTTGATCCCAAGTGCAGAGAGGGCTCTTGCAATTCGGTGTTGATCAAGTTGCCAGGTATGGTTGGCATGGAAGGAGATGCGCCGGATGAGAGCAGCATTGCGCTTCCCAATGCAGTGGTCGAAGGACGCAGTATAGATGGGTTTGAAGCCGATAGAACCTGTATCGAAAGCATAAACATGTCAGCGACCATTCTCATAACTTTCGATGACGTTCAGGCAATCATCAAGAATTCACATACCGAGATGGAAACTGTTCTCTCCATACAGGACCGGGCTTCCCTCTTGGTGCAACAGACGACAGGTGGCCAGTATCGACGAATGGATGGACTTGTGTGGCCCCAGGCTGAAGAGGTTATGGTGTCCCAAACGAAATGAAGTATCCGAAACCAACAACTCTTGGAATATCTGCCTTCTAACCTCCTCGGGTAGATCTAGCAAGCTAGGATGGTGATTGTGATGTTCCTCTTGCAGATAGGCTCTCTCGCAATGTTTCTCGTCCGGTCGGGTTCCGTCATCGAAGTTCATCATGTGTGATATGCGCTAAAATTCGCTGCCCGTCGCCAGTTCCTGTACAGTCGCAATTGTGGCGATTGATGGTAGTGGTAGACATGGAGATGTGACCGGGAGGCCGTGAGAGCGAAGTGATTCGAAGCGAGCGTGACCATGGAGCAAGTTGAAATTGGTTGTGGAAGTGGAAGATTGGGGGATGAGACAGGAGCGGACCACGATTCGCGTCCAGGTAGATGAGGGAGCTAGATGAAGAGGGCTGTGTCTGGTATCATCAGAAGTGTTCGGCGTCGCAGGAGGGAAATTGCCTGGTGAGATTACAGGTATACCCACGTGACCTCCAATTCAATGACATGTCTCATCTGAGCGACACCTGAGCGACTCAACGTCTTTCAAAGATCTTTCAATTGTATCATGTTGCATCTCATTTAACCTGCCGTCCAATGTACGGACCGATCTGCCCAGTGCTCACAACCTGTACGACACTAGTCACTCACACTACGACTCGGTCTTGCATTGATGGCCGTCATCATGCTGTACTTAATACTACCACCAGACCCAACGATATATGGGAATCGTGGGGGGCAGTGCAATACTGAAAACCGAGAAGAGAATACAATAGCAGATCCTACTTGGACTTTGAAGACTAACTAGGAAATATCATCCTAGGTATTCCGTACTTGGTATGAATTCTCGTGTACAGATTATTAACATCTAAGCAAGACTCCACTAGTTACCGATTCATTGATTAGATTTGCTGAAATCTCACAAAGAGTTTATGGTGTCAACTGATTCCCACGTTCTGGTCAGATCCTGGGGTAGGTGCCGAAGATTGTTCCTTTATTCTCATGATATATAAAATGACATCTAATATGGCCAGTATGGCCCTGCTAAGGTTACATGTTAAGTAATATGTCCCTAACTAAACAATGAGGCGCCTATTTCTATACGGTCGCCAAGATGTCACAATGGTAATTGGATCAAGATTTCGCATTCGGAAATGACAGGCTAAGGTACAAACAAAAGAAGAGCAACGGACATCGAAGTTCAACCCTATTCATTCGCGTCAGACCTTGGGCAATTGGGCATCCCTCACGGGTCATGCCAAGCAAACATGCAGGAACACCACCAAACCAGACGATGAACAACGCAATTCTTACCGTTCTTAATATGTACATTCGGAGATCGCCACCACTTCCACAGCCATCCTTTCCTGGTCCTCCCCGCCAATGACATTGTGGACCTTGGATTTGACTGTGTTCATTCGCTGTTTCCACTCGAACCCCTCACTCAATAATCAGCCTGCCAGATGAACAAGTTTCGAGGCCGGGTCGAGTCAAAATTCCTGCGTGCACGTCAACTGATAACACCCGGAGCTCTCACCGAATCTAAACCTGGTGCTTCGCAACCGGATCATCATCATCAGGGAGAACCAAAGGATACAGTTTGGAACGAAGGGATCTCCATTATGGCACTGCGTGACTAAATATGGACGACCAACAACAAGAAGTATTTTCGCTCGAGCTAACACCTGATGCACTCTATTTCCGGGTCAATAAAGAGAATCGTGTTGTCTATGTCTCCCTTCATCTAGACGTCATCCTAAACAATTGCCCTTGAGATCGAGCCGAGCGGTATACTGTCCTGCAGCACCTGAAGAAGTTACCAAATTGGGATCGTACTTCGGCGCACTTTGACCATGACAAAAAGCCCCTCTGGCAATTTCAGATCAGCAATTCCGATATTTGGAAAATGAGTTCGAGCCGCATCACTAGGTTCCCCTGCCTAACTTCGCACCGAAAGCCAAAAACATCAACATTCTCGACACAGTGAATATCGAGCGGATTAGTGGCAAGGTCTCCTTAGCCTCTTATGAGGGGAGACAGTTGATTGAAAAGATTGCCCCGATTCAGTTGGGAAGTTCTGAGCCTCACGAAGGAGATAGCTGCCTACGGCTTTCTGCACAGCCGTTGATTCAAGGACATGCCGGAGTTCCATGGCTATCTATATGAAGAAACTGAGGACCACATCGTAGGATTTCTCACCGAGGTCCTCATCCACAGCTAGAGCAGATGCATCTCTGCTGACGTGCTGCCCGCCAACTGCATAGCTTGGGATTCGTTCATGGAGACCTCTACAAGTACAATATGGTGCTACAGGGTAACGATGTGAAATTCATCAATTTTGAAGCTTCAGAAGTTCGAGATGATTGCGAGAAGAAAAATTCGAGAGATCGGTGTTGTTGGAACTGGCTACTTTGGGCAAGAAGCTAGCTGACACCTCCGGGATTGGAGACTACGACATGTCTTCTATTTGATGCATATACGGAATAGTTGGGGTTATTGAGGTTACTGGGAGGCTTGCGGGTAAGGTAAGTTGAATGCAAGCAAGCAGTGCTATCCCTAAGTGTCTCCTTGCATCCCAAACGGATTTTCCAAAAAGGCATTCCATAACTATCCACCATGCCCGAAACATTGAACCACAGCATTCATTCCATTCCATGGGAGCCCGGTATTTAGTCAAACACGTTATTGGTGATTACGAAGAACAACGCAACCCTTAGAGTACAGGTACCCAGTACTACGTGCCTATAAAGTGCATCTGTCTACGATTCACTCCTCGGTCGCCATGAATCTCCAACTTACCCACGTCCTTTACGACCCGTACTGGAAGTGAAGAACCTGCTCTAATAACTAGAGACTTGCAACTTTCTCACATTGTACCTGTATAACCGAACCCTACATCCGGTGGCTGAAGCCTGGGCTGACGTCCAATCCCAGTTGAATGGATAGAGGACTGGCAATATAGACTAAATTGCGCACTCTCCAATCGAAAGTGAGAATGAGATTAAGCTAACCATTATAATGAATGAGATGAGTTTAGGGTTGGGTACAAAAGGCCTAGATGAGGTCGCTTCCGCTCTTCGGAGCTTTTTTCTTCGATCCCGCAGGATATCCCTTGCAATCCCCACATCTTGGGATATTTGTCGAAGCATCGGGCACTATCCTACTGCCCTGCTATAGAGTGGATGTCAGCCATCACTATAGTTCTCCTGACGGTGAATGTAGCCAAATTGACGCCACAGATATTTGGACTCGATCAGGGCAGGAAAGCTGCCTCGGGACGCATGGAAGTAAAGGTCCTATACGCGACTATATAGGGAGTATAGCGTCTCGTATCCTATCAGTCATTACCACATTCCATTCTCTCAAGTTTTTACTAAAAGTCGCTCTTTTCATCATGAAGACCTCTATGATTTTAGGAGTTGCACTACTCCTTCTTCCGGCAAGCTTCGCGCTGCCGGAGCCGCAAGGTAACCGCGGTGGTGGCAACAACAACGGCGGAGGTAGACCTGGAGGTGGGAACAACAACGGCGGAGGTAGACCTGGAGGCGGGAACAACAACGGAGGCGGAAGGCCTGGCGGCGGGAATAACAACGGGGGTGGCAGGCCTGGAGGCGGAAACAACAACGGGGGAAACTGGGGCGGCAACAATGGCGGCGGGAATTGGAACCCCGGCCGCCCTGGCGAAAACAACGGCGGCAACTGGAACGGCGGCAACAACAACGGCAACGAGATCTGGGGCGAAATCATCGGCGGCATCGCTGGCGGTATTGCCGAAGGCTGGTCGGAGAACTGGAGCGGCCGACAGGGCGGCTGGAGCCCCCAGGGTCTCGGCGGCTGGCGTCCCGTCACCGCGACGAAGACCGTGACGCGGACGGCGAACCCGTGGCGCCCCGACCCGACGGCGGCGCCGACGGTATACCAGTACTGCGACCGAGATAGCGCGAGCTGCGCGGAGGGGGAGTACTGCGTGGCGAATCCGCGGAGCAACTGCGGGGCGGAGTGCGATCAGTCGAATATCTGTGTGGAGCCGGAGAATACGTGCGGGGGTGCGGAGGGGGTGGAGTGCGCGAATCAGATTTGTGTGGATGATGACGCATATTGCTTTGTGGGTGCGGATGGGGGGGAGTGCCTTGGGGTTTGTGTTTGAAAAGGGGTATGAGGGGCAGTCGAGGGGTTCTATTCTGGCGGTCGACTTGGTCGAACTAGTGCGCTTATTTGAGTTTAAAGTGGCAGTGAATATAGTGGGATTGGAGGTAGTCAATGGGGAATCATAATGCAAGAAAGTTAATCTACAAAAAGAGTCATATCCGTGCGTCTGGATCTGCCGGTTTAGCGGCTGTGATTTTGGTGGAATATGCAACATGCTATCTACGTGACTGTCCTGATGATGCCGTCCTCTTCCAAGAGCAGTGACTTACCGTAATGATGTATCCGTTCGTTATTCAGTACAACCCTCCATTCCCCCCTCCACTATTTTCCAACTCACAACCCATCTGATCCAAAGAATAGCAGACGTGACCCTGTCATGACATAAAAACGGGGTATATGTGAATACAAAGACCGACTCCGTAGGAATGGTTCCAGACCGCATTGACATGTAGCAAATTTTCCCGTGGCCCGGGAAGAGACTTGACAATGGGGCCACCGCGGCTCTTACTTGTTGTTCAGCATCGTCGTAATGCTATGCCACTTCTGCTTCAACGTTTCGTACTCCGAATTGATCTGCCCGAAGATTAGCCACCCCAAACTCCATAAAACAGTCAATCCGGCGTTTACTCACCTGTGCATACCCCATCTTCGCCTCCACCAACTCCTTCTCCATCTCCGTCATCTGATCCTCCAGCGCCCGATTCTCGTTATGCACCTCGATATTCCGATGCATCACCTTATCCATATCGGCCTTCAACCGCGCCTCCACCTCCTCCGTCTGGCTCGCTACCACCTTCTTCAACTCCTCCACCTGCCCCTTCAGACTCTCGTTCACGTCTTCCAGCGTCTGATTCTCGACCTTGATGCGCACGAGCTCCGACGCTGCAAGCACGTGTTCGTGGTCCGATTTCTCGGCGTCTTCCTCGAGTCGGCGGACCTTTGCGCTGAGCGTGTGTCCCTGTGAGCGGAGGGTCTCAAGCTCCGTCTCGCGCTCCCGTGTCTCCCGCAGCTGCTCTTTCCATTCGGCGGAGTAGGTGCTGAGCATCTTTTCGGTGACTGGGATGGCGCAGGCGTCGCGAACAAGCTCTTCGGCGCGGTAGATTTCGCGGTCGGCGCCGGAGCCACTGGAGCCGAAGAAACCGGAGTCGAGCAGGCTGCTCGCGGAGGGGGCCTTGTCGATGTATGCGTCGACGAGGCGTTCTTTGAGGAACATAGTCAACTGCGACATGTCGTGCATGCCGAGCAGCAAATCCCGGTTCTTCTGCATCAGGGCGATGCCGAATTTGAGAACGGACGCTTCGAGGCCTTCGGAGAGGATGAGGTCGTAGATCCGTAGCACGAGTTGAAGGGGGAAGCGGTATGCGAACAGGGTGAGAAACCATTGGGTGGCGTAGAGGTTCGGTGTCGCGCCGCGTCGGTTGAGGTGGCAGTACAGCGCGGGCTCAAGGTCCTCGAGGAGGCGGGCGAATTGGTAAAGGTGGAGGTGGAGGCCTGGCATTTCGGGGGCGAAGAGGTCGCGGAGGTGGTAAGTTTGCATGAGACGAACGAGGAGAGCAAAGGCTTCTTCTTCTGGCATCTGCGCGAGTTTGTCAGTACCATATTTCTGGACGTACCGAAATTAGAAGTGGTAAAGGGATACTCACGTTGAACAATAACGGCATCGCCACAAAGTTCATCCCCTGCGCATACCCGACTTCGCCGTCATACAAAGCATACGCCTTGCACACACCAAAAAGCCCTTCCTGCAACCCCGCCGCCATGAGGTATTTTGAATAACTCGTCCTCGCGCCAATATCCTTCCGTATCGTTTTCTCCAATTTCCGAATCATTTCGGGATCGTCTTTCTCCTTCTCTCTCCCTGGCAAGAGAGGCACCGATGGCTTCTTGGCCGCAAAGCTAAGCTTCTCCCGCAAATTCCGCACATCGAAGCCACTGCTAGTCGACTCGTGCGGAGGCGCCGTACCCGGACTCGGTTGTCCCGGCCCGATTATCTCGCTCACGCTGCTCCCCGAGCTTTGCACGCTCCCGTTGGCCGGCACGCCGTTCCCCGTACTCTGACTCCCTGCCCGACTCATCGGCGCGCTATCGATTTTCTCCTTCTCCTTCTCTGTCCCCTTCGCTACCAGACCCCAATACATCTGCGCAAGGTCCTGTAGCCCTTCTACGCCTGGACTGGGGTCAACCCCCGAAAGCACCTGCCACACCACCCCTCGTATCGTCCCGGGAATCCCAAGCGCGATGCCCTCTTTCATCTCTTCAGGACTCGTCCGCGCCACCGCCGCGGGCCCTTCATACACTATCGACTGCCACAGATCCCAGTCCACCGGTCCGGATTTCTCCGCTTCTGCCAGCCCTGACGCGGTGCCGGGCGGTAGCGCCCGATTGATTGTCTGGACGGAGCTAATCGACATACTCCGCTGGGATTTGGCTGGGGGTGTTGGCTGCGTCGGGACCGAGGAGGGATCATCGCGTTCTTTGTCGGGGGACATGGCGCCGCCGGGCTGGCCGCCGTGTGCGATTCCTAGGCCTGATGCTGTCGTAGAGTCATCCGACTCAAGGGATAAGATATTGACGCCGGCTTCTTCCTGCATTCTCAGGAGCTTGAATCGGTCGCGGAGCTTGCCGCGGGAGTTTTGTGCGGCGGGGGTGGTCGGCGACCCTTCCTCAGCGAGGCGGGAGAGGTGGGAGAGGGGTACGTCAGGGTTGCTGCTAAGTGTGGTGGTGGAGCTGGCGGTGTTGCGGCGGCTGCCTGCGGTGTCTATAGGTCTAGGGAGGGGTGGAGATGGGGTGGAGGGCTTCGGACTGGTGCGGGAGAGCCAGGAGAAGGGGGCAGTAAGTTTTCGGCTGCCGAGGGAGGGGAATGGGGATGCGGAAGACGCTGTGGATGCATGTTTGTCCGGGGTGGGGGGTGCTTGTGCATTCGTATTTGTATCGTTTGCGGCGATGTTAGATGGCATGGGTCTTAGTGGGAAGTCTGTCGTGGAGGATGCCGGTATAGGTGGTGGAGCAGACGAAAGCTTGACTGGAGTTCCAAAATATTAGCATAGGCGATTTAGACGAACGGGTTTGAACATGTCGCATCCCCTCTGCAGCAGTGATTGACTTGCGGAGACAGCGTGCGAGACTGTCATGCACTCATTTACCCAACCCCACCCAAGTCCTTGACTCCGACAGGAACACACTAAAAGAATCTTCACTCACCTTCATCAAGACTGACTTCATCCATATCCGTCACCTCGCCATGATCGCCACGGTCGCCATGGGTCGTCAACAGCGGACTCTTCTGCGGCGCCTCCACTTCTACCCCGTTCCCCCCCGCATGAGCGCGCCCCTCGAATTTGGCGATTTTGGCAGCCGTGTTCTCCTTTGAAAGGCTTCCGTTGCCTTTATACAGTTTCCTCGACCCCGACGACGTGCTTCGGTCTGTTAGGCTACGCGACGTCTTGGGGGAATTCGAATGCGGACGAGGCGTGATATCGGGGGCATCTTCGAATGCGTCTTCCGTCGATTCCGGAGTGGTTGGGCGGAGCTCCTTGCGGGTTGGGGGCGCCATCGCGGTCAAGGATCCTTGGATTGTCGTACGTGTATTTTGAGGAGCGGGACGTTTTGATACGTCGCGTAATCTGATGTTGATTGGCCTTCAAGAGGATACCTATGGTCCAAAATTGAAATGGATCGTGTGGGATATAGAGGAACGGAAAATCGAATCGATGTGCAGGACCCGCTGGCTGTTAGAATCGATTCCTATATTCTGCGAAGGGCCGCGTCAGTCACTCCGATGGCCCTCTGGAATGGTCGATTCAATCGAACATCGTGACACTGACCCGGCTAGGGTGAAGGGTGGTACAGGAAGGGTCAATAAACGTAACCCCCCGTTCGCATATTATCGCCAACTCCTTTCCTGTCACACGAGAGCTGATTGGGAACGTACTTACACATTACCCCTCGAAAACGTGTTCTTCTCTTGTAGTAAACCAAAGACCAGAATCCCAAACTCGAGTTTTGTGTATGGTGTAGCAAGAGAGATGGTTCGACGTCGAAACTGAACCCTTTCCGATGCTACACACGTGCTGTCCTGTAATCGAGTGCCGTGGGTCCCCAAATATCAGCGCCCCAATGGCTGGACCTTTGGATCGGAGCGGCAGCCACAGACGGCGTGGCACTAGGCTCGATCGTGCAGTGTTCCCTTGGCCCTTGCAGCTTCTGGGGAAGATCCAACGGTCAAGCTGACAGTTGATAGGACGCAATACTAATATTTTGGAATGGATGGCATGAGGTAACGTCTGCAGGAGGACAATTGGTGTTTGATAAGGTCACGGGTTTCGAAACAAGATCCGACGATCTTAAGACTGGATCCAGGAATTGGAGTACGCTGCACAAGCATCCAGAGTTGCATATGGAATTACGGGTGGAGCGTTGGTTGTTCAACATGAAACACCCGACTTGCCCGGAAACAACCAACTATTGGTGCCTGACAGCCTGAGGCGGCAAGACCTTGAGACTTAATCTTCCAGTTCTTTGTCCATGTCTCAAGTCTCGAGTTCTCAAGTCTCGAGTTATCAAATCTCGAGTTATCAAATCTCGAGTAGTACGGTACCCTATTATCCTATATCTTTAAGGTATTCTAAATGGCATGCTTTTGTCTTTCTTTTTAGACTATCAAACTGTTTCTGTGTAATCATATAAAGGTCATGATCCTCTAAAACCTCAAATCCCAACCAATCACCGGTCCCAGCTTCGGCAACTCATCCGCCACGCTCTGCACATCCTTATCCCCTCGTCCGCTCAGGCAAATCACCACATCCTTCCCCTTCCCCAGCTTCTTCGCCAGTTGCATCGCACCCCAGATCGCGTGGCTGGTCTCCAACGCTGGGATGATCCCCTCCAACTGGCTGAGTAGCCGGAATCCTTCCAACGCCTGCGCATCCGTCGCGGCGATGAACTCCGCCCGGCTGGCGTCTTTCCAGCTCGATAGTTCAGGGCCGACGCCGGGGTAGTCTAGTCCAGCGGATACGGAATGCGTGTCGCTGATCTGGCCGTGTTGGTCCTGCAAGATGTACGTCCGTACGCCATGCAACACCCCCTTCGACCCGCCCACCAACGTCGCCGCATGCCGCGCCGTATCCGTCCCATCGCCACCCGCCTCCACCCCCAACATCTTCACGCTCTCATCCTTCGAGAACGGATAGAACATCCCCACCGCATTGCTTCCGCCCCCCACGCAGGCCACCACCGCATCCGGCAACTTTCCCTTCAACGCCATCAACTGCTGCTTCGTCTCCGTGCCAATGACGCTCTGGAACGTGCGCACGATCGTCGGGAACGGATGCGGGCCGATCGCGCTGCCGATGATGTAATGCGTGGTGCCCAGCTTGACCACCCACGCCCGCAACGCCTCGTTGACCGCGTCCCGCAGCGTGCGCGACCCAGCCTCTACCGCCACCACGCTGGCACCCAGCAGCTTGATCCGGAACACATTCAGCGCCTGCCGCCGCACGTCCTCGGCGCCCATGAACACCGTGCACTTCATCCCGAATTTGGCGCACACCGTGGCCGTGGCCACGCCGTGCTGCCCCGCGCCGGTCTCGGCGATGATCTCCGTCTTCCCGAGCCGCCGCGCCACAAGGATCTGCCCGAGCGCGTTGTTGATCTTGTGCGAGCCCGTGTGGTTGAGGTCCTCGCGTTTGAGCCAGAGGTTCGCGCCGCCGGCGTGTTCGGTGAGGCGGTCGGCGAGATGGAATTGGGACGGCCGCGACATGTAGGGGTAGTAGGAGCGGTATTCGTCCCAGAAGGTCGGGTCGTGGAGGCAGGCGTTGAAGCCGGCTTCGAGCTCGCTGAGGCAGTCCATGAGGGATTCCGGGACGTATTGCCCGCCGAATTCGCCGAAGCGTGGAGGCAGCGCGCCGGCGTGCGTGACGTTCGGGTCGTTGAGCGCTTCTAGCTCATCGACCGGGCCGGGTTTCCCGTTGTTATCCTGCTCGGTGATGACCTTGTCGACCTGGGGGGCCGACGACACCTGTGCGTCGGCGACCGCTTCGCCCATGGCAACTTCGCGGGTCAAGTCGCTATCGGTCGTCATAGTTACCTTGCGATTCGTGATGCTGGAGCAATACTCCTCCACCGCTTTCGCGTGCTCGCCGGCCGGGGCATTCGCGATGGTCGTGATCATCTGACTGCCGATGACGACACCTTCTGCGATCGAGCCAACTTCGACGAATTGTTCGCGCGTGCTGACGCCGAAGCCCACCGCGGCGGGGACGTTGCCGGAGTAGGTGTGGACCCGCTCGAGCAGGTCGGGGAGGCCCTTGTTGAGGGAGCCGGTGACGCCGGTGACGCCCATTCGGGAGACGACGTAGATGAAGGAATCGGCAATTTTGCAGAGAAGCTTCATTCGGGATTCAGAGGTGGCGGGGGCGATCAGCGGGACGTAGGAAAGGCTAGGAGCATGGTCAGATAACGAGCCGGACAGGCCAAGGACAGATCGAACACATACCCAGCCTTCGTACAATAGTTCCTAAACCGCACCGCTTCCTCTGGGGGTAAATCCACGATAATAAACCCATTGACACCCGCCGCTTTTGCATCCGTCATCATCCGATCCTCTCCGTAAGCCAGCAGCGGATTATAGTATCCCATGAGCAACACCGGGGCCTTCAACCCCTGTTTCCGCGCGCCGCGGACGATGTCCAAACACGTCGTGGTGTTGACCCTGTTCTCCAGCGCTTGCGTATTCGACTTCTGAACCGTCGGTCCGTCCGCAATGGGGTCCGTGAACGGCATGCCTAGCTCGATGATATCGGCGCCACCGGCTTCCATCCCTAGGAGAATGGAGATGGAGTCGTCGATGGTGGGGTAGCCGGCGGTTACGTAGGTAACGAAACATGGCTGTGGGGGTATTTGTTAGCAGTTGTCTTTGCTAGCATCAATTGAGCGTTGAGAGAAGCGCCGCAGTCTCCAATGGCTGCGAAGAGACAATAGGTAAAGATAGCGGAGGGTAAGAAGCAAGGCGCCGCGGGTCGACTTACCCGTTTCTCCTTCGCACATTGTGCGAATGTCTGTTTAATACCTTCCATGATGAGATTCAATGGCTCCAATTGAGGTCTAATTGGCAATTGGAATTCAATTGGAAATTCTGAGGTTGGGAGAGGTATAAATGTGATGGATGACTCGAAAAATCGATGACTCTACAGAGCCGGCGGGACAAAATAATATTGAGGGGAGGATTTGACATGACTCGTGTGACGCCGATCTCGCTGCTGGCTCCTTTGGATATCTGACTCGCGGATCCTTCCTCATCCCTTTCTCGGCACCAAGGCCATTAACTATATTCTGGCATGTCACTAGTTATACATTGCCTGTAATAGCACGATAAACGATTACGTCTGATGTCTAATAATTATTCCGTGCATGTCAGCACATCGGAGTATCGATGATGACTCGGGCGGGATTGCACAGCATGGCGTGTATACTCCGTAATTAGGTAGGACGAGATGAGCGAACATAGAACCATGGGAATTATTACTCATCCTGATGGAACACATTACACAACTCCTCTAGGTGCGCAACTGGTCAGCGTTATTCACTCCCGTATTGCTCCATCCCGAGCTCTCATATGGCTAGAGAATGGTACTCGCATACATACAAAGGTACTATCTCGGCCACTTTAGGTTCGCATGTGAGTGTGTGTGGCTTGTTGGAAACACGACCGCGGATTTTGGCAATGCAGTACCTATAGTCGCCTCTCATGCGTTGATATATTGTGCAACCTACGATAAGGCCGTAGTCCCTGGATCCTTCCGCCCTCCCCTATTTCTATTTCTTCAGAGTTCACGCGAGTCCTAACGCAGGTCAATCATTTTTCAAAATATGGTGTTTATTTCCCTGTGATTTCGGAATATCTAAATTCAGGGTCAAGTCCCTTTCTCTCGGTTACGTCGACCCGTTTCTGGACTCTCCCATATTCTCCAGGATCCAGCTCTAATGTCCAGTTCAATCAATGTCCACTAGCTTGCGCGTGATTTTGTTTTATCACGGAAATTTTCTCTAGCTTACGAGTGTTTTATTTTAAAATTTTCAAAGTATCATCAAATCCAACGCCATGGAGCGGCAGTAGATCCGCGCCGTATGCCTGGGCCGCGAAGACTTGCTTCATCGGGATATCCGTCACACGACGACCGCCAGGCATGCCGCCGGCTCATTTCACTACTGGATACTTTGACGAGATTATTTGCATGCTCTCCTCTCTGATGAGCGATTATCACGCCGCCCTGGCTTGCTCAGCCTCTTCAAGACTTTAGTATGTTTCGCTTGGTCGAAAAATCACGCATCTCGATCGGGTTTAGCGGGTCGAGAGTCCGCCTTCCAGCTTTACTATAGGTTCCTTTGTGCCCAGTATGCTAATGCCCTTGGATTTGTTCCCCCGAATAAAATTGATTATCAAAGATATCCCGCGCGTAGCGATTCGAAAATCTGGTTAACTAAGGGCCGGGTCATCTTGCGTAATTCCACGAGCAGCAAACCATTGTCTCCTTTGGGGGCAAAATGCCTCATACTGTGCTGTTATGACGGCCATCAAGATTTGCTCCAGGAGGAGACAGGTTGATTATCTGCATGTGTGCTATTTAATCAAGAGGCATATTGCACCCAGGTATTCGGTGTGAAGTTCACTTGGGATTATTTTGTCTTTTAGCTGTTGCTCTTGTGCCATCTACTCGATTTGTTGGAGCGCCGACTCTCATTGACGCCTCCTGAATGGGTCCCAAAACTGAGCCATCGGGTTCCGAGAATCAGAAAGCGGAAACTCGGCTTCGCTATGCGGATGATGTCGAAACTGGCCCTCGTGCCAGTCGCATGCGTCGAGACTCGACAGACTCGATGTCCATCCGATCGTTTCCCAGGCACAGGACGGTAGACCCCAATATCGCCCTCCCGATTGAATACCGGACCGTGTAAGCCTTCCCAGTTGGAAATATTCCAATTCTAATCCTAACGCTGTCAAAGATCTTTCAATATTGCCGAGACCCAAGAACGACAACCTGAGAAAACTCCAAAGGACAAGGAAGGAGACGTAGAGCATGGTTATTATGAGCTCTTCACCATACTCTTTCCCCAGGCTAATTCCAAAATACAGAGATTGCGCTACTTGAATGGCATATTCTGCCTGTCGAGGACGTGCTCAGCCGTCTGTCTGTCTCTGCGAAACAGGGCCTCTCCACGGACCAAGTAGCACGCAAACAGAGCGAATTCGGTCCCAATTCTCTGACACCACCTCCCTCTCGTTGGTTCATAAAGACGCTCGGGTATCTCTATGGGGGGTTTGGATCAGTCCTCTTTGTCGCTGCGATTCTTGTCTTCATCGCTTGGAAACCGCTTGGTCAACCACCGGCCATTGCGAATCTGGCTCTTGCTATTGTTCTTGCTGTTGTATGGGTTATTCAGGCTGGGTTCGCCTTCTATCAAGGTAATCAGAGGATGTTCATTAAAGGAATCCAGTACACTGATCCTCACTAGATTGGTCGAGCTCGCGTGTGATGTCCTCTATCTTAACCATGCTTCCTGACGACTGCATCGTTCTTCGCGATGGCACAAAGGTTGAGGTCAGTGCAACACAGCTGGTTCCCGGTGATATCCTTTATGTACGGATAGGCGACAAGCTCCCCGCAGATGTTCGCTTCCTCGAGGCCAGCCCTGATGCGAAATTCGATCGTTCAATCCTTACCGGTACGTCAATCTCAATATAGGAGAGACGATTGAAGCTGACCTGTGTTGTAGGCGAAACTCTCCCCATGCGCGCCGCTGTGGACTCTAATGAAAATAATTACCTGGAAACGCCCTGCATCGGCATGGCCGGAACCCATTGTGTTTCCGGCCACGCAGTCGCCGTAATCGTGTCGACTGGCGACCGATCCGTTTTTGGCCGGCTAGCGAAACTTACTAGCACACCGGACACGGGATTCACGCTCCTTGAAAAGGAGATTTGCTACTTCGTCGCTGCGATTGTGAGTATCATGATTACCATGGTACTTATTTCTGTCACTATTTGGTGAGTTAGCATCATTGTGGCGCCGATTCCCGTACTTATATAGCCCCAGGGCTGCATGGCTTCGAAAAGACCACCCAGAATGGATCAGTGTCTCCCTCTTGATTGTGTCCTGTGTCAGTATCGCAGTCGCGTTCATCCCGGAAGGTCTACCAATTGCTGTCTCTGCTAGGTATGTCCTCACTTTCAAAGGCCGGTTCTGTGCTAACCCGCTAGTTTGACAATCACTGCCAACATTATGAGGAAAAACAAGATTCTATGCAAGTCTCTTAAGACAGTGGAAACACTCGGCTCAGTCAGTGTAATCTGCTCCGACAAGACGGGTACATTGACAAAGGTATGAATACCGTATCTCTACGCAAAATCATTCCGTAATATTGACAGAACCAAATGACTACATCCGACTGCCTCGTCTCGTCCGAGGCCATGACTGCCAACGCGGCCATCGGTGCTCTCGAGCTCGGCCAAAAAGATGAATATGCCTCTCAAATCTCTCGCGTTCTCGAAGAAATTGCTGAAATCGGTGCCCTCTGCAATGCTGGCGAGTTCGATGCTTCCACGATCAATCTCCCGGCAGAACAACGCAAGGTCCACGGCGACGCAACGGACTCGGCGATTCTGAGGTTCAGCGAAGCGCTCATTCCAGTGAGCCAGACGAGAGAAAAATGGCAGCGTCTGTACCGGCTTGCCTTCAACAGCCGAAACAAATTCATGATCCAAGTCATCTCTCTGGCCAACCAAACGGCCCCAGAGAAGACAGCTGAAGGATTCCTAACCGTCAAAGGCGCTCCTGATATTCTCCTCCCACGCTGTCTCTTCTACCTCGACAACAACGGCTCCACAAAGCCCATGACTGAGACTCACCGTGCCCATGTTGGATCTCTCAAGGACAACTGGTCCGGCCAAGGGAAACGCGTCATTCTCCTCGCATGCAAGAAGCTACCCAGCACCACCATGGCCATATCTATGGAGACCAGCGAATTTGAAGACTCCATTATGGATGAAAGCAAAGGCGGTCTGGAGCTCGTTGGCCTTATCGCCATCGTCGACCCTCCCAAAGACGAAATCCCCGATGTGGTATCCACATTGCGTGGCGCGGGTATCAAAGTTCACATGGTCACCGGAGATTTCAAGCTCACAGCCGTCGCGATTGCGCGCGACTGTGGCATTATTACGGTTCCCAAGGATTCGATTGACGACGCCGGTGCACTTTCACTCTATAAAGCCGCAGATGTCATCCGCAAGGAACCCAGAGCCATCGCCATCAATGGACGCGACATGCAAGCCCTTGATTATAGCCAATGGGAACAGCTTTGCGGCTACGATGAAATAGTTTTCGCGCGTACCACCCCTGAACAAAAACTGCGGATCGTCAAAGAACTTCAAGCACGCGGTGCCATCGTCGGAAGTATGTTGCCTTCCCTTCTACGTAACGATTTGATTACTAAGTTGGCTATCCTTAGTGACCGGTGACGGTGTCAACGACGCCCCCTCCCTCAAAACTGCAGACATCGGCATCGCCATGGGCAACGGAAGCGATATCGCCATCGAGGCTGCGGACATGGTCTTGCTCGACAGTTTCGCGGCCATCATCGAAGCCGTCAAATACGGGCGGGTTGTGTTCGACAATCTCAAAAAGACAATATGTTTTCTATTGCCTGCTGGGTCTTTTTCCGAATTCACCCCAGTGATCACTAACATTGCGTTCGGCCTGCCGCAAATCTTATCGTCATTTTTGATGATTATCATTTGCTGCTGTACCGATTGTGCGGCGGCGACGGCAATTGCGTACGAGAAACCCGAGGCAGATGTGCTGTTGCAGAAGCCGAGAAACCCGAAGAAAGATCATTTGGTGACGTGGAGACTGGTTCTCCAGGCGTATGGGTCCACAGGAATGCTGATGACCGTGAGCTCCTTCACTATGAGCTATTGGTATGCGGAGAGAAATGGGGTGCCGTTCTCGGTGCTGTGGTTCGGATTTGGCAAGACTCCCGACGGAATGAGTACCGAGACGATGGTTGGGGTCTTAAACATTGCATCCTCGATCTATTTCCTGAATCTGGTCATCATGTAAGTTCGTTTTTCTGCCGTTTGATCGTAGCGACGCTCACTTTCCCAGGCAATGGTTCAACCTCATGGCTGTCCGTACTCGTCGCCTGAGCATACTCCAGCATCCTCCACTCTTCCGAAAAGAGACTAGGAATCTTTACCTCTTCCCTGCCATCATCTTTGCACTCCTCGTTGCTGTGCTTTTCCTCTACGTCCCACGGATCCAAACGGTCCTTGCAACAACCGCGGTACCTGTCGCTCACTGGTTTTTGCCAATGGGCTTCGGAATGGGTCTTCTGCTGTTGGACGAAGGGAGGAAATATTGCGTCCGGAACTTCCCCAAGAGTATCATTGCGAGAATAGCCTGGTGATGTGGAAATTGGATGCCTTTGAAGGAGTAGCATCGCAACGTGTGGCTGGGTGATGCAACCATGTAGAATACATATTCAACATAATCGAACGTTGTTAAATCAGAGCCTAATTATGGTGGGAATCACATATCCCATTCATGACTTCGACAGTACTATTCTGTACTTCATTCTGATCTCTCTGAGCAGTCTAAATATTATCCACGCACATAAATTTCCCTTGGTAGTTATATCCTCGCTGGTCCGACTTAAATTCCGACTATTTCATGGACACGAATGATGCTAGGAGAGATATGGTTTCAGATTATGAGCTCTAAGCCATTGATCAAAACCAGCTTCACGATATCCACAAATGTTATGTATTACCAAACTCGTATCATGGTAGATATTGATGAGGCATGTTCTTTCACACCCCTTCCAGTATATCTTGATTCGCCAACCTCTTTCCAATGTCCCGCATCGCTGGATTTTCAAAGTTGAACCCAGGTGGCAAAAGAGGTCCATTGTGAAGTTATGGGACGATCTAGCCTTTTCATCCCGGTTCGTTCGTGTTGGCACATATTTTGGAATCGAGCTGGCACTTGGTCGGTGTTTCTCCTAAAGGCTGGGACCTGGCTGTGCCTGAGATGCGAAGCAAAATGTACCAGACATACAAAATAATTCGCTAAACGAGAGTGTCATTACAGAAAACAACATTGTCCAATATGACATGAAGGTTGTTCACCAGTATAGCCAAGTGTCTCGGTACCAGTTACCAACTACTGCGTTGTCCCTGTCAAAAGAATGATGATGAAGTTGCTTGATTGAGTGCTAAGGCTGTGGGGGATGCTCACGAATATAAGTACGGTGGTCGGCCTGGGGGATTTGCAGTCGCGTGGCTACCGATGGACTCCCACCAAGATGACAGCACTATTATATACGGGTCCGACTGCGATCATACGCAGAACTGAAGGGTCTATCAAGATGAGAGAGGTGAAGGTGGTTACTGGGGTCAACGAAGCATACCTCGCGGCTTGATACTGGCTGAAAGCCGTTGCCTTGGACGAGAAAGGGCATTGCAAGTGCAGAGGATGGACGACATGGCACTGTACGCAGGAGGGGAGTATTCTTGATATCGGATAGATTGTAAGCCGGAATACACATCTGCCTTCATGCGGCTATTTTGAAATTCTAGATTCTGGCAATATTTTCTCTGCATCAGCGAATCGACGCCCCGTTCCTGGTCTCCCAAAACGGGATTCCGTTTGTCTCTTGAATTGGAATGTTCCATTAAGGTCGTGCAGGTTGCCGAGCAGTTTACAGGGGGGCAACTGAGGCTGGCGAACAGCCATTGGGTGAATGGGTTGTCCTTAGACAGTGGTGGGGAGGTTTCTCATACATACGATTGCTATGTCGTCATCAGAACCAAGAACACTGAAGCAAGATCAGTTCGGTCAAACTCTACGGCAAACTTCAGCCTCCATTGCGAAGAGGGCAACCTTCTCTAGAAAGTCTATGAATATGTAACTAGAAATTATCTAAGACCAAACCAAGCATTGCAGTTCTTTGGAATGAAACCTATCGAACCTGGATTTCAGTCCGCCATGTAGCCATTACACGCTGATGTACCTCTCCCCACGGATCAGTTCGTGTACGTTGGCAATTACACCTTAACACGTATAATGGAATCATGCCAATATCAAATCCAATTCTACAGTCCACGCTGGAAGTATATGGTGAGCGCAGACTTTTGCAGTGACTTGAGAAGGGGAAGAGGTGAACGGGGGTGGCGCAACAGGGGTATCCCGGCCACATCTGGTCACTCCATTTGACCCGTACAAATTATGTATTTAATGAGCAATACGAATTATATCGCAGTGAACGCTGCGTAGCATGTAGACTCTGCTGCAAGAAGCAGGCCTCAAAGTAGCTTAGGTGAGTGCTGACTCGATCCATTGCGAGCAGAGTTCATTTCCACAACTTAAGCCGAACCAAATTTGAGTAGGAAATGGTCAAGTAACTATCACTTTGCTATTACTCGCTAGGCAGGCTAGTTTGGCCACCCAAAGAATGTCCATATTAAGATTTCGAAACTGACATCGAATTCAAAGCTGCTGTTGAACCCAGGGAGAGATCACATGTCGTCATGTGATAGCCTATACTTAGGTAGAGCTATCCTGGCAGCCTGGCTACTGCAAGCAGCCGGTTTTGCGGAGGCTAGCGTCGATTAGCGTCGACTTAGATGGAAGCGGAGGGCAAGGGTCTCAATGTGGGGCACATCGTGAGATTGATATTGGGAAGATGTCCAGTTGCTGATGGATCATGGATTGCAAATGTTACCCAATGTGCCTGGTTTTAACCATGTGTAGAAGGTTAGCAATAAGGCCAAGGTGTAAGCTACGTATAGAATGCCCTTTGTGGCTCTTGGTTGAGGAGGAGGCCGGAGAAGACCATCTATACGATTTAGACCCCTTTTACAATAGCGATGACAAACGATACTGGGCGTCATAAAAGTGTTCTCTGGACAATATCAATGTGACGATGATTGTAATCGAGTGGTATCTATGTCCTGTAGTAATACCGGGCCGGTTTATGTCTTGTGACTGCACGTTTCTACCTGAGGCTTTGTTGACCAGAAAGGGAAAGGAACATGTCCACTTGCACCTGCAGGTCCCAGCTCGCGAATCTCTCGATATTTTATTGTTGACTTCTTTCTCTCACTCTTCCTTTTCCTTCTTCTTCTTTTCTCCACCCCCACAACTTTCTTTTCTTTCCGCATCGCTCCTTTCATTCCTTCCTAAACACACCATCGTTCATTCCATGCTCTTTATTACTTGAATTGGGTCTTCAAGAAAGTACTGAAAGCCTCAGACGGGAGGCGTCAACTTACCGTCACCATGCCTGGGCGATTTGACAATTCACTCATGGCATCTAAATGGGCGCCAAAGCCGGACGAACTGCCGCAGCAGCAGACAAGTCAGTAAATCATCAAACGATCCCACCTCAGTGTCTAATTGTGTCGAATAGACAAGCCGACTGATCATCAAGTTGCCGTATCGTCGGCCACCCCCGCGCCCCAAGACTCTAGGTACGTGGGAGAATCTTCTCAGTCGTCGGCAAGCACTTCATCAAAAGCCCTCGAGCCAAAGCCAGTGATGGAGACCCTCAAGCGTGGTACGGAAAAGGCCAATGGTAAATCATCAATCCTCATCCTCTGTATCACTTCTGAATCCTGATTTTGGATCAACACTGCATTTTTGTACAGCGCACTAATAATTTGTTAGCTTCAGTTGCCAACATCAAGACTAGGAGTGCAAAGGCTCAGACTCCTCTCGCTCCTCTACTCCGATATTTCACTCAACCTCAAGCTCAAACTATCCCTCAGAGCGAGAAGGTCAACGCCACTGTCCCTCAAAGCGAGAAAGCCAACAGAACTGTTCCAACTGGTGTTGCAACCCACACGGCTGGGCGGCAGAGTGGGTTTGAGTCTGCGTTACAGAGTGCAATCCAAACCGTTGTGCAGTCAATGATGGGCCCGGAATTTTGGCAACCTATGCAGACTACATTTGGCGCCACTCAATCGGCATTGAATCAGTCTCCATCGCGCGGTCATGGTCGAGGACGAGGAAATCCCTCTCTTCGCGGCCACTCCCAACCTCCAACGTGGAGAAGGACAGGCCGCAGGGCTCGTGGACATAAGCGTGCCGGCTCGCTTCCGAACCTTGGTAGAGGGCCGGGACCAAGACCCTCATCCACTGCGACTCCACGGCACTTCAACGTTCAGCAGCTCCAAGCCGCTCCCAACGGTCACACCGCGCGGCCCCAATCGTTTTCACCGTCGCAAGAATCTGTTGCGGCCGCAGGGTCTCCGGGACATAAGAGAAAGAAGTCTAGAAATGCTAACATTTCCAGTGACCGTCCGATGCCTCAAGCAGCCGGTCCTAGTGCTCCGCTGTCTCAAGTTGCTGTCCCCAATATCATCAAGGAGGAGCCTGCCGCCTCGAGGGCCCCCGAACAGACCCCACAGCCGACTAAAACTCAAGGCACTGTGGAAAAGGCCACAAAGAAGGAGCCTGTTGCTCGCAATGTCCGCGAACAAACCCCAAAGTCGGCTGAAGCTCCAGGCACTGTGGAAATGATCGCTCCTCCCAGCACCGATAGCAACGGCAAGCTATCATTGATAGAGAAGATGGGTATAGCAAGAGCTACACTTGCTAATGCCACTTATTCGACGCCACCACCACGCGAGCCTACTCAGACTCGCCAAGATCGAATCGGGTCTCATCCAGTGCCGACCGGTCCTCGTCATGCAGGTTTCTCATCCCCTGGAGTCAGTCGTGGATCATCTGGACCGTTCCATCAGACTCGACAACAGATGCTTCCGGGCGGGCGAGGCTATGGCCGCAGTGAGGGACCGGATGGATTTGCAGAGCAAAACAACTACATGCATTCTCATCCAACCACCCATAGTTTCCACGGTGGAGGGCCAGGAAGATTTCCGCTCTCAATGCGCCAAATTGCCCCCCGAGTCACGAACTCTTTCCCATCTCAGCGCCTGGTTCCTAAGGAACTGCAACAACTTACTTCTAAGGAGATTCAGGAGTTCCGGGGCAAGTGGCAGAACTTCAAGGATGAAGATAATGAGGCATTTGTGAAGGAACTGCACCAGCAAGCACTGACTGAGTTCCATGCCAACAAGAATAAGTCCGCTGAAGAGGGCCAAGCCGCTCCTGCTACATGGCCTGCGAAGGTAAAGTTGCTAGATGGAACTTCTACCAAGGCGAAGGAAATCAAGCTCCCCCCACCCAAGGGTGCCTCTTGGGCTAGGCGACCCGTGTTGAAGCTTGCTGGCTCTGCGACTGGGACAGAACCAAAGAAGGAAGGTGAGACGTCAGAAACTGAAGAGACTTCGAAGACTACTACCAAAGGGAAAGACAAGGTTGTTGATGAAGGCAAGGACACTGAGACAACTGCAGCAAATTATTCCAAAGGCAAGGGCAAAGTTGTCGAGGAAACGAAGAGCACTGAGACGATCGCACCAAAATCTTCAAAAGGCAAAGAGAGGGTCATCGAGACTGAACAGATGATGACAGATGAGGCCCAGTCCACCGGACCAGGCCGTAAAACTCGCCGTATGTCGTCCAGCCAGAGCACCGGCTTCCTCGCTGCGGACAATAAAATGACCCAAGCCCTCTTTGCTCTCCCAATCGCCGAACGCGTCGAGAGTAGCGTGGCTATCGTCCGGAGCGCTCGCGAAGCAGGAGCGACCGCACAATCTAAGTCGATTGCGGCTGCGCAATCGCTCCAAATGGCCCAGATCGCCGTGCTTCAGCATCAAGATAGACTCGAAGCCGCCGATTCGGCACTTGCAAAGGCCATGTCGATTTTGGCCGAAGTCGAGCAGCAGCATGACATGATTGTCAATCAAGCCAAGATCTCAGGGGCCGGAATTCTAGCCCTTGAGGAGATATCGACACCGGACGAGCAGTTGGGGACGACTTGGAAGTTGCCTAGTGATAATCAGCGAGGACCGGGGCCTGCGAAAGTTGCGAGTCAGTGAGTCAGTCTGTCCGCTGGGGAGTTCGAACTGACCAACATTTTAGAGAAACAATACATCGACCCCATGGAGGGATCCTCTCGATCTGCCCCACCGCGCAAAGACCCTGAATCTCCCGCGAAAGCCGGCCCGAGCAATACCACCAGCGTATACGCCACCCGCTACGGTCCTCATTATCATTACCGGGAGAACCGTGCTGGCAAGGCAGTTCAGAGGAAGAAAACTGCTGCTCATCTCCACGCTGGTGAAGCAGAGAGCAGTGATAATGTTTCGGGGGGTCCTGGCAATTCTGGTGAGGGTGTGCCTCTTCAGCGAAGCACTGCAAAGAAGGACATTGTCGTTGAGTCGGTCGCCATAACTCAGTCCAATTCTGAGAAGAAGGTCCCAGAGTCGAAGAAGCCAGCGGCTCATGGTGGGTCGAGCCCCGCGGCTCCCCCCAATGTTTCCACTCCCTCTTGTCCTGCGATGGTTGCTGTTGCAGGTAATTCTCGTACTCATCCAGCCCAAGCAGCAAGCACCAAGCCTGTGCAAACGGTTGCAGTTCAGAAACAAAATGAACTCTCCATGCCCGCTGGAAAGGTCAAGGACCGAGGCAAAGTTCCGGAGAAGTCGAAGATGGCAACGAACGAGAAGAAGCCTACGATGGAGGGCACGACCGAGCGTCCGAGCACCAAGTCCCCCGTCACTGCCCCGATTTTCAGGCATGGCGGAGTTCCTCTGCCAAAGACAGCGGCCACGGATGGCCCGTCTCATGTTGTTGATCCGATGTCCAACCCTAGCAAAACCGAGTGGATGGAGAAGCTGCACCAACCTAACAACCCGAAGGCCATGAAGGCCATGAAGGTTTTGGCTGCACTGGTTCAAAATTCCGCACGTGGCGAGGATAATAATAACGTTCGTCGGGTCATCCTCCACAACCTGCCTCCCGGCACCACGTTGAAGAAGCTGGGGATGTTGATCTGGGGTGGCGTCGTCCAGCGCATCGACTACACTCCTGGAGCGCCTTCTGCGTCTGTCCTATTTGTGAATGCCACTGGCAGTGATCAGTACATGGCCACTACGCGGACTGGCATAAAGCTTATGTTTGGTGGGCAGGAGCTTCTCATTGTCATCGAGAGGGCCAAGGAACGTGAGGCACGCAGCAAGCAGGTGCTTGGCTGGGATATCGACGGATTTACTCGCTGCATTAAGGTTGAACACATTCCTCTCGACTTCGATGACAAGGCGTTGGTCTCGCGAGCAGCGAGTGAGGGTCGACTGTTGGAGGGGATGCAGGCGCGAATGTCTGATGATGGAAAGGTGAGTTCTCACCACAATGTTTTTCTGATCATATCGTCGATGGTCGGTTGCTAACATCTGCATAGTCCCGTGAGGCTCTCTTCCGGTTCGCGTCTATCAACGACGCCGACGCTTTCCGTCGCTTCGCCTGGAATGACCTCGACGGGCTCCTTCACTGCGAGATTAGCTTCGGTCCGGATCCCTGCGATCGTCCCACTCGCGCCACTAGGACGCCAGAGTGGTAATCACTTACTACGATTCGGATCTTCCACACACGATAACCTCCCCTCACAAAAATTCAGAGTGGTTGCTTTTCTTTGATTTCGGCTCGTCCAGGGATAGCCTCCTCATGCACACCTTTGGCAGGTACAACGCTAAACCATTATCGGGCGATCGGTTCTGGAATAGCATCGGGGATGGAAGTTCGGTGAATAGTGAAAAAGATAGAAGTACTACCAAGCTCATGCTGTGCGGTCAGGCATGGAGATTTTGATTTTTCGCTGTTTTCTGATCGGGGATGATGAAAGTTGGTAGTGAAGGACCAGAGAAATACGTACCAAGTCCATGCCCCTGCGGCAGGGGACTTTTTCGGCAGACGGCAGGTTATAAGTTTTCGGAATATCAGGGGAGCCGATGCAATTTGATATCTCCACCCGGATGTTGCGTGGTCGATGATGCAGTGTGACTTGATATGTTACATGTGGTGCCCACCCCGCCTGTCTTTCCATCTCCCTAGCGACGCGATGGTCGTGATAAGATAGCTGAACCATTACGATGATTTATGATAGTTGCGCTTTTCTTACTTTTGTATACATACCGGTGTCCATCCACCCCCATGCAGACCGCATACGATCTCCTTCCGCTACGCCTGTCCCCTAATGCTTGATCAAATCATCCTCATCCTCTCCTCCTCATTGATATCCTCGCCCCCCTCCTCCTTAAAAATCTTCCCCAACCGCTCACTCCATCCCGCCCCCCCACCCCGCCTACGCCTCTAAATCCCTCATCATCCTATCCACCGTATCCGCCGCGCCCCTGATTCTTCAACTTCTCCCGGCCCACGGCCGTGCGGCTGCCCGAATTCCAAGCCCCCCACGTACGGAGTAGGAAGACGATGACGACCCCAGTGATTCTTTCTTCCTTTGTTTTCTGGATGATTGCGTCTAGTCCAACAGCCCCTTCCCTTCGTCACAGTCCGCAACGGCCAAGTGCCAAACAATTTGGCTCCCTCGACTGTGCTTCGGAGAGCCAGTGCCACCATTTCCCTGGGATGGCATTGATAATGAAGGCAACGCCTGGGAGCAATTGGGTCATTTCAAAGGGCTCATGCAACTTGAAGATGGTGCCATACATCCCGGGAACTCGTTTGTCCTAGGCCACAAGCATGCTTCTCATGGCATGAAGATCTTCATGGTAGAGCACTAACTTTCTAGCATACTGCCGAACAATTGAAGCTAGAGCAGAATAAAAGTTGACGTACTGTACATCGATACAGGATACTTCAGTTGGCGAGTCAGATATCAAGCGGGTAGGTCCCAGTCGTTCTCAAATACTTACCGGAGCACCCAAGGGGAGCAGTTATGACATAGGGAGTCACAGGATGTTCCGTGATGGTAATCATATATATTTCCCTGAGTTCCGTCAATGATCACACATCTATGTGCATGCTTTTGGGTGCAATGAGTGTATCATAATTAAGAAGAATCCATTGTATGGTTCGTGGAGGCTTTGAACCCATTCTATACCACCCTCGTGTGCCTTGGAGAGCTCATAGTTTAATATAACTCTCTCTTACTATATTATATCCTGGGGCTTGGAGCTCATTCTGCTGAAAACAAGAGCTTCGGTTCATGTTAGGGTTTTGTAGCGTTGACGCATTGGTTGGGTGGGCTACTTGGGGGTGGCGGTGCACACCCTGGACGGAACTTGAATCTGATGGACTGATGCGGACTGACGGCACTGGGATGGGTTGGAGGTGGCCCCACAGGGCAAAACTTAAAGTTGACAACCAACTCTTAAAGTTCTATTTTTCAGTACAGATATCAGATCTACGCAGGTACTAGGTACTGATTATACAACAAACTCCATACTCTAAACTGGACTGTAATTATACCTGGAAAGGAGGCAGCAATTACAGAACCGAGAACACTCATCTACGCCAAGAACCTGAATTGACTTCAGTTCCTTCTAACGACATTCATTCCAACTCGTATAGTGCCGGCATGGTCCAGTCCCCTCTTTGCGGAATGCGAACAGTGGTGCCATTATAAAGATATATATCAATGGTAATTTCAAGGCAGCCTGTTCGTAGCCCTGACAGCAGACTTTAGGGACTGCATATCCACTGGGTTATAGCCATAGCAAGGCGATAAGCAATGGTCCTAGTTCAACGATAGTACTGAACTAACTATATACATTTGGACACGGATTTGCCCAAAGCAGTAACCAGAACAAGAGGTACTAGTTAGGCATGGACTGTGACTACTTGATAATGACATCTCGTTATTTGTCCAGTCCTTCTTTTGAGATAATCATTGCACGCGAGCGTTCTTCTACACATATGGCTCAGACAACTGAGATTCACCAAACGATCCAACCTCCACAATGAATGTTCACGACGTTACGAATCAATACGCTCAGCAGATGAGAGAGCATAAACGGACTTTGCTGAATGCTCAAAAGTAGCATGGCCAACGACCCCAAGTCCGTCTTCCGAGGAGCGCTGCCTATGCAAAATTCGCCCTTTACCTCATTCTGGGAGTCCGCAAACCCAAGGATGGGCAGGTACTGATACATTCATCCTTCATTGCCCCGGCATATCCTCCTTGTAGCACTTCTGTGGCCCAGTTGTGACCCATTGCGATTAAAGATCTCCAGCTCGAGACGCACCATCGAGGCATGTATCTCCTCCTACGATCCCTCACACCACCTCAGCGCATGACCGGGGTTCAGGTACTGATGGAAGACGAGGAAGACGATGTCATGCTACTACAGTTATACCTGCAGGAAGATGAGACTATCCGTCCGGCCATTGACGTGGTCACCGTTGGGACCATCTTGTTGGTGAAAGAGCCTTATTTCAAGGTCACAGCCAATGGTCAGTGTGGGCCCCGTGTGGATCATCTCTCAGATATCATCCATATCCAGAGGGACGATACCAGAGTTCCCTACGCATGGCGACTGCAACTCATAGACCTAAATCAGTCCGCCGAAACGTTGAAGCTTGAAGGAAATTCGGCAATGGCAGCCAAAGAATACCGGGATGTGATTACCGAGTGAGCATGGCCCATGGAGGAGATGAAGAGTTGCTAATTAGAACAGGTATACGTACGCGCTCAGGCAGACGACCACGGAGAATGAAATCGAGATAATCAAACGCAATAGATCCCTTGCGTTCCTACGAACCAAACAATTTGACGCCGCACTTGCCGACACGGGATTCCCAAACTTCGGCCCGAATCCTGCTGAGAAGGCACTGTTCCGCGCCTCCGAAGCCCTCTATTTTCTCAAACGATTCGCCGACTGTTGGGATGTGCTCGAATTGCTATGCAAACCTTTCCAGGCACCAGTCACGCGTTGCAGGCCCTTGATCATGCTCGTGCTCGAACTCTGGAGCAGCAAACGGGAGCATATGACTTCATGAGGCTTCAGGCGGAGGCTCGGAATCTTCGCCCGCCGCACTTGGATCACGCTACATACATCGTCCTGTGGAGGTTAAACAGACGGGGTCGAAGGGTCGTGGCCTGGTCACCACCAAAGCTGTGAAGGCAGGAGATTTGCTGCTGTGCGAAAAGGCGTTCAGCCACGCGCACGTCAGTGACGAAATTGGGAGCGCTGGAGGGAATGCGAAGATCTCACTGCTAATCAACACCGAGAATAACAAGGTGCTCTTGGGCGGACAGGCTGGTCTGATCACAATTATCGCGCAAAAGCTCTATAATAACCCTTCCGTTGCCTCTGCATTCAATTCTCTGTATCATGGGTCTTATAAGGGAGTGAGCGCATCTGCAGTCGATGGAGAGCCGATAGTAGATACGTAAGTAATTCTCGCACATTATTATGAAGAACATTACTGACCATAGTGCAGGTTCCTTATCGAGAGAATCGTGGCCTTGAAAATGCCTTTGGCAGTCCAGTGTCCAGTCTGCTCTCCCATCGTAAGATGCTGACTGGAAAACCGAAAGCAGACAAGACTCACCACTCTTGTGGCATTTGGATCATGGCGTCTTATATCAACCACAACTGTATCTCCACGGCCCGTCGCACCTTCATTGGCGATATGATGATCGTACGAGCCGCATGTGACATGGAACCTGGAACTGAGGTCACTTTCTGGTACCGGTCCCCTGAATACAAGCTCACGAATGGCTCAGGAGACAAATTCAAGCATTGGGGATTCGTTTGCGACTGCGCCATCTGCAAAGATGCCCGGGAAACGGGATTCGGCGCTGCTGAGGACAGGCGGAGGTTGTTGAGGAGTCTGAAGCAAATTTTCAACTTGCCCGCGCTCCACGACGCCCAGATTGTTAAAGTCGAGCGGCTGCTCAAAGCGTTCGATGATACATATACGCATCCTGCAGATCAGGTTCCTCGTCTTCCGCTCTGCGATTCCCATCTAGTTCTCGTATGGGCCCACGCTTCGCGGAGATATTGGATCAAGTGCTTGGGGTCATTTGGGAATGTGTTGACATCGCTCGGCTTTGTTGCCGTTGGCGTCGACTCTTCTACCACCAGATTTTCAATTACCAAGTGGGGGCTGGTCATTAATACTTTGGTGGAGGTATTCTTACACGCCCAGGCTGCATTTACAGGCATTGAAGCGATGGAAGACGCGAAGCGGGCGGGGGAGTACGCTAAGGCCGCCTACAAGATTATCCTCGGTGAAAACACGACTTTCTACAAGACGTATAAGACTGTCGATGAGACCTTTCGGAACCTACGAAGTAAGTTTGCATGCCGTGCTCTATATCCAAGGTACTAACCTCTTAATAAGTAGAGTGAGTCGCTGCGCAAAAGCCAGCAAGCGAATCGCGCTGTTGGTTGGAAAGGTCCACGAAGTAGAGAAGAGACTCACTACCAAATCATTTGAGGTGGAAGATCGTGCAAGAGCAGTCGATCGCTAAGTGGAGAGGATTCTAAACGGAATTCATAGGCGAAACACGCTGGCGGATGACAATGTGCTAGTGGAGGATCCAGTGCACTGGATAAGCTTGTAAGTATGATGGCGGATTGAAACTATGTATGGTAAAAAAATTGGAGAACGGCCATGACTGAATGCGAGTCTGCATCCATCATACAATGTTTTTTCGTAATATGCCTGCAAGAAATACCCTGCTCTCGGACATTCTTGTTGTTCAGGAGCAACGTTTCGGATCCAAGCGAATTCAAATGAAGTGTGTTGTAGCAACAGAACCATTCCCAGCATCTCCTTTCGTTACAAAGAACCACTCTGACAGCTTCATAGAAATAGACTAATCCGTAAAACATTACTCACACCATATTATCAAACCGAATCAACAAGTTCTCCGCAAGGAAGTCTCACAAAACCGTCTTTTCAAGTAAACCTCTATTCAACGTCCACTTGCCACAACCCCTACTAAACCCTTTCTAGAACCAGCTTCTAAACACCCGCTTCCCACTCGATTCCCATAACCTCCTATAGCTACGTTGCTTGGTCTCATATGTGTGTTCCGAGTTGAAATGGTTGCAAACACCACATGATCCTTTTCGAACTGAGGACGATCGCTAATCAAGCTAGCAACAGATTATGTCCGACGTACCTCCTAATATATCTTACCGGGTTCTGGAGCCTATAACCAAAGCGAGCTTCTAATTTCAGCTAGATTGAGGTATCGTCGTCGGATTCTACTCTGAAAACTTCGAACCATTCATGGTCCCAAATCTCGAATTTGTCTCCCTGCACCCCATCCCGCAAGGCTAGCCAACCGAAAATATTCCCGGAAACCATTTTAGATAGACGTTCCCCATAAGATAGCCAGGGAGGCGGCAGTCGCCTGGCACGGGATTTCGGTGAGTTGCGAGGGCTAGTAGATCGAAGTGGTTCGGCGGAAGTGATACAGAAATCAGTCAGAACACGCTGGTACCTCTCAGTCCACAACCAACAGCGATAGGTAAGTCTATGACCATGATCCATGTGATCTCGAACCAGAGCAGTAGTGTCTTTGATTGCGACTTCCCCGAACGGATGGAACTAGGAATTTAGGGGAAAGCTGTAGTTAATGCTCATTTTCCTCATCAGTCCAATACATGAGACGGAACTTATCTTCTCGACTGATCAATTCCGTATCGTGACTATCGCGACAAGGAGGATGAGACTGAGGATCGAGGAATGATTGAGCGGATGCCATCCAAACAGGCGATTCAAGACACACTGTAGGGAGGAATCTTGCGACCTTATAGATCATTTCAGGCAACAGGCCTACTATTGCTGCACCCAGCCATAAGCACGCAAGATTCGGTCGACGAGCAGACATGATCTGCACTATGGCAGAATATTGTTTATCCTCGGCAACGGGGATGAGAATTTCCATTGCACGACTTATCCATTCAGTTGCAAGATTGCAGGCGACACCTGGTTCCCAGAAACAACCGTAGAAGGCACTCGGGATCAATTGTGTATGACAACTCAGTGACATAAGGGAGGCAAGGTGATCGTGGGACGGAATATTTCTACCAGATGCTGTCTCCGAACTCCCTTTGGCTGCCATGGTCATTGGGCGGGGTAGAACCAAGGGGATTGCAAAATTCTTATGGTTTGGGATAGTGAGGGAGGCAGCAAGTGCAGCGATAAGCTGGTCGGAGGCATTATGCAACCGAGCGAAGTCACAAAGGTATTTGTACGCTTCCATGGACGATGGTGGACCCAGAGTCGAGTCCGGCTCCTGGCTGGTGGAGGGTTCGCACTGAATAGCAATCTATTATGTAGAGCCCAGGTGACATTCCCAGAGCGGGTAATACGCTCTCTCTCTACGCATCAAGGTGGCGTTCCATCCGGCCCCATCTGCTAGAACTGCTTGCCACCATCGACGTTCGTTCGGTTCGGCTTGGCCAATCGGGACAATAAGTTCATTGTTGGCTGTCCTAGTAGAGTCTGCGCATGATGCTCTGCAATCATTATAAATGACCTTATCTTCGTCTCCCATTTTCCGGGGCTCTATAAGGCGGGCCGAGGGAATGTAGCACCAGCCCAAGGCCAATGGACAGAGGTAGATTCCTGTGCCATGAGTGGGTGAAGCATCATCGAATCCGCTCCAGTCTAGAAACTCGTCCTAAGACTGCACGTAACCCATGAAGCCAGAGCAAGTTCGATCCGATGTTCTGGTGATTTCTTCAATTCTACGTCCAACTTGTTTTCTGACAGGAATTCCCATTCCTATTGTCCTCCCAAGTAGGTTTAGTACGGATCATTCGTGTCTTTGACGTCTTGGTAGCGTGGAATCGATGGAGTTTGGTGCAGAAGATTGAGGCTTCCACAAGACGACGGGAACTGAGTCGCCGAACTGGCTGAGTGAAGAAAGTTTCCCCATAGTTGGGGTGAATGAGATATCGTTCTCCTTGATAACCGGAGACTAGGTCGGACGAGGTCGTGGTGACTTCTGTCTTGTCGGATGGGCCGGAAATTCGCTGTGAAGGTCATGCCGAGTCGAGGATTTGGTACTGGTCGTTTGATCGCCGGGTTGGTAACTTGATGATGAGAAACTCAATCCAATGCACTGAGATTATAATGGTATGTTAATGTTCTGGAAAATTGACTTTGACTCTCTGGCTCTTTGAAGCAGCACAGGCACACACCTGTTGCTTCGTAATGCGAATACGAGTACGAGGTCATCTGGTAAACCAAGAATCTATCATGTCGGAAGTGAGTACCGTAAACTATAAAGTGAAACTAATGAAACAAAATTATCGCTACAAGAGCGGTGATAGAACGCCTTGATTTAGCAGTGTCCCAAAATTCCAACTCAGAAAGAGTCCATGTCTTGTGTAAATAGGTTCGAGGTCCAGAACACCGATAGAAGCAAGTTACCCAAAGAAAATACATTCAACCTCTTATAAGGACTAGAGTCTCAAACATTCGTTTTACAATATCCCAATAGATGGCACGTTGTTCAATGGGCTTGAGAGATATGAGATATCAAATTAGTCATTTCTGTCATTATCGTTGATCGATCGTCGTTGCCTTCATATGCCTTGTTGCTTATTAAGCCTCGTTGCCTTAATATGCCTTGTTGCCTTATGATTTTCCCAGTCCAGTCCCAGTCCCCTGTGGCCTGTGTGCCCTGTCCCCAGCACGGAGGCACCACCCTCCTCATGGTCGGTCTATCATATTTTAGGTTACATAGTAGCTACGAAACAAGCAATTCCTCGCATTATATGCGACTCTGCTCCCATTAGCCATGCGCTCTGCTTGGTCATTTCTCCGCATAACGCGAAACTTCACAAGTCGAGCAAGATGCTCACGCCCGAGCAGCCCACGAACTCCATGTCACCCTCGAGTCGCCGCCCATAGCCTTCTCTCCTCCCCTCCCACAGCTCTCCCACTCCGCCGCACCACCCCACGAATCCAATCCACTATCCACCAGCTCTCCCACTCGTTCTACACCTCCCGCCCCACCTCCTCCCGCCCCACCTACCGTCGCTTCAACGGCCGCCAAACCCGGCACGCGCCCCTCGTCGCGCTCTTCGTCCGCTGGGGCCAGCACCCGCACTTCTACCGGCACATCTTCCTCCTCGCGGGCGGTCTGGGGGTCTTCTACGTGTCGAATCTCGAGACGGTGCCGGTGACGGGGCGGCGGCGGTTTAACCTGGTGGGGCCGGAGCTGGAGGCGCGATTCGCGGAGCAGATGTATGAGGAGGTGATGGGAGAGTTTCGGGGGCATATCTTGAGTGAATGGGATCCGAGGGCGAGAATGGTGCAGAGGGTAATGGATCGACTGATTCCAATGAGTGGGTTGGAAGGGCAGAAGTGGGAGGTGAAGGTGATTGCCGCGGAGGAGCCGAATGCGTTTGTGATTCCGGGGTAAGTGGTACGGGGAGGTCCGAAGCTTGGGGAAGAAAGAGTAGGATCGTCCTTAGGGAAATTAGCGGATCCGTTCTGTTGGGGATCTCTGCTAATGCGTGAGTCGACAGAGGCAAGGTCTTCGTCTTTACAGGCCTTCTCCCCATCTGCGGGAACGATGATAGTCTCGCTGCCGTGCTCGGGCACGAGATCGCCCACAATGTCGCCCGGCACTCTGCGGAACGAATGTCCCTATTGTTCCCACTACTAGGTATCAATTTCATATTGAGCGCTATCCTGGGCTTGCCACCATTTCTAGGGAACGCCGCCATCAACCTGGGTTTTGGTCTGCCAAGGAGTAGGGCCCAGGAGGTATGTTGCAGTTTCAGTACAATCCAGACGATATGCGGACGTTGACTGGAATAGAGCGAGGCAGATTACATTGGCCTAAGTATGTCGACTCTTCTTCTCCTTCGAAGGCGCAAGATACTGACTGTTGCGTAGTGATTATGGCTCAAGCATGCTACGACCCTGCCATGGTCCCTTCACTCTGGACACGTATGAGCCAGCTCAACAAAGGTAGCCCTCCGGAGCTCCTGTCCACCCATCCGGCGAACGAGACGCGTTTCAAGAAGATTCACCAATGGCTGCCTGAAGCTCAGGATAAGCGAGCCATGTCGAATTGCTATGAGAGGTCTGATCAGAGTAAGTCACGAGCAATATGCCGTTTTGGACATTGTATTGACGATCCTATAGTCCGAGAGTTTATGAACAAGTTCCGATACCCGGTTTGGTAGGCTGTGGAGGGTATTGGTAGTTCCTGGTGTGTGAATTGAAATGTGTGATATTTGCAAGGCGTCCTGTAGGTGAAGGAGGAAACATCCCCTTGATGTTATCTAGAAATGATATGGTGGGATATAAATCCCGGTTGTGTATGCGTCCTGGACTTAGTTGGATACGATGTCCCTTCGCTGGAGCGTCGTTGCACAAACTTCAAGACACGCTTCCAAGAACAGTTTGGCTCTATCACACATTGCACACTGGCACAAAAGCTTAAAATGACGGTAAATGAAGGACGAAGACTTATCGATGTGATGTGTATAGGGCAAAGAAAGATGAATTAAGCATATCAGTCTTCTAGACGTGAGTATATATACATACGACAATGTATTGATGCTCAGTACCATAACCAAAAGAGTATCCCAAAGATTCATAACAATTCAGTCATCTCAACATAGAATTTTGCACCAACTCCAAGACGGGGGGAAATGTGTGTCGATCCCTTTCGATTCGTAATACTCGGAACAAAACTGCGGTTCGGCTCAAGCACTGGATTAAGACCTGCGTTAGATATCAGATCCAAGCACGGCTAGAGTAACGGGGGACACCCAAAGAACAGTCGCCGGAAATGAGAGGAGGGGGACTTACAGCAAACTCAACGTCAAATCACCCCGAATGCTCGCCTTCAACTCAATCTCGATATCCAAATTCACATCCAACCGCAACTTTAACCCATCCGCATCCTCTAATCCGCCCCCCTTCCCTTTCTGCTCCTCCTGCGTCGCTTGATTCGGATCCGTCCCCCGCATCGGGATCTCCCCCCGCATCGCGCGCGCCTTGGACACCGGCCCGTCCATCGACGTGCTCGCGGGCCCGATCCGCTCAAAGTCCTGCATCTGGTTTAGCTCGCCGCTGGCGTCGGCCTCCTCGAGGGCGTCGAGGGGCGTAGTCTTCATGTAGCGGCCGTCGTCGATGGCTTTCTGGAGGCGTTGGCGGCGGGCGCGCCGCGACGCGGAGCGGGAGCGCGCGGACTGCTGGCCGGATTCGCGGCGTTCTTGGGCGAGGGCATTTTCGGCTTTTTGCTGCTGCATCGTGGTGCGCTCGGAGGGCTTGTTGGGGTCGCGCTGGTCGACTTGTTGTTCTTGTTGTACTTCGGCCATTGTGGGTGGTGGAGGGAGGGGCGAGGTTAGATTGGTCGTTCTTTAGGGAAGAAGTGACGAGGAGTCTAGAAGATGGCTTCTCGAGTATGGAGGGATGTAGGATGTGGATAACAGAGATAGATTGTTCGATATAAGATGGAGATGTGTTGGAAGTATGATGAGGCGAGATGAGACAATAGGAGTTGAGGAAAGTATGTAAACCGAAAAGACTCAATGGATTGAAGGAGATGTAGTCAAAGACAAAGAATAGCAGTAAGAAGATTCCAGTTACGTCGATACTCACTCCTAACCCACCTTTCCCCGGCCTACGCCTACAATACCCAGACTCCCACACGTCAGAGCCCTTTTCGCCCTCTCCTCCCATGTCCTCGCCCATCCAGGATCCCCCCGCCGCCCCCTCCCTAGCATCATCCGCCCGCCTCGATCGACCCCACTGTTCGGCGTCGGCGATCCATCATCCACGCCCATCACGTCACCGGCTCTAGCATGCCTGAAATCTTGATTTTCCGAACCATGCGATTTAGCGGACCGCGATGGGGGGGATCTAGGATGGGTGGGGAAGGACGGGCTTTGGTGGGGATGTGGCGTCGGGAGTCGGCCGAGGAGGGCATGGGCTGTCGGTTGACGTCAATGGCGAGGTGGGGGCAGGGGGGAGGGCTGCTAGTCCCAACCGTTGATGGAATCATAGATGCATGTGATCGGGGTGAGAGCTGAAGATTTCTCTGTTGGAAGAATATTTAACTAAGGAAATTAGAACTTAAGAAGAGTCTCACTGTCCCCACTATAGTCTCTACCGGTGGTTGGGGAGGCGTTTGAGTCCACAGGGTTTCGAAGGCGAGACAGGGCCCTTCATTCGGTCCCAGGCGGGAGTCGAGTCTGATACAACCGCACTACCACTCGGAGGAATGGTACCTCAATGTAGGTACACTGGTACGGTACATTGCCGTATAGATTTTTCATGATACCGCTGTTCTTTCCGGTATCTCGCCTTCATCGTATTCGCAATAACAAATTCCCGTGTGCCGTGTCTCGTGTTTTAGTTCCAAGTCTGGAGTACTCTCCGATATTGAATAGTACGGCACCTTCCAGCCAACCCATGCGAGCGTCGTGTCTCCTTGGAGATGGTCTCGGGGTCTCTAGGATGTTATGACGTATATCGTCTTACATAGGCCTAGGGGAAGAAATATGGTCTGGCGAGGATGTGAAGTGGGATACACTCATGCGGATGGGGAACACGGTGTGTAACTTTCGGTGTGATTTCTCTAAGCAGCACTACCATCAAAGTGATATATGTCAGACAGTTGGATGTGGCCATGTTGAGACTACTAAACAATAATCAAGATATTATCAAACTGGATTCAAAATGCAACTATGTAATACATGTAAGGGAATGACCTGAAACGCCTTCATTCAACATAGCGAGTTAGAGATCGTAGGAAATTGAATCGCAACGCATCGCATTTCGTTCGACCGAAGAATATGTCTTCGGTCTCGGTCTAATCGGCGTCGTACGCAAAGAAAAAGGCACTGTAGCGTGCTCAAGACCTGTTTAATTCCTTTAGTCAAGTCAGCTCCAAGACTGTGACAAGGTAAACTCAAAAAAGGAAACCAGAGACAAAGGAAACTTACAACAACCCCAGCGTCAAATCGCCATGAATCTTCGCCTTCAACTGTATCTCGATGTCCAAATTCAACTCCAATCGCAGCCGCAACTGCTCATCCTTCCCGTCCCCCCCATCATCCTGCTTCTCCCCTCCCCCCACCAACCCCCCTGCCGCCTGCCCTACCCCCCCAACCGTATCGTTCACCGTACCCCCCACCTTATCTACCGCCCCTCCCGCCGTATTCTTCACCAGATCCCCCGTCTGCCCAACCATCTCTCCACCAGGCAACTCCTCCCCAATGCCCCCCAGCGTGCCACCACCTTGCGGTCGCTGACGCTGGCGCTGACGGTTCCGTCGTCCTCCCGCCGCAGACACGTCGCTCCGCGGAATGCTCTCCGTATCGCTAACGCTAACCCCGCGCCGTCCGCGCCCGCGCGACTGCCGTCGCCGACTCGCTGCCTTCTGCGGCAGCGGCTGGGGTTCGGGCTCGGGGTCCTCGACCTCTTCGACCTGGGGCCCGCCGTTGGCCTCGGCACCGGCAGAAGCTTGGGGTTCAGCGTCCGAGGGTGCGTCGTCGGCGTCGTCGCTGTCGGGGTCCGGAGTGGGTTGTTGAGTGGCTTGTTTCTTTTGGTTAAGTTTCTTGGGGGCCTTGCGGGTGGATTCGCTGGTTTTGGATTGTTGGGAGGAGGCGCCGAGGCCGGCGCCGGCGGAGGCAGAGGCGGCTCCTTCGCCGTTGGCATTGAGGTTGGAGGAGGATTCTTCGGTTTGTTTGGAAGACATGGTGGTGGCTGGGTAGATATGTGTCTATGAGAGGGAGATAGTGGTTGAAAAAGGGCAGGTATAGCTTAGATGAATAATTTTGTATGATTGTAAAAGACGTAGTAGGAATGAACTTTTCGTGACTGATGGATGGAGAGAGAGGGAGTCAAGAGAAAAGTGACGTCTTGACAGAACTTGTAGATTGGAAAATAAAAGGTAGGTAAGCCCGAAGAAAAGTATCCTCGACAATGATATGGCCGCGCTAAAGGCAATATGACTTCACCCCCCTCCGAGCTTGGTTCCGACGTCAGCGTCTTCAGTTCAAGCTTGACGATCCTGCAGTGGCCATCCATGTCCGCGTCCTCTTCCCCGCCACCACTTCACGTTCCATGGCGTCTCGTCGCCTGGTCTACCCAATCCCCAGTGTATGGCCGGGGTAGGTGATGAGAAGGTGGGCAGCGATCAAGGATCCTGCAGCAGATACTTCCGATGATGTCATGCGAGGATTTGGGGGGCGATGGGATTGTTCGAAGTTGGCATCGGGAATTTCTGGATCCCGCAGCAACACTAGAGCTCTAAACCAGACGAGGTGGTGGGGCATCCGAACATGCCGAACACTCTAATCTGATTTGAGTGGCGTCGAGCGGTAATTCTGTTGGAGGAGTTTTTTGGGGGGAAATCGATGGCTACGGTGCCACTATCACTGATTTCGAGGGTCTTTTAGAAGTTTAAGGGTCTAAGGACGCAAAAGGAAGGAACATCAACGTTCATCAAGACGAGAGGCTATAGGTCGCATTAAGGCCAATCTTGGACGACGAAACAATATTTGGAGAGATTGACTTTGCTCTAATCATTGATTAAAGTTTAAACGAGGGTGGCTCTCTTGTATCCTCGACGATGTGACAATTCGACAACGATTCCAAAGGGACTCGATACGGTCGACCGTCCTCCAACTTGTCGCCTCCCTCCAGAGTCGCTTTGACCATGGTAGAGAGCCATATGGGAATGGACGAAGGTCACTATAGATCCGAAGTTAAAGAACTACTGTTGACTCTTTCCCGTGCCCTATTCATGAGGGTTGTCCATACTGTATTGCTACTTGCCGAGATTCGATGGAATCGATTTACACGGATGTACATGCGCACCTGATCGCAAGTCGCCCTTCACAGCAAAGGTCCTAGAAACTGAAATATCTCATCCCAATATTCCCACCGTATGTCCTTGATTTTGGTATCCACGTCCCCCAGGCCGCTCAAAGATCATCCGAACTCCTCGTGCTCGCGCCAAGATGACTTGCATGAGGAGCTTTACATCGTGGATATGTCAAGCAAATGGATATATATCACGAACCACCCTCGTGCGCCCCCTCGATCTATAAGAAACCGCTCATGGCCCTCTCTGAAACCAGTTGAACTTCCCCCGACTCGGCCCCATCCCACCGGGTTCGACCGCGACACTTCGATCGTAAAGTTCCTGTCATCACCATTAGCGACTTGATCCTTGACGACACCGGGGATAAATCAACTCACATCCTCATCCATGGAGATCTTGGTCTCCAACACCAACATCTTGACATCCTCGTTCCGCAGCAGGTTCATATACGGCACCGCCTGCGCCCGCTGAACCTCCACGATCACGTCGCCCATGATCTCGAATTTCTTCCAATTGATCCGCCGACTCTTCAACTCGGCCACCGCATTGCCCGCGTTCCCGTTCCCGTTTCCATTCCCCTCCCCATGTTTCGGCACACCCGCTCCCCCCGCCGGCTCGACGAACGTCTTGTTCCCTTCGCTCGCCGTCACCAGATCGCGTCGATGCAGAGGCAAATACGGGATCCGCTCCCCGCTCGAGTTCTCCCACGCCAGCCGATACGCGAAATGGCTCTTCGCGGTGCCCATCAGGATCTCCAGCTTCATGAAATCTTTCGCGACGGGCGCGGGCAGCTGCTCGCGGGTGAGCGCGAGGCGATGGACGGGGGAGGAGTGGATGCCGGCGAGGACGGCGCCGAGGGAGTTGTAGTTGTTAAGCTTGCGGAGCTCACGGGCTACGCGCATCCACTTCTCGAGCATCAGGGCGCGGTGCTTGGGTTTGTCGCGGAGAAGGACGAAGTTCGAGACGACAGCAGCGAGGCGGTTGAAGTGGGTGGACATGCGGTCGACGTTTTCGAGGCCCGGGAGGTGGCCGGTGGATTTGGATTTGTCTTTAGCGGCTTTGCTCATGCTGACGTAGCGGACGAGGTCGCGGGTGCGGATGGAGGAGATGAGGGTCCAGTCCATGCGGGTGAGTTCTTTGGCGATGACGTCGTCGGTCGTGTCCATAAGGAGGCGCCAGTGGATTTTCGCGAAGGTGAAGCGCGGAAGCGGGTTGAGCGACTTGGCGGATTTTTGGGCGGATTCCACGATGGAGAGCAGGGTGACGGACGACATGCTGCCGGGAAATTGTGATGCGAGGGTGGTTTGGCTTGCGCTTTTGGCAAGGGTCGTCGTGCTAGAGTTGGTGTCTGTCGAGGTGAGAGAAATTTTGCTAGGCTTTCGGAGAACACTCTCAGTGTCCATGTTGTTGAGAAGCGTGCTCGCCTGGCTGACGAGGGTGGTATTGGATGGTGATCGATCGAGTGGAAAGGCTGGTCCGAGCTCGTGATCAGAGCAAGCCCAATTGGTATCGTCGTCTTCAGCGACATTCTCAAGGTCGGAGCCGAGGACATGCACCGCCGCCGCGTGAATCGGAACGTTGGCAACCCGAGAAAGAAAATTGGAGAAGCGGACGCGGGTGAGAGGGTGGGCAAAGTCGCCCGGGTAGTTGCTGATCCAGGCTTGGAGAAGAGTCAGGTATCGTTGTTGCGAAATGGTCCGTAGGAGGATAGGTTCGCTGACTCGCTCCACTGTCTCGAAGCGGGCTATGATTGCGTCAAGGAGCATAGAAGGGGCGGCAAATAATCGGAAGAGCGCGAGAAAGCTGTCCTTGAATTTCTCATCCACCTTGGAGAGAGGGAGTTCCAGGAATCGGTTCACGAGTTGATCAAAAGAGTACCCATTCTCATTCGATGGCTGCTCGGCCGGAATAACCTGCTTTGGCTTTGGAGGAGACGATGTTTCATTGTCTGATCCGTCTCGACTCGGGGAATCCTCGAGGTTAAGGAAAGACTTTTGCGTGGGAAGCCCAGGGAGGTTATGGTGGGAGCGTGATTTGGTCGGCAAAAACGGTTCGGTAGCCGCGGGGAGTGGTGCCATACCCGTTCTTGCTTTGTACACAGTCGCCGAGTATTCCGAGCTTGCACGATTATGCTTTGCAATGGCCGCCGCTTTCTGCGCTGGGCTTTGCGCTTGTGAAGAGCCCGTATTCGCCCGACGTCTCGCTGCGCTTAACTTGAGCTTTTCTAGAGGAGGTAAGCATTGTGGTTTGAATACGTTTGTCAAGGCCATCTCACCTCGTCGTTCACTGAGAATATCTCGGATAATAACAGACAAACATCGCTTCTGGCTGTCAGGAGAGGAAAATGCGGTTTGCACCGCTCCCACATCGCCACCGATAAAATCCTTTGCGCGCTTTTCGACGACATCCGGGTCGATCTCGCGCAGCGCTGGATGGTTATCACATTTACAGGAGACTAACAAAAAGGGGATAGACGCTTTATGCATAGCTTCTGCAAGGATGTCAGCAAGTAAGCCCCCGCAGTCATCATGGTAAGTTCATACTCAACACATCGGGGACGTCAACCAGACTTTCTTTATTCATAACATCGTATAGTATGAGCGCCCCGTGGATGGTGGGCATTTTGACATCGTCATAAGTCTCAGGCCAGCTGATTCTATCATCGTCGTCAAATTCAATATCGTCGAACTCGAGCTCGACAAGCCGAACAGTATAGACGTCGCCTTCTAACGGCATTCTTTTCGATGTTGCACTCCCGTTCGAATGATTCCGCAAGTCGAAGGCCTTCTGTATGAACATCGACTTGCCGACTCCTTCTTCTCCCATCACGGCTATATTAATGTCTTGCGCGGAGTCGGAGACCGGAAACTGCGCAGTCATTCAACCAGTCAGTATTCCTACAATGTCATTCATGTATGCACGCTGCGACTAACCTCGAAAGGAAATCTTCTCGTGGCCATCGGAGTGATGGGGCTTGCCAATGGTTCAGCAACCGAGTCGGGGCGTGGGCGTGCGTTTGGTCTCGCAGGCGATGCGGGTCCCTTTGTGTCCGGTGAACTCTTCTCTTCGCTTACGCCGTCTCTTTCTTGCTCGCGACTGTTCGACGTGGGAAAATTATATCGCTGGAAGAACGGATCTCCCGTGATTTCATCCCCCAGTTCGGCCGGGTTCCCGTCCTCCTCTTCATCCTCGTTGTCCCCATCCCCGTCGGAGTCATCATCTTCGGAATCTTGAAACTGGCTTTGGTTGTTGGAGACCAACGGCGCTGAATATGCCCGCGACTTCATTGTCGGACGCGGTACGCGCGTGGCTTCCCCGATCGTAGGCCCGGTGTAACCGACGACGGCGCCTTGAGCGGTGGACTGACGTCGAACATCCTGTAGGTATGGCTGAGCGCTTTTCGTCTTGTCGCGTTGATGTGATAGCTGGGTTGCAATGCTGCTGCTGCGGCAAGGTCGTGGAGATGCAGTAGCGGAGGCGGAAATCCCGGCCGAGGTCGAAGGTGTGGTACGGTCGCTGGTCGACGATGGCATGGTATTGGTGGAAAGGGGGATCTGGCGTTTATACCGGTATGACGAGAGAGTGGAGCATACAGGCTCACTGTGTCACATCAAGTGTCGAGGTTGTTCGCTGGAGAGGATTCGTGCCGGAAATAGAGACGCAATGCACAACGGCAACCAAGCTGCGGGAGGGCATTGGTGGGGACATGTGCAAATGCCAAAGAACGACCTGTCATGCAACACAAGGACATATGCGGTGATAGGAAGATGTAAGATATTTTGATCAATTGGGGAGAAGTTCAGATAGTTGGGCTTGAGTTGACGTCTGGCAACGCCAAGCGGGTGAAGGAGCGATCCAGGGGTTCTTTCCTCATCCAAGATCCCTGCAGCCACCACGCGACTTCCCCATTCATCCAGAGCTTTTCTCAACCACCTTAGACCCTGGCTGTTGCTACTGTTAATATCTCGCATTGATGTATCTCGTATTATATCCGACTCTTGCCATCTATCTTCTCTGGCACCACCTGTGACCGATGACATTCGCAGTCAGAGCATGTGAGTGCATGTCCAGCTTAATATCGAGGTAGGATGCTCAGTATCGCCGCCTGATATCTCATCTCTTCTTGTCCCTAGAACGACTGATTGTCGTCGAGTAAGACTGTCATCCTTCAACCTTTAGCATATTGGTATGCGTTAGTGGAAATATCCATGGAGAATAAGTGGGTAAATCCAAGAGCTTGGTCCTTGTCTCGCCGTAAAAAGTGTCATGTTTCATAGGGAACGATCCGCGTCTCCCGTTCCTCCTAGACTCTGAAAATGGAAAGACGGTGTAGCGAAATTGGGATCTAGAGTTACTTGGGAACCATTCATATATGTTTTGTTTATGGTTTGTATTTCAATTTGGATCAGCGCCAATCTTTTGAAGTCGAGTCCTGATTGTGTTGGTTTCACCCAACCTTGCGTATCCATCTATCCAACATAAAAAAGGCACTTGCATCAGATAAACACAATTCCCTCAATCATATTATCACTGTACGTGTGGAGCAGTGGTCGTTGTTAGCTACAGATGGTTATCTAATGAGCGAGCAGTTCTGGGTTCGATCCCCAGCTCCTCAATCCACGAATATCTGGATTTGTAAAGGAGTCTTGTAATATGAATAGAATACAGACTTGAAACCCCCACACGTAGAGGGGTTTACTAGGTTCTCGAGGTAGGTCGAAGGCTTAGGTTTCGTACTCTTTTAAACAATTTGACGGCAGATGGACTACCGTTTTGAGAGGTTTGTGATGCCATTTTTGGTGATGAACTTGCCATGGCGGGGAGTCAATTGGAGACGTCCTTCGTCTGGGCGCCCACGGCGTGAGAAACGCCTCCCAAAACGCCTACAGGACTACGAATTAGGTGGGAAATAAAGCTCTATCTACACAGACCTTACCACCAGCTTTTTCTACATAATTTAGTTTTTTATGGGTGCGAGTAGCCTCAAAAACATATCCAAAATATCTAGTGAAATCGTGCATTGGGTGGCAGTGCACGATCCCGGGAAAATCTGTAATTAATTATCCACATGGAATGAAGCCACGGGGAAACGCCAAGAAACACAGATATTCTTTGACATGCTCCTCTACCTAGAGGTAGCCATCTCCATAGTAACTAATCAATCAATAAATAAGAAGTCTTCTACCATTGTCGTCTTCCCAACAATGGCGTCGCCAAATCCCTCCATAAGCTGGCTTCAAGCCTTCCCGATCCTGCCGCTACTGGCTCTGAATACCATGATTCAGCCCGTCGGCCGCGTTCTAGGTACCTCTGCATTCCATAGCGTCTGGCTTCGAGCTTCGCCCATCATATGCGCCCTCGATACTCTAGGCTTTGCCTTTCGGTTCTTAACATACTATACTTTGCTCCGTGCTAGCCCACGTAAGGCGATGCTTATTATCGGAATGGACCGCTTTAACGAGGCTGAGATCGATAACGGTATTCGAAAGACAACGATAGTCGCGACGATATTACGCCTTTTTGGGTTCTTCCTCGGCATATTACCACCGACATATGTGGTTGGTGCGTGGGGGGACATCAGATGGACGATGGCTTGGGCATGGATGTATGCTGCTTCATACGTCGTGTTAGAGATTGCATCGCAGCGGGCTAGAAGGGAACTTTCGGAACTTTCTAAACCACAGTATACTCCTATTGGTTTCGAATTAGAGGAGATTATTGAGGAACCAGACAATGGCAAAATATCGCATGCAGCCAGTACTGAAGATACGGAAGACGAAGAGAACGATCGGGCTAAACTATTAAAAGACGAAACTCAGGAAGAACCGGAAGAATCAGCGAGCACGAAGTATAAGCCAGGCAGGACGAGCAGGGAGGTGGGGGATATACATGATGAAAACAATGACAGCACGGCCGACCAAGTAGAGTTTACAGCATCGGCTAGCACCGAGCACCTGCTAAGTAATGGGATTGATGGAGACCAACGGAGAAAAGACGATGATGATGGCTCTATCCTCCCTCAAGTGAAGTCTTGGGCAATGGCGAATAGGGCTGGACGCATACAAGAAGTCATTGACGGCTCTACCGTGGCTCAGGCAGAGACTACAGAATCTACGAACGAGGGCCGCCCTTCCGACCTAGAGTCTGCGAAGAACAGCGACAGCAAATACGCGGATCCCATCACATCACCACGGTTGCCAACACTGAAACATACTCTCGCTTGTATGGATATGATCCTATTTGGGTGGGGCTGCCTACTCCATGCGATATTCCTCTACTGGGCTTTTCTCGACCTTATCCAGCCCCTTCTGAATAGGCATATCCTCTCCTCCAGCAGCTGGGAGATGCCACTCTTCCTTCTCAGCCTCCCCTTTATATTCGCCTGTTTGTTCCTCATAATGGCTGGATCTGGCGGAACCGCATGGGTCACTTGGATGCTCGCCGCTACCTTTTCCGAGTTCGCGAACCGACATCTCCCCACCTCTATCCAGAAATGCGCATCAACGGTAGTGGTTATAGTCACTTTGGGCTTAGCTGGTCTTGGGGTGGTGGGGGCCTATTTTGTGTTATTTGCCATGGGATATCTGCTGCTATCAGATTATATGCGATGGGTTTATGGGTTATTATCTGTGGAGGCTGTGGTGCTGCTCATATTCTCCACCATCTGTTTCAGTCTGTATATTCTGCTCAAGCTCGTTGCCGAGGCAAACCGGGGCGTGAAGGAGAAACTTTGGGTGTCTAGATACGTGGGGGAGGATGGAGTCGTCTTGCTAACTTGCGTTTTAGTCACCTTCACGGTGTCGATTCTGTGGTATCGGTACCGATACTCCTCATCTGCGCACTGGGCGCAGGACTGGCGGGACGCTCTAGTTGTGAACACGACTGCGACCAACTCGACCATGACCAACACGACCATAGTCAACTCAACCAAGACCAGTTAACTTTATATAATCTATATGCAACATACATAACTAGTACTTAAGTTAACTTAACTAATCAGTCTTCTATCATAGTCGTCTTTCCAACAGTGGTGATTTGCTTTTCATCTCCTCTGGAGTTGTCTCTGCCCTTAGCAGGTAGAAAGGGCCCATCTGTCTCCTAATAGACGCAACGAAAGTCTTCAAGGAAGGTTTTCTACTGAGTTCAATAGTTGGGTCAATTTTCTTGTTCCTAGTTGCTGATTTGTGTTCGCGGAAATCGACGCTCGATAGCGTGCTCGCACAGCTTTTGAATCCGAGCCCATTGAGCAGGATAGCAAGCGGCTAAGTTGTCTCTCTCTCCACTCTCCGTCGCTTTCTTAGCCAGCGTCCATGCGTGCTCTAGGTCCTCATCACCACTGAGCTGTTCCGTATCTGGCCGCCTAGCTAAACACTCCAAAAGCAACTCCAGAGAATCCAACTCCACAGGCTGCCTTAGCAGCCAAGCCCATCTCGCCTGCGACTTGCGCAACCCTACAGCAGCTTCAAGCACCTTGATACAATTGCTCAGTATCTCCCTAATCGGTTCGTTTCGCTTCGCCATCATCAGATGCTTGCTGAGAATCAGTTTCACAGCGTTGCGTTCGAAGAAGCTGAGACGGTCGTTGCCTTGCTGGAATCGCAAGTATTTTTGATGGACTCTCTGTACCAAGTCATTGAGGAATTGAATCTGTGCCACAGGTGTAGCAAGGTAGTTATATCCGTTGTTAATGCAGAATTGTTCCGAGAAACTGTAACGTCTAAGACTCTTCATTATCTCTAGCCTTGATAGCGCGAAAGACATGTCTGTTCTGCGACTTTCTTGCTCATCACTGTGAGGGGCGGTGGCCTGTGTCGCAAATATTTCTGGGTCGAATGTCTCACCCGTTGGAGGAGGCATTGGCTGCTCGCTTAAGCAGTCTAGTTCGCCATCATTATAGCTACTTGGAAATCTAGTCGTCCACATCGCTTCAGAAATGATAGGATCCCTTATCGCAGCTTCGGCATACTGTACATCGAGGGCCATGATGTGCCACCAAAGGCGCCGCCTCATTTCTGCAGAGGTATGATCGGCTATCGTGGGATAGCTAGGGTGTCCTTGGGAAGACTGCGACGGATCTTGGTGAAGGTTTAGCCGCAATGCGAGGCCGATTCCCAACGTGAGGAGAGAATCAACTGGTGTGGAGAGCGGCGAGTAATGAGTCATGTTGAGGAAGAGTACAAGCGCTTGAAGCGAAGCTACTGACAGTCGAGCCCGGGAATTTGAGCGCACAAAACACTGCTCAAGGGCGTAACGGTATCTAGCATCTCGTTAGGCCTTCCATATATGCTGTCTGGAAATCAAATGCTTACTTACCTTTTAAGAAGGTCTATCTTCGACTGCCTGAATTTGATCAAGCACTCGCTCTCTTCTTCAATCACGATCGCTGCAAAGTATACAGCAAATATCAAAGTCTCCAAATCTCCATCCATCGTGCCGATGTCTTGCATCGCTGAGAGCAGCTGCTCATGAACGGATGGAGCGTGGAAGATCTTGAACAGAGGCTCCACGTTCTCGGTGAAACTATGCCACAGAAACCATATATGCGCTACGTTCGGATGCAGCTCTGTCAACTTCACAGCGATCGGACCATTTCCAAGTATCACCGATGGGTACACTGGCCGACGGTCTTGATCTACTGCTGTCCCTGTATTCGTGGAGACTGAGGTACCCCTTCCCGTGGGTGAGGAACCGGTGGCCGCGCCTCCTGAGACGCCTGTCGAATCATTTCCGTGGCCAGGTCTCTCGGCCGAGGCATAGATACAACTGACTCCAGCGGTAACGCATGCGTTGCATGGTCTCTTTCTATCGCATTTGGCCCGCCGGCGTCGACATGCCTTGCAAGAACGCTCCCTGCTTACAATATACCGCGAGTTTGCCGTCGGGTAAGAGCACTCGAGACCACTCTTCGAGCAAGGGCTGCAGGATGGCGAACGCCGGTCGCAATGAACTTTCTTGCGGCGGCACGTTAAGCAAGCGGGGATTATGCTTTGAGATGGAGACATTGCCTAGTCCAAGTTATGTGCTCTGGGAGCGAAAGCAACTCCAAGAACCATGGGGTTTCAATGCGGCCTGAGATCCGAAGCGCCAAGGCTAGCAGCGGAGCTGAGACCGAGATAAGATCCTAATAGGCGGGGGTCGAGCCCGGGTTCAAATCCGTCACATCTGCTTTCGGCCCGAATCCCGCAGCCGGCCTCAGCTCCATTACATGTCGGCCTAAACTCTTCGAATCCCTTTATAAAGCAGCTTATCAAATCCATGGTCGTGTTCAGTGCTTCAGAGCAAATGTCTTCGAGGAAGATGGATATAAAAGGCTGTGGACCGTCTCTCTTTCGAGGCCTATCAACTGAACCACTGCTTCTAATCTGTACACTGATCAAATTTTGAATCCAGCCTCAACCCCCTTGACGACAATGTCCGCTCCATTGGAGAATATTGCCATCATTGGTGTAAGTCCAGTTGAGCTTCTTCGCAATATCGAATAACTGACACGCTCCAGGGCGGCGGCAAAATAGGACGTATCATCCTGCGTGGCTTGATATCCGCACCTCAGCTATCCATTATCGCCTTCAAACGTCCAGGCAGCACGTCCACCTTCCCATCCGCGCCCAATCTCAAGGTCGTTGAAACAGACTACACCCCCGACGCCCTCGCGTCCCACTTGGAAGGCCAAGACGCGGTCATTTCCGTCATCGGCGGAACGGGTTTGACGGATCAGCGAGGCATTATCGACGCTGCTGTCACGGCAGGCGTCAGGCGCTTCTTCCCCAGCGAGTTCAGCATCAATGGCCAGAGCGAAGTAGCGAGGCAGTTGCTGCCGTTTTTTGCGGTGAAACAGGAGACGCTAGACTATTTGGTTGAGAAAGAGAAGGATGGTTTGTGCTGGACGTCTCTCATTATCGGACCGCTGCTAGACTGGGTAAGGAATATCGATACTTTCGGATGAAGCATTCGAGCTGATTTTTTGGGTTCTAGTGCTTGGCGAACGGTTTCTTGGGTTTCGATCTTACATCCAACAGAGCCACGATCTGGGATGACGGCAACACACGCTTCAGTTGCGTCAACGAAGCAGCGCTAGGCAAGGCTGTGGTTGCATCTCTTGAACACCCAGCCGAGACGGCCAACAAGCACGTATACATCTCCTCCCTGAACGTGACACAGAACCAGATCCTGCAGGCTCTGGAGCATTCGACTGCGACGACATGGGCCGTGAAACACACGACTTCCACGGAGCAGATTGATGCAGCACGGGAGATGCTGGCGAAGGGAGATTTTGCTGGCGGTTTCACACTGGTCAAAGCCTCGTGTTGGTCGAATGTGCCGGGTTTGCGCCAGCACTTCGAGGTCGCTGAGAAAGAGCGGTTAATGAATGATGTGCTCGGCGTTGAGAGCGAGAGTTTGCAGGAAACCGTTGAGCGTGTGCTTGCAGGAGAGCGCAGCGGCGAATATTATGTTTAGGAGCAGAACGCTAGTGAATCCAAAATGGAACTAAGATTCGGTAAAGAAGTGAGGGAGGCACCTTCATGTATGAATAAGCCATCTTGATTAGGTCCACAGTTGTTTAGACTTGCTCACGAGAATAATCATTCCTTACCATCGCTCCTATAGCATCTGCACCTCCCCCAATCCATCCCCGTGTTCTCCACAGACTCCCTCTTAAAGGCATCCACGCTGCTCCCAACTCCAAAATACACTCTCTTAGCCGCGACCAAGCCCTTCCCCATCTTGACCACTTCCAAAATGCCCACCAGCGCTGTCGGTAGGAATTAGGGACAAGAAGGTTAGGGCGGGGCCCCAAAATCCGGATATGAAGGTCTGAATAATGGTGGCGGTGGAGAGGGCGTCCGTGATAGGTATTTACAAATTCGATAGCTAATAGCAGTGATTGAATCTGTCGGTGTCGAATCGCTCAAGATGACTCGCCCAAGGTATAATCATTGTACCAGTAATTCAAGGCTAGGAATTGATACCATCCTCCTCCTTCACTGTTGTAGATTGCTCATTCCCCTCTTGAAAGTTCCCTTCGGATGTGGCTTTGAAGTACGGCAATTTGTTGCAAAGGAGAGCTTTTGAGAGCTTGTATTCGCGGCTTGTCGATCTAATTCGAACAGTGACCTGTGGACCTGAATGCAGCAGAATCACGCTATTCGATGATTCAATGAGCCATTGTGATAAGTTTCTTGTCGACCTAGGAAGTAGCAGAGTCATCGAATGGCTTGTCGAGTGTGGCCTCCGACATGGTGATTTAGCTGCAAAATTTGGCAATAAGTACCACTTGCACGCAAGTAACTGACTTCTTCTTATGTTAGTTTCGTGATGCGGCGATAGCAATTGCAAACTTCAGTCGGGGAGAGAAAAACGAAGCATCCTGGCGGTCAGGTTATCGTGCATACCTGCATACAGTGGGTTTGAGGAGAGAAGGAAAGGGAAGACAGGAGCGATGAAATAAAACGGCAGAAGAAGGAATGGTGGGATGCACGTTTTATGTGAGGTCGAAGCAGGCCAAGGTTTGTGTGAAAAGGTTGTGGCGCCACCATTTTGGACATCCCTGTGACGTACATTTCGGAGTCGAAAATATCAACTTTTTAGACTTCTCTCTCTCTATACAATTAATATAGCTAATTAAAATAATATTCAATTTTTATTAATATGTACTACATCACTTGAAACAAAATAGAGAACATTTTTCTGCAAAACAGCCCACAACTTGGAAATTAGCTGAGATTATGATCGTAATCGATTCTTCACACTTCATTCAATTATAATCAACTATTGCAGCCCTCCCAAATAATGGTTGGAGGGCGCATGAGGGGGAAAGGCCCGCAGGCCAAAGACGCGTCCCCGACGCGTCCCCAGCAGGCGGACCACCCACGACCCAACACCCGCAACGGAGTGGGAGAACAAAATGGACGGATGGATGAGGGGCGGATGCTCCAAATTATGGAAAACCATATAAAACTCGCGTTGGAGAGCTGCCGTGGATGGGCTGGGGCGGGGTCGCTCCGTGGAGTTCTTGAGGCTCACCTAACGCCCGTTCTCCGGCTCATTCCGGAGCTGGCACAGAGAAAGAGTATGGAAAAGGCGCAGGCGGGAACACCCGCC